AAATTTTTAACAATATTTTTCGTTAAAAAATTAGCAGTCTCGAGAAAAAATTTTTAAACATCACTAATGATTGTATTATTTTTTTAGTATACTAAATTACGGATTGCACTTCAAACATAGTTTAAAATTTGTAACAAAAAGGAGGCTCGGTTCTCGTTATTCTTTTAGTTTAATTTCATATTTTTACAAAGAAAGGAGAAAGCTTTTAAATTGCAAATACAATAAGATTTGTAATTTTTAATTTTATTTTATAATACAGTTTCGTTGTATCACATTGCCGCTACATTTTACTAATAATACTGTCATGACCCTGCACACACTGTGCGTGAATAGACAAACAGTTGCTGGGTATCCAACTAGTGCAACCACGCCCCAGTAAACAAAAAGGGAGGCTAACATATTTAAATTGATAACTGACAATGGGCTTTCTGACGATTCTCTCATTAGTTCGAGATGTTTTCATTCAATACATATCGATTTGTCATTTATTCTACATTACTTCAGGATGTCAATAAAAACAAATGAATTATTTAATTTGTAGGTATTTGGTCGAGTTATCGACGGCATACATATTTTCTGAAGAATGTGAACTAAACAAATCTGAAACGGGTCTTCAAGAAGATCTTGTTTCACCTGAAACTCTTCTCAAAATGATTGAGGTTTGAGGTTTATTTTCAGTATATTTTCAATATGAACGATTCTTTTCAGAGAACGAGTATTTATTCTGACGGTCGCAACTCAATAAGAGGTTCATCCTTGATCGAAACACGTAAACAATGATTTTATTTCGTTCTATGTAATGATTGATTCAGCCAATCTGCACTCTGAAAATGATTTATCAAAAACCGAACGTGGTAGTAGCAATATTTTGGTAATATCAGATCTAAAATCGTGAAAGCATCATATCGTTAGGTTGACGATCTGGAAAAGTATAAGATGGTTGATAAGAGAATAACAGTTCTTGAAGGGTTGATGGAGTTTTTGCTCACTGAGGTCATTCTGAGGACATGATCGCTACTTCGTAAGAGACGGATCAAACAGTATTACGAATTTGTTAATGCGTTACAGAACTAGAAATCAGGATTATTGTTTGATAATTTTTAATTTTTACACATCGATAACTGACTGGAACGACACTACGATTCATTGTCTTTCACGGTCATACACACAATGTAAAACAAATTACCTTGGTATTGGCTTCAAAGAGGGAACTGTATACATTTTGGACATGTTTGCACTTCCTAAGAACAGTACGATTCCATATATTTTGTGATCAAATTTTCTTTAATTTTAGAATTTAACAGCCAGTTTTCCCACATTTTTGAATTTTATTATGATGTCAGAGATATTGATTTTGTAGCTTCTCATAAAGATGCTATTCTTGTAAAAAAATGCCTACTTATGTGTCATTTCCGAGAACGAACCACGAACACACAGAAATTATTACTTGTATTCGATCATCGCAAACTCGCAAAATGTTCGCGACAGCATCTGATTATAAATTTGTTTTGGTAGTTTACTTTAAACTAGAAATTACGTACAAAACCTGCGTTTTTAGATCTGGTCAACCGTTAAAATGCAATGTCTTCAAGTTTTGGAACATCCGTCACAAGTTTATCAAATTGCTGGGCATCCTATGATGTCTCTTATTTCTATGTACGTTGTAACCTTTATCTAAAAAAAATATTCATTTCATTTACAGAGTTTGTGATGATTCAACAGCACGAATCTACAACGTGGATTATGGCTCGTAAAGTCATAAAAAAAATTGCTGGCAACTTAATTAGTTTTTCTCCTGACAGATGATTATTGGGGGCAGGAAAGGAAAACAAATCTATTTACATCTGGGACATCATGGTAGTTTCATCTTTCTATGTAATATTTAACATTGCTTCAATATAGACATTCCAACTTATCAAAAAAGTACGAACTCGAGGACGGTAAACCCCTTGCCGATATATCGTGGACTTTTCATTCAAATAAATTCTGTGAAATCCATGAAAATGGGACAATTCGCTTATTCAATTTTTGCGGCTTATTACCTCCCCTTGTTTGAAAATATGGCCATACAGAATTTTAAGTCATTTTTGAAAATGTTTCTTTACAGGTTGGTATAATGACTTAATATAGAAGAGCTCAATTACGTTTTCGACCAATGTTATCTTAATATCTTTTTTGTTATTGGTGGTTTTTTCATTTTTATTATTGTAATCATTGTTTCTAATTAAGTGCCTCTAGTTTATTCGTTTTCCGGTTAAAAATTTCAAAAAATTATGCAATTGAAACAACTTGTCCTGATGGACCACGTTTTTGTGATAACGATTGGGTCAATGTTGAATCGGTGTGAGACTTCTGGTACTGTAATTCCCAATTGTTTGCTTCGGTTTGATGAAAATTTTTGCGAAGGTTTTGTTGAGAGTTCATGTTGTTTTGCAGATGTGCTTTTCGTTCCAGAATATCTCGACGTAGCATCAAAAACATGGTTACGCTCAAAATAAGCGGAATGTGAGGAAGTAGCTTAAAGGCAATTCGAGTCTTTAATAAAACAAAAAGATACATTGACTCACAAATAAGCTAGCTGTCGTTATTTCATACCAGTTTGGTGCAAAATATTGCCGAAATGGTCGTAAAGAAGACACGACGAATAAATATATTCCAATCGTTATAGAGCATGTAAAAATCAATGGTTTTGTTTGCCGCAATATGCGAATATTCTCTTGTCTTTGAAACTTTTTGCTCAGGGTGTTCGCAAGTGCATTTTCAAGTCTAAAATTCAAGTTTAGCGTGACAATGTTTTTTTTTTGAATATACTTCTTCTGGTTCATTCGGGTTATTCCATAATGCGAAATTAGAACCAGAACGTTAAGGACAAATTGAAATTTGAAAAGTGTATAAATGCTATTCCCAACTGATTTTGACGATGAGAATGTCAAACATGTCGTAATCATTTCATTTGGATCCTCGTTAATTGTTGCAAAGTGCACTGATGTTATTGAAATTGCAACCTAAATCAGAAAAAAATTGAAGTACAATATATATTGGTATAGCGCACAATAGGCATAACGTGAACACAATTAAAGCTGCGGATAACATATAAATCTTATATACAAGCTATATGGAAGAAATTCAATATATATCTCATACGAAATTACCTTTATGATTTAAAATATATTTGCCACATTTCTAAAAACGCTAGTCTCAGTAGTTTGAAAATTTCATAATGATTTTTTTCATCGCTCTTTACGTGCGATCTTTTTGTTTTAAGTAAAATGAAGGTTGATCTATGAAATGACGTATAAGCTTTTAGATTTTTTCAAGCAGTGGTCATCATAAATACAAAACCATTTCGAATTTTGCAAAACAATAGGCGAACTTGAAAAGTGAAACCGACACGAATGAGTACACGGATAAACAAAACGAAAATAATTTCGAAACGTCGTTATCTTACCGCTAAGGTAGACAAAATGAGTCCAAGTGTAAATCCCTTCTTTTCATAACTTGCAATGCTCCAAGTTGCCCAGAATCGTTCGACCATTATTGCTGCGTGGCTCACAGTTAACATGCAAAAAGCGCACCTTAAGTCTGTCTGTTTTTCAAAGACTCGTCGACTGAAATTTTACAAAAATGCTGTTCGATAAATCGAACAGTAAGAAGTCTTCATTAACATATCGCATGGCTTTTTATCTACTATAATCCCGAAGAAAAAAATTACTACTGAATGACAGACCAATATTGAAAGAACGAAGCAGCAAAATAATGTAATAATAAGAAGTATCTTCAATGTTTGAAATGTTAATTTTTGCCGAATCCAACTTACCGATACGTTTTGATGAAAATGACTATAAAAGGAAAATGTTTTAAAGATGATTAGAATAAAAATGAAAGAAATAAAAGCAGATGACATATGAATAGCCACCGGTAATTGGTAGAAAATGTGATGGAAAAGCACGCCTCGATCCTCACAGTTCTCCATTATCCTGAAAATCACTGTGATATGAGCATTTCCCTCAAGTAAACAAAAGAGTTCCACCAAAAGGTGTGGCAATTAAAGCCGAAAATTCGCCTACTTGTCCAGTTAATAATACGTTCTATTGAAGGTCCAAAAATCTAAACACTATACTTTATAAACCAACTTACATTTCCGCACTAAATTTAAGCACTTGTGTATTGATTATTAAAAATAAAAAATAAGCAATTATGTCAAATTAAACTAAAATGCTTTTTACTAACACTTTCGAGTAAAATTTCGTGTTTTTTGCTTATTAGGAAACTTTCATAACCATGAAAAGCATATGATTTTTGTGGTTTTACAGCCGTTAGAAGAATTGTCTTAAACCAAGGCGTCTAGAAAACAGATTAAATAAAAAATACTTCAGAGTTGAAAAAAATGCATCAAAAGATCAGAATTTATTTTCTGAGAGAGAAAAAAATTATTTTCTGAGAGAGAAAAAAATTTAAATAAAGATTAGAATAAAACAAAATTACGCATGTATACAATGTTCAGGTGCCCTTTAAAGAGAAAAATCGCCTCTGAATACTCATTCTAAAAACAACAACCCGATTATTATCAAGATATCCACACTTGAAGTAATATTTTCCATTTCTTTATAAACCAATAATATTAAAATCAAATTGAGTAAGCAATAACTGATGTTCATATATATATATATATATATATGTATATAATTAAACTGGGGAAAAATGAAAACAGATTTAAAAACAATATGCAGAGTATTAGTCAAATAGGTAGAATTCCGGCAGTATCCTCAAATTATTTAATTAAGCATTGGATGCTGCACAGCAAAAAGGTTTCTAAGATTACATGAGTTTCGTCGTTTTCGATTATGTCTATTTTCTCCATTCTTTTTAATTACTTTCATTAATAGGGATTTAAACAATCAAAAAATGAAATGAACAAAATCACGTAAGAAATGAAAACAACGTGTAATTGGTTCTGTTGACAAAAATAAAAAACAATATTGGAGAGAATAACACATAAATTAACGAGAAGTCGATAAAACATGACCCATAAACTTCCATTTTGCTAAAGCAGATTTTCTAGCAGCAACACTATTAGTATAATAATTGTCCCATTCCTGTGCTTTGACTTCGTGGAAGTTCATGCTATACATTTCCTGTGATCTGATACTTTTCGCTAGATGTCGTTTCTTGCGGCGCTCCTCTTTGCTCATTTTGATAAGCATAATTAAGGTCAGCAAGAATGGGAGGTAAGAGACTAACTGAAAACATCAAACATTATTACCTTTCCGACTTTTCGGTTTATTAATTTTTTTTCATAAAAAAAAGAGGCATTTGGATGCTCCTTAATTTTTTTTGAAATCATGATATTTATTAAAATATAATTAAGCGCCTTCGGAATATTGATTTACGGGAAACTTACAAACAAATACGCCGAGACGATTTCGTACCAATGCAGTGGGAAACAGTCCTTGAAGAATCGTACAAAGGAAACAATCACGATGTAAATAGCCATAACCAGAGCGCACGTCAAAATGAGCGGTCTCGTCTGATTTAGAATTTTGATGTTTTCCTTCAATTGATAGCGTCTGCTCATGTTGTTTTTTCCAATATAAGCCTTTCTGTAAAGGTATTGCTTTGAGATTTTTAAAAGGCATATAAGTTCAACCTTTTTTTGTTTAGCCTTTTCAACAAATACTGGGCAACAAGAAGTGAGATGCACAAGAAAAACTGAATACGGAACATGACGTAAAATGATGGGCCAACTGAGGTATTTGAGATTGAGATGCACGTTGTTATCAATTCGTTAGGATCTTCGGGCAAAAATACAATATATACTGTAACAAAAGCCAACAAAAACTGAAAGTAATTTTTCAAATTTGAATTTTGGGTTATTTATTTTCTACCGATATTGATAACAGCACGATTCCCAATATCACCCCGCGTTTCTCATATTTGCCCAAATCAAATGTTGCAAAGAACCGTTCCACTGTAATGCAGATATAGCTAAATGTAAGCATAAAAAATGAACCACTAAAGAAAAACTCGGATTTGAAAAGTTTGAGATTATTGAGAATGTACTAATATGTTTTTCGTATAATGGAGCAGAACGACGTTTTTACGGTAACATCGCATTTGTCGACGGAAACAAAGTATCTCGTGAAAACATGAAATCCACTGAATATCATGATCAATGCCATTAGATTGCAGCAAGACAATGTAAGAATATTAAGGAGCTGTAGTGCACAACAACATTATTGGTGTTTTCTTAATGTGAATCAATACCTTCACATTCGGATGATATCGGAAACCATTAAGATACTTGCGAAGTATTATGATAGAGAATATAACGGTTATGATGCAGGACGTTGTACCAATGCAAATTGGAGTCAAGAATGAAGCCTGGTGAAAGATTTCCCATTTATCGAAACAGTAATTCGACATTGCCATTTCTGCAATATCAAAAATAAATCTATATTCCGCATCTTATTAGAGCATGAGTAATTGAATACAGCAATAACACGTAAAGGAAACGCAACTAATTGGTTGGAAAATAGCATATCGGCCTAAATTTGTATTTGTTAAAATTTATTATAAGCGAATATATTTTTTTCTACCAAAAGAAACTCGGCGCAAATACGAGAAGTATGCCAATGAGATTGTTAAATCGATATGGCGGCCATTCATGTGTGAGAATAATGTGCGGGAATAAGCTCGTTCGAGCTGAAATCACCTCGCTAATGAGAATATTATGCCACAAGTTATTTTGTCGATGGCCACCTGTCCCATGTTGGAACATATAGCAAAACTTTTTAACAAAAGCTCATTAGGATTTATTGTCAATCAATTTCGACGTGAGACAATTGTAAACATCAAATATCATGTTACAATAGAAGATTATTCAAAAAATGAATGTATGCAATTGAAAAACGCAGGATTTCGATTTTCGATAGTTTCTTCTCGACTGGAAGAGTTGGAAGAAGAGCTCGGAGTCTTGAAAACGCCATGTTGAATGATTCTACACGAATTCTGGAAATTAAAAAATTTAGAACATTAATTTATACTGTTAATGTATCAGTAGGTATATTAACTACAAACTGTTGAACTGTTGAACTTGAAGACCTTTCCCGTGTTGCATGCAGGTTACGGTACTTCGGTGTTGCTCGTCTTCTCTTTCGACGTTCAGCTTTTGATAGCTTACGATATTCTTCAGATGTAGTATCCAAACTACCATCTTCGTTGATCATGCTCAAAAATAATCATCTTGAAATCCAAAGTGAACGTATTCAATATTATTTATCGCAGTTGTAAGAATATTTTCAGGAATATTTTCTATTAATATCAAAAAAGATGAACAGAACAATTCTATTCAATTATTGTGATAAATAATATTTAAAATGATTGAAAAATTTAATTATAGTACAATTTATATAAAAAATGTTGAATTACCACAAACCTTCTATTCGGAAGGATGTGCAAAATGAAGCAGAACGGGTCCTACAAATTTTACAATGAGCCGTTTTATTGGTAATAACACTAATTGAGTTGCTCAATGCCCATATGCGTCTTTTTGTCGGCATCCACTACGAATGAATTTCATTAGTAAAACAATATTTCGTAAATTAAATTGAACATGTTATTACACCGGTACAAAAAAAACAAATGAAAATATTCAAAACGGGTTTTTTTTTCTAAATTGATATACACAAAAATACATATCAAAGTAAGCCACACGGATAAAACTATACCCGTTGATCGAAAATAAATCAAAAATTTTTGATATCAATATTGAAAAGCAACATTATCATATTCGGTAGTTGTCCCAGGCTTATTGCATGAATCTGCTTGTTTCATTTTCTCTTTTTGATTTTTATCATCATTCCCCATTTTTCGAATTCCGTTTAAAGCAATCCCATTCGAAGGTTCTCCTTTATCTTCTCGTTCTTCATTTTCTGTCGAGTTCTGACCTTTTTTTCTGAAATAATTTGAATAATCCCTGAGTTTTAATACTTCATACTTGTAATAGTAATATTCAAACGCCAATGTGATTATAGACAAAACAATTCCCACGAGAATAACTATAAATACACCACCAATATTTTGAATTGATATTCCATCGCTTTCTTCGGACGAATCTGGGCATGTTACCTAAAAACTCTCAATTCAAATTCCTCTTAGACTAATTAAAATTACCTTATTTGGATTATCAGTCCACCATTTTTCCTTTAGAGTTTCTAATCGTCTCTGGTTTAAAAGCATTAATATTCTAAATTTCAATTAGAAAATACACATAAACCACACAATATATATTACGCGCTAGATATTTCATCTTTCAGAATATGACCACTTTGTACGGCAATAGCATAGGGTTTTCTAGAAAACTCTGTCCCGACTTGTTGCAATTTGCAATTTGTCAAAGCCGCATATTTGATTTCTGTTGCATCACCTGGATAAATTTTGGGGCTTAAAACAAATTAATCATAATAAAACCAATAAATGCAAATCCATCGTGAGAATTCAAAACTCTCTCAATTGCCGCCTCCATATTTTCAGGAAGTTTTAATTGTTGCATGTATCTCCACATATTTGTGAATTTATCGGAAACTGGATAATCCCAAACAGCCAATCGTGCTCGATCTCTTGGAGACATGCTCTCATTAAGAGACATTTCTTTCCACAAACTTCAACGCAATGATTTTAAATATACATATTGTAAAGTTAATTTTGTTACTTATAGAAAGTTTCTTCAATTTCAGCCATTCTCCTGAAATACGTTTCTGATGCGCTTCCTTTGATTGGTGCATATTCGATTTTGTACTGTTTTGCGAGATCGTCCAGCGAACTAAAAATACAAACCTCTTTATAGTATTTTGCGCAATTAATATGCACAAACCTTATCGGCTGCTCGAGCCTTGACACGGTCAAAAAAGCGGCAAGATTAGCAGTGTATGACGCAATAATTATAAATCCAAACAGCCACCATGTCGCCGCAACAAGTCGACCCGAAATATTCTTCGGAGCCTCTCCGCCGCCTGAATGGTTACGTTTGCAGGTCATCTTGATCAATTGTGGTGTTTCTAATTCATTTGATACCAAAAATGATTGAAGAGATCAATAATTGAAAACAAAATTTTTGACTACAGAATACAATATTTCGAAACTCACCTTGTGGTGTTAAAGAGGTCATGCAGAACCACAAACACTCTTTCAAGCTGAATTCTCGTTTTTCAAGGTCATTCGAATATCTTTCTCTATTATTTGATAAAGAATAGGGGCTAAAACGATCGAATATCCATAATAAGAAACTGGTAAGCAAATATGCTGCAACAATGCACAACCAAACTGGCCACTCTAAAACCTGGAAATACGAAAAAACTTGAAAATTTGTATGAAAATATAGCTACCTTCATGAATTTAAATAATGAGTATTCAACATCTGCTTTTTTCATTAGAATCGTTGTTCCAACCAAATCATAATACGGAACTGTAAAATCTACATCGTTTTCTCGTTCCGCCATTACACTCAATGGAGCTAATGCGATATCTGCAGAACCAGAAACTGAAAATAAAAAAATAATAGTAAATGGTAAATTAGAAATGTACCCAATGCTCCAATTAGCCCATTCCAATTTCCATTATCATCCATTGTTCCAAAAGTTCCATCTTCGACTTCATAGATTGTATATGTAAAATTGACCTCATTTTTAATCAAATTAATCAAATCAATACAGTATCCTTCATATGGTTGATTAGGATCTCCTGTTTTTTGAATAAATGGTGGTTGCTTCAAATAAATATTTTATGTAATTTTTCAAAAATCAAGTCCTCACAATCAGTGTGACAACGCGATAAATATTGAGGTTTCGAACGTCAACGTCCAGTGTCCCATACATTACCATTAACTTTTCAATTGGCGTCCACGTTCCAACCTTGAATTCAAAATATTTTTTTTCACCAAAATGCACACGTACTTACGTGTTTGTTGAAATGTGCGTCTTCATGGTTAACATCTCGATCTATTTTGAAAATGCGAACTTGGATGTTCTGAAATAAAACCTACATCTAATAATTTGAGGATTCGATTAACTTGAAAAAATGTGCCATATTCAATCTCTGTATAATTTCCATATTCGCGTTGAGGGTTTGAAATTATAACATCTCTGACGGTTGTGTTGATATCGTTTCTTAAAGGTCCTTGACACGTGAACGTCGGCACGATTTCATGTGTCTTGTTCATTTGATCAATGGTTTCGAATGCGTAATAAATTAGATCCATATAAAATGCAACGTTTAACTATGAATAAATTAGTTAATAAACAAAAAACTATAAATAAATAATACCGTATCCCAACCATTAATAGTATAATCTAATTCCAAACTGATCTCATTTTGAAACAAATAATCGTCCATACTTCGAATTTCCATAAGTGTTCCAGTCGAAAAAGGACGCAGCCAAAACATAAAAGTTGACTCACAACTATCACATTTAAATGATGTTATGTCCTCAAAATAATTTAACAGATTAACATAGGAAATAATATGCGAAATTTTTACATTTGTGACAACATAAATACTGAAAAATCTCTGTTGTATATACTCGGCTGCCTGAAGGAAAAAAATTGTAATGTACATAATTAAAAACATTAAAAAACCTCAATGGTGAATCGTTCTACGTTTTCCGTTTTAGCCACAATTATTAAAGACCTCGCTGATTGTGCTTTCAATTCAGTTATCTGATTTCTCATCCTAAGCACTGTTGTTTCCATAGGAACGAAGCGAACCCCTGGTAAAACGGAAAAGGACCCACGCCAAGAATTGAAATCTGATGCTAAACTTGTCAAAATCACATCTATTCAAACGATTCCAATCTAAATTTCTTACGATAAATGTTATCATAGAGTACAGTGCTGTTCGGGGTAATATCTAAAACTGGAAACACATCTGTTATAACGTTATGAAACACGATTGCAGAGAATTTCATTATTGTGTAGCTTGCAATATTTGAAGACGTGTTATTTGTTTCTAAATTCAAAACTTCATCTCAGACTTCCAAATTTGTTTAACCATCGAAAACCAATGGTAATGGCCAATAATTATAATCCACTTGAATTGTGGGCACTTGTGATATTCGTGCCAGCTCAGCGACAAGCTCCACACAATGAACCGATCGACAAATGCTTATTATGAAGCTAACATTACTCATTTGATGACATACTGAATTGTAAATTGATTAAAAATGTTAAAGTTTAAACAGACGTGAATTTAAGTCTGTCGTAGAATTAATATCAAATGATTTGATATGAATATTATCTGAAGGTAGTTTGGCTGAGTAGAACATTGTAGATATATTAAGGTGAAGAAGACCAGTGTCGGCAAAACTGTCATTCGTATCTTTTGGAACTACTGAAACATATCATTTTTGAATTAATTTTATATATTTCAGTCTAAAAAAAACACCGATGTTTTTGAAAGAATAAATGACCCATGATTAAATTTTGCTTGTTTCTTTTTTTTATTTTTCGAGTTGGTTATTTTAAAGAGATTCGTATAATAAATAGACACACTTACGTATATCCTCTGCATTTACAATTCCATTTAACATTAGCAATAATATTAACAGATTAAATGCATAAAAACGAAATAAGATCGCGACATACATAGTTATGCTAGTATATCTTGTAATGTCAATAAGTGTCGAACATTTGTGATTCATGTAGAATATTTTCGGGCGAAAATAGGAGGCACACTTCACCGTCGTGAAGCCGGTTGGCCGAATATGGCAAGATCGGATTACCAGCAAGTAACTCTACCTGCTCTCCATATTTCGTAAGCTATTACAATATTTGCATTTTTATTTCTACATATTGCAAAGTGGAATGAATGTGAATTTTTGTAAATTCTAATCTAAAAATTGAGAGACTAAAAAATAATAACTAATGTGTATTATAAATAGTAAATAATTTTATAAAAATTGTTAAAACTCTATTCTTTCGGGATAATTGGTGTTGGGTTGAGAGAAGAATTTCTGGGAGTACGATTTGAGTAAATGGAATAAGTTTCGATTTCAATATCTGAAACTGGAGTATAAGACAAATTAGCTTTCTTCTTCAATTCTTCAGCGGCCTCGGTGGTAGGAGATGCTCTTCCAGGCTTCTATACAATTTAATAATAATTATAAACAAGAAGCAAATACCGTAGAGTATAAATATTCGTCATCCTCTTCATCAACGAGCATATCGTCAAGTCTGCTTTCACATTCTCTTGGCGATGGTACTCTAGGCATTCCTTCTTTTCCAACAAGAAAGTATGTTTGCACAAGCTGCCCATCCTATTAAAATAATAAACCACATTTATATAAATATATAAACAGTACTTTAATTTCGACATTCTCGCTTTTTTCAAACTTGTAGACATTTGGGTTGACTTCTTCCATTTTTTCATATGTTGACTGACTGGTTAGGATTTTCATTGACTGTAATAAATAGTTTTCAAAAAATGTCATTTTTGTTTCAGGATACCATGGAACTTTGCTCCATGTGATTCGCAATATAAACAGTTTCTCCAAATAAACAGTATCTTGGCATACTTAATCCTACAACGCCTGCGACAACGGCACCAGAATGCACTCCAGCGCGGATATCAATTTTAGTAACCTTTGAGTGCAAATTTTCAAGCTCTCCGGTTTTATTCACAAAGCTCGTTGCGCAGTCTAATGCAAATTCTGCATGATGGTCAGTTCTCTGAGGTGCACCACTTACAACCATATAAGCATCACCAATAGTTTCCACCTAAATGGAACATAAATATATTGGCTAGTAAAATGCTTTGGTTTACCTTATAAACGCCATGCTCATCAATTATTTTATCGAAATTGGTATAAAGTATTTGCAAAAAATTAATGACTTCCAGAGGAGTCATCGTGGCGCATGTTTTTGTGAAATCCACAATATCAGTAAACAAAATTGTAACACTTTCAAATTTCTGTAATTAGCACGGATTTTTTTTAAAGCTTCATTTATAAAAACCTCGCAACATGCAACGGCGCTTTCACCATTTCTCAATTGATTTGCCACACTTTTCGGTAGCATTTGATATAGAAGTTTGTCCGCTCTTTTCCTTTCTTTTTTCAGACGATTCATATTTTCCCTCATGTTTTGACTTTTTTGGGCTTCCTTCAGTGAGATTAATCAAACGTAAACGAGTATTCCTTGTCATATACCTGGTGAAGAAGAAGCTTAAGTTCCGCTGCTTGTTGTGTCGAGGAAAGCACAAGATCTCTACTTGAATCGTGCAAAGCGAAATCATTAATGAAAAGTCCCGACTTATACATTTGCGCCAAATGGCTCATGCTAAATTTTTACGATTTTGACATTTCGTTGGTATATGGAAAAGAAAATGACCTCAAACAAAGGTCATTTCAATCCATTAATGGGACCAGCGGGTTCATGAGAAGGCCCGAAAAAAAACTCACACAGGAATGCCGACGAAACATATACTTTCCCATTCCTCCATGTAAAACATTTGGCCTTTTAATGTGAGAAATTTCTGTTTCTCTTTGTCGGGCATATGATGTCGTTCTTCGGTCACTGAAGTATTATGAAGTTTGATTATCAAATAACTAAACAAATTCTCGAGTATTCAATTTCACTGCGAATTTATTTTTCGTTTTGTACCGCTCACTTTGCTCAGTGTCATTGCTTTTATAAACAACAACGCTATCATCATCGTCGCGTATTGGATCCACTGATATCAACTCAAAAATATTGTTCGAATAGAGCATTATCTGGAATAAGATGTTATCAATGATTTTATGGTATCAACACAGAATTGTTGCGGCCGAATACGGATGTTTCTCCTATATACAAAACTGGCTATTGAGAATTTGTGGTCAAAAGTGATATGCGAATGATTGATTACGTGTACACAAATACGATTAATTTGAATTTAATTGGATAACCGGAAAAAAGATATTTGGATTACGATGATTAATGATGTTGAGACGTGTATAACTGGAATAGCATCAACTACGGTACTTTAAAATAAAATATTAGTGAATTTTGAAAACAAGAAAATTTAGTTTCTTGTTGAAAATTTGTTTTAGTGACTAAGTTAAATAAACAAGTTAATTTAACATTTTTGCTTTTTTAAATTTAACAAATTTTTACTTACGCTCAAAATATCAAGTGAAATTTCCTCCGCGATCGAAGCGAAAATTTTAAAGAAATAGTTTAGAATTGGTTTCTCTTAAAAGAAGCAATGCATAAAAATAATTTGCTGTTCCTTATTTCTTTCTTTCTCTGAATTGGCTCTTATAAGCAATATAGTTTGAAATGTTAAAAAAAGACTATTTCTTAATTTTTTTTCATTTTTGATGCTTACATTTCTCCTTTATAATAACACCATCGAAAAATGTTCTGTTAATGGTCTGACCTTCCCAACGTCATTAAAAAACCACTAAATTGACAATATCTATCTTTCGATGATTTCTCCTTCCCACAATCATGTTAACGGCTCATGAACCTTGAAACAAATCTGAATTTCAAGGTTTTGCTGCCCAATCATCATTGACATCTTCTAAATTATTAAATGACCCAATTCAAGCTCTTTGATTCAAACCGCAAAACGTGTTTTGGGTTATCTACAGCAGCAAATCTTGATCGTTTGATCGGGCTTATTTTCATTTCGAATGTACCTCTTCCCAGCGGAATCGTATGAAAGGTCGCATCAAAAGAAATGATTGATTAATTTTTTTGCCGACGAGTCCGGACATAATGCGCAATAAGCCGATACCAATGTTTCTGAAAAAAAGTGGCAAAAATTCCGATCTAATCTTCTTTTCATCGATTATAATGCCAGATTTCTGGTAATCTCAATCCAACCAGTCCCGTACCGTATGCGCATTCCACGATTGAAAACTATAATGAAGGGGAAAATGTCGAAAAACACGTCAGATGAAATTTTCACTTTGTTTAGTATTGCTTCACTTGTCAATCGATATGAGTTATCCTGCAAAAAAGTGGTTAATTTGAATACTATTGAATATTCAAAGTAGTTATGTTCGCATATTCACCCTGAACATTAAAAGTTGTTCAATATGCACGGATTAACGTATCAATTAGCATTTCCATGTAAAATGTCATTTTCGGAGACAGACCTTTACACTATAATCAACATTATTGAAATGGAGACGCATTATAACGTGCTCCAAATTCAAATCGTGTTCAATGTCCAAAAGTTCAATGACGACTTCGGTTTGGAAGAGTTCCTGCGCGATATTTCGAATCTGTCCCTGAACATAATGAAGAAATCCACGTCGTTTGCTCCTGCAACCATAAATCATTGAAGACATCGTGCGCATTAGATTTTTTCGCATTCAGTATATCATAAGCCACTACTATCGCACATGTGGTTGACCTCGCATTCTTTAATGCATATCGTATTTCCAATGGGTTCAATTCGGCGCAGCGATTCAAACGCTTCATGATCTATCGCGGTAAATGCACATGGCGTAAAATTGTAAACAAATACCGAAGTGCATACAAATTTCGATTAAAAATAAACACCACATGTGTGTAAATAAATCCTTTAAACCAAACGTAAAAATTTGATTTCAGATGTCGAATTTTCAAAATACTATGCAATTTTCCTATTTCCGTTTTACACAAAAAAAATATTTATAAAATTTCTTTATTTGTTATTGGAATCTAACATTTTATGACGCATGCCTTAATTTTTCTTTTCAAAAATTTTCATTAAACCATTGTCATTATTCGTCCAAACACTGCAGACTTGTTTCAATAGTCCCAACATCAAAAGGAACAACTGACATTGTGAAAACGTAACATTACTTGTTTCCTCATATTCCGCGTCTCTCTACCCGTGTGCACTATAGAATTCGATAAAACGCATACATATGCTGCTATGTACATATAATTCATTACAATGACAATAGAATAATCAGCAGCAATGACCTATTCGATAGTTCCATCCCTCCATCAAACCGCTACCCCTCCCTCGAGTATATTTCATGGTAGAGCTATTAAAACCGATAATTTCAAACCTATAATGCAGCGTCAAACCGGTGGCACTCTCATGTTCACAATAGAACGATGGCGGTTTGAGTTTAGGGAAAGTGAACCGCAGATATTCATGCAAATTGTCCAAACCATTTAGGAATTCGGGAAATGTTCGACCCAGCACGCGAAGGACCTTGAACAGAATACCATTGCAGATTAGGCGCTTGACATGTTTTGGTCACCTTGTTGAACTCATATTTGGCAAGAAATTTGTAGAAGCTGTGACCAATGTTAGTCATTAGCTCGTCAACTGGAACATTTGTAACATCGTGGCAAGCCCAGATAAGCTTATGTGGTAATCCTTCGGAATATTTTTCACCCATACGGAATGTATCATCGGTGATTCCAGATACGAACTGAAAACAAATGAAAATGTTTTTCTTTTTTCATAAAATATCGACGTTGGTAACTGTGTCACTTTTCAGGCATTGGCTGTGTTGTTTTATTTCAAATTCGTAACCCTGCACGGTATATCAAGTGGTTGTAGTGATATATAGCTTTGATTGCGTTACTTGAATGTAATGATATTTCGGGTCATATAAAGAGATTGATCATGACATATGTCAACTGTATATCATTTGTTCTATTTGACTTCTAAATACGAGCGACAATCGAATGGCATTTATCAGATAGAGATGATCCAACAGCTCCTCAACTCTATTACGCATTCGGCTGCGAATTGATGCTTATCTCGCAGGAAATGTTATCGATGCAATATTCCGCATTAAGATTCAACAATAGGGCAGAATTGGCCTTCAAATGAGGCCAATAACCTTCAAATGCGGTATTTCTTCTGCTTCGTTGTGCTGGCCGATTTCATATGATAGTGTCGGGTGCCAGTCAAGCAAAACAAGAAAAAAAAACCATAAAATAAGCTTACCTTGACCTCGGACCACGTTGATTCTCCATATTTTTCTTTGATGTAGGAAGCGATATTGTCGATTATTAATCCGTACATGTCGACTTCGATAGCTTCTCGCGTAAAGAATGATTCAACTTCGAGACATTATAATCCTAAATAGGAAATCAAGCCATTCCCATTTCCGATTTGTTAATGCTAATGGATACGCATTAGCTTAGTAATCAGCAGTATATTAGTACATACGTGCTGATGTAAAATTATACGGACGATTTGTGATTCTTTAGACTACGAGGAAATCAGTTAAATATATTAATTGCAACAGTAAACAATCTGGAAATTTTGCAAAAATTACCAACCCACCATCAATGTTCATTTTGCTCTTTGTTCTCGACAAAAACCATAATAATAATAATAATATTAATAAGATTTGGACAAATATTCTTCTCATTTTTCTGTATGTTTTTTTTTTTACCTAAAATCATTTTAATTTGTAACCGAAACACCCATAAATCAGCGTGAACCGTAGGAAATGCAGGAGACATTCATTTGTGTTAAAACAAACTAACTAAATGCGACGTGAACAAGTGATTTGTTGACGAATTCTTGGATTCACTATTTTTTCATAGTGCTTTTCGGGATGTTTTTCCTTTAAATATTCTACTATTGGTTTTGATTTAGAATAAACATGGGCTCACTGACATTAGTTTGTTCTTTTCTCATTGTTGTCTTTTTTCCAACCAAGGTTCTCTGTTTCTGTCTACAAACAACGCGAATTCTTCAAATCTCGAGACGCGTTTTGCAATGAGACAGCAGTTGCACTTTTTCGATAGATAACGTTTGCACATGAGAGAATAACACTTTGCTATTTCTACTGTAAATGTTGTAATCATGTTTTATATGTAGGTGTTCATATATCCGTCGTCTTATTGCGAATACAATTAAACACGAGAAAAACATCTCTAGGTGTCGACTTGTTCATTGAAGCGCACATCGCAAGCAAGCACCACCTTCAGTTCGAGGCGAAACGCATGCAATAAAAATCATTGTCCCAGGCAGCAGCATTATCATCATCAGCAGCAACCACGATAGCAGCCGCAGTAGCATCCAGAGGGAGCGGTCACCAAAAGCGCATTTCTGCAGCGCCATCATGTCAGACACCATCACCGTCGATCACAACGGAACTGAACTCAGTGGAGGAGAGCGCGATGGAAAAGAGACAGCGAATGAGACGGGGTCTTTTTAGAAGCGACTGCTTCACGTTTTGTGTAAACTATGCACGGGGAGCGAGACCGCGGCCGGCGCGAGCGGGCGCTCACACGGTCGGAAAATCCTCTTGAATTGATTACCGGCGATGGATAAAACCACAGCACTCACTGATCAAGAGATGCAGATAAAAAATTGCTTCGAGGCACATATGCAGGCCCAGAGGTGATAGACGAGAAGACAAATGTGCGGCAATTGTGGCCGTCCCGATGAGGCGCTCGGTGACGATTGGCCTCATCAATGTGTATATGTGCGAGTGTGTATGTCTCTCTCCTTCTCTCTATCATTTCTCTTATCATCAATAATACGGTTGTTGTAGCAGTTGAAGAAGTGGAAATTGCGCCCCGCAAAACGCGTACAGTTTTTTGTATGTCAATGAGCGTATGCGAGTGCGTATGCATAAAAAGATAACAAACAAGAAGTCCCACAGCAATTCTTAGTATTACTACGATCTATCTGAATGAACCAAACAAATGTGAAGAATACCCGATCGAAACCAAAAATGTCGAATAATAATTACAAAACTGGAATTTTGACAGATAGACTCAAAAACAAGACATATTTCAATTTTTCAGAATAGCATTTAATCAGATTTATCCGATTCGATTTCCAGGTGAAGCCATCTCAATAATTATAAATAAAATCAGCGGCTAGACGTTATCGCGTTTTGTCAATAAAACGCCAATTAATTTGACTTAGTTTAACATTACAACTGCCCATTGCCATCATAAAATCTTGATCACGCCACAGAACCTGAGCGGCCTTGCAATCCGCGGTCCCGAATCCGTTTGCCTTCAACACCGATGACCTTTTCCACGCCTTCAATTTTGACAAATAACAACCGAGATTGGGTGACAAATTTGGACAACGTCGTCTACCCGAATTCATCAGAGACCTGCCGCACCACTGCGCCTATCATTTTACTCCTGATTATATTTGACATTGAACATGTAGAATTGTTTGCAGAGGGGGCCATTAAGAAGAAGGCAAAGAAGAAACACTTAAAAAACAACGCTACGAAAAAGTTGTTGAAGTCTGAAGGATAGCGTTAAAAATTGGCTCAAATCATCGATTTATAATTGCTTGTACTTTGGTGAAATATATTTATTCAGAAGTTGGGCAATTATTACAAAAATACAAATTAGATAAATTACATATAATAAATATACACAATTTATAAATAGAGCTTATATAGCTTTATAAAATTTATATTTTTTGTAGTTTTTAACTACATTCGCAGGTAATATTTTAATTTGTGATTTATTACTTTTGGGGAATATTTCCGAATTAATCCCAATAATCGTCCGATACATGCGAAAAATACACTTGTTTTGCAGCTTCCATATTTTGCTCCTTCGGACAGTATGGGCACTTGAGTCGCGTTTGCCTGAACAGAACAAAGGTCAACACATAAAGCGTGGAGGGACGGGGGTAGGCAAGAAGTTTTAGTTGGAGTTGTTGCAGGCAGCGGAAAGAGCGCACGGGAGGATGGAGGCTGCCCGCACCGCTTAGAGTGTGCTGCACACAACATCCATTCCTCGGAGCGCCCAGACGACAAAGGCTAGGCCTGGGCGTTCGTATATGTGTATGTGTCTCTGTGTGCTTCGAATCTGATTGATCGATCGTACGAATACGCAATCGGCGGGACACCGACTCCGCCCACAACGGGAGGACGGGCGCGGCGAGGGCGAAAGCAGTCATTCATTCGACACACACTTGTCTCACATCGAGCGCTCACTCCGGTTCTCTTCTTAGCCGTTCGCTATTATGCATACATATTACTGTATATTCTGAGCGATCAATCAATTCAACGTGGTTCGTTCGGACAGTTGTACATTACTTGCGATCGGTTTTCACTTTGATCTGAGAGCTTCAAATGCAATCTGAGATCATCGTGAAAGCTAGTTGCAGGCAGTGTTGCCATTTTTTAAATGCTTCTCAGAAAAATCCAAGGTAATTTTTTTTGTCAAGAGTTTCAAAATAAGGCTCACCTTCCCATTTGCGATCGCGAAGTCACCACACGAGTTGATGTCAATCGATTCATTGCCTCTTTGGAAATAACATGTCCGCATTGCAATTTCATTGGAGGATTTTTTCCAGTCGTCTGCTCTTTCAGAATCGGACAAGTAAATGTAGAATGAATCTGCTTCACAGGATATACTTCCACAGGCAATTCTTCGTCAATATCCAGACATTCTTTGAAGAATGTTTTTCGCAAACTTGACAATTTCGAAATCATTGCTCTTCCAACATGGAATCTGAAATGTCAATATTTTCTTTCTGATGAAACCCGATGATTTATTAAAATACACACATTTCAGCCATTGTAGTATGCGCTCTTCCCGTTAATTCTTTGAGGAGAAGCTTCGAATTTGCCCAGCCGTCCGGGTCGTACATATCACTGTAGCGAGGGTTAGATATCGCTGATTTTCCAAATAGAATTGCTCCGCATAGTCGCGCGACGTCCTTGTGATATGTTTTTGTATCGAACCATATTAATGTGTCAATACTTTTGAATTCTTCTCCTGTAAAATAATATTTGCTTTCACCTCCCGGACACGTTTTGTCGTGAACAATATTAATTTTGTACTAAATTGCAATAAATCGGGCCGCATACCAACGGGAGGGCCGTTTTCCGCTATTGAAATTGCGCCTCGTCGCATATAGAACACAAATGGAGTATTACAATCGAGCAGGCGCTCTCGCTACCACATAGGCATACACCAGACACACGCACGCACGCGCATATACTGTCTACGGTCCCTCAGAACGCGTTATCGCCGCCGGTGGAATGCGAACGTTTTGCGAGCAAGTTGGCTGTTCCATTACATTTAGAAAAAAACGCGCGCAGCGACAGCGACAGAAAAACCGTTTGGCAAAAAAGCAAAAACAAGGGAAATGCGTTCTTTTTCAATTGTATATCTAACCAACGAGGCGCGCGATTCTAAACATCACAAATTAAAATATAGCGCCAAATGAGGAGAACACCAAACTTGTTCATCTAAACTTTCGCTCCATGGATAATTCAATCAAAAACTTTCTAATTTTTCCGTATTTGTCGATATGCAAAAGGGAGACTTTTCTAGCAAAGAGGAAGTAGGGCGTCAGCGGGGTTTTTTTATGCGAAATTCACTTAAAAGCAGGTCAAACACACCGTTTTTGTTAGTGATAAACAAAGAAAAGAAAAATGTGAGTTTATGACAAAAATCCAGAAGCGACATTACGTTCGACAATTTCTGAATCAAATTTTGGAAAAAAAACGCGAAATTAATTTTGTTTCTTGAGTACAGATATTAATAAAATTCAAATAGATTTTTCAAATACTTGAAACTACTCAAAAGTTTTGATGGTGTTGTTATCATTTTTCTATTTTGACTGTTTTTGTCAATCACAATTTGCCATGTAAACTTTTGATAGCAAAAAAACACGTCTGCTGACTTTAACAGAACCTCTCAAATATTTGGCGCTTTTTTTTCGGAAAAATTCCTAAGCATTTTTCGAAAAATCATTGAAACTTCAGCGAAACGCGTTTGAATATAAACAATCGAATTCTTAGTTGTTCGCTGGAAATTGAAAATGTGTAAAGAAATGAATAATTGTTGATATATTTCGCAATAAATCAATATTTCTTTATTTTGAGCTAAAATTGCTGAAAAACGTCGGAGAAGTTACGACGAGTTATTGAGGTTTTAAGTGTAGGAAATATTGCAATTTTGAAGCGTTTTTACCATTATAAGTTGCATTTTTCTATAAGTCCTGGGTAACTGTACTCTTCATTTGCATAATAGCACGAGATAATTACATTTTAATTTGTTTGCCCGCATTTCTAATAAATGCAAAAAATATACCTTCACAAATTTGTTTCATAACATAGTGTTTGCACATTTCCATCTGAAACTCCTCTTTCTCGGGCAACCAGGTCTCAATGAATCGCATAGCGAAAAAATAGTCGTCCTCCAGTTCTACATCTGTCATAGCGGTTCGGCATTCTTTAATTGTCGCCCATTCATCTATTGCTCCCAGATTCAAATTCGGAATCACTTTCTGCAATTTTGGATTCAAATAGATTTCAATGCAATACTTCATTAAAATTTGTTCTCATCCTAATATGTATGAAATAGCGCATTTCTTTCAGCAATTCGGTTAATCTTTTAATGGCGTCCAAATCGTTTGGCAGCTCTCAAATGCGACGAAATGGTGAGAATCGATTAAAGCAAATCTAGGTGCGCATTTTTGTGTGAACGCCGATCCGATGACCTTCTCATACCACCGACTTTGCATCAATGACGGAACTTTTTTAGCTATTCAATTATTAAAGCACGTCTCACGACCAGGAAACCACACCAAAAAGAGGATCAAGATAAGATAGCCTTTCTTGTTTATTTCTCTTCGTCGGTATATCTTCTCGCTCTTAGAGGTTTTTCAGTGGTGCGGATAATTATATAGTCCCACTCTAATAGTATGCCTGTCGGCATGCTTTGGTGTTGTCAATCACACCTTATCACAAAATTGATCGTACTAATTCCCCCGTCGCACATAATTCCAAATGATTCGGCAGTAACTCGACCTATATAATTTGAAAAATGAAGAAATATAATACTAGAAATTTTGCAAAGTAAAGTCGAATACAGTGCATTGATTAAATATTAATTCATTACGTGGTGAGACCAAAAATCGGAACTTTCTGTGACAATAAAGTTATACTAATTTAATTTTAAATCATCAGTTGACCAATAAAATATATGATATCTTCTACAGCCGTAGTTACGAATTTGAACCCATAAACATTTCACTGGTTCGAATTCACTTTGATCGAGCCGCAGGTTAATGATGCAGACCATGTGTTTGCAATATCGCTTTTTGAGTTATTGCCACACTGGATACGAAACTTGAATCGTATTGGCGCTTTTATAAACGATAGACGACATCCTTTTTTAGTTAGCAGCTTCAAAATAAACAAAAATTTTACCTCATTGAAATCGTCTGCTAGGTCATAGTTTCCATCCGTAACCAACATATCATGTATCAACTGGCACGCATCATTTTGATATCGTCGTTCTTCCAAATTCTTTTCTCGTCGAAAGTTACCGGTGATATCCCATGGAAAATGACGCTCGATGATCCTCCCGATTTTCGAAACTTCCGTGTGTAGATTCTTGTGTTGGCGATCAAATTCCTCCATATTATCTATTAGTTTATCGATAGATTTTTCAATCATGATCTGTCCCGTCACAGACAATTCGCCCAATTCGTCATCCTTTCCATCATCCAATAATTCGCGATCCAAAACTTCCATTCGAGCAATCATTTTGTCCAACTCTTTCTCCCACGCGCTGCTCACATTCTTGAAGGCCTCCTTTGCCTTATCCACGTTTTCGAGAACAAGCGGAAGATGCGCTTTCTTTCGAATCGTCCCTTTTGTTGGAGCCATATTTGCGCCTCTGCAAAATCGTTTCTTACCCCGTTTCGATAATGATTGATTTAACGGAAAATATGCATTCTTTGACACTTGGCTTTCACAATGATCTCAGAGTTGTTTCAATACTTCTGTACGATCACGGAGAAAACCAAGTGTCTAGAACACGTGGAAGCGAGAATATTTGCAGAAATATGGCGGCCGTGATAGGATAGGGTCACCGAGTGATGGACTGCTGCCCGCTGCAGCGTCCGCTGACGCGTGCAGGAAAAGGAGAGAAGACGAGCTGCTGTTCGCCACGGACACTGCAAGCGAAGTATGATGGGAGCAATGTCGGCGAGCGGACGTTGGACCCTCGAGGGGGCGTGGCCATACAGTTAGGCCGTTTCAAACGCCACCCCCTACCTTGCCATCTCTTCCCTTCCATCGACGTCGCGAGACAAGCAGCGTCATCACGAACATAACATATACAGTTATGGCCCATCAACTCTGCGTCACTGACCCTGACCAACTCAGCTTTCATAGAGAATGCGTTTAGAAAGATGTGTTGGACACGAAAGATATAAAATAACAAAGAGAGGAATCGTAAAATAAATGCGTTGAAAAATCTGATTACCCAGATTTCTATATAAAATTTTAATTGAATCGATGAACACAAAAAATCTTATTGACAGTTCATTTTCTAATGAACTCTTTTAGAAATATTAGAGTTAATATATTAAAAAAATTTCGCTATTTCATTAATGCTATGGAAAAACCAACACTTTGCAGAAATTTCTCAAACTTTGAAAACATATGGACGAAAATAATTGGGGGTAAAAAAAATCGATATTTTATGAGTGTTATAACAAATACTAGCACTAAAATAAAAAATATATATATTTATATTTATTCATTTATTTATCTCCGAATCTATGGTTTGGCATATTTAATGTTAGCAGCACCACAAAATATTCAGTTAAGAAACTAGCTTTTTGCCATATTGATTTTGATTTCACATCAGTTATACTCAGCTGACCAAACCTAATGTCAAGTGTATCATATGTGTTTAACTACATGACTGTCGATATGCAAACCAAATAAATGGGCTCTCTTGTATTTGTCCACAAACCACCGCCGTCAACCTCGCCGCTTCTTTTTCACCGTCGAAAATGCTCGCTAAACCGACTAAAACGAGGAACTACTCGAAGGTTTCTTCGCGAAAAATGGACATTCCATCGTGGACAGGCACCTACACGAACACTATTGTTTGGGGACCTATGTATAAAAATGATTCATTCCAATTTTATAAAACAAACCCCGCATGGTTTGTTTGATAAACTTATCAGTGGCAACGCGCAAAAAATCCATAAAATCAATTTTGATTGGTATTTTTTTAATTGTGCGGGGGAGTGGAAAGAAGCAAAAATTAATATCCGTTTGAACAAATATTACGCCGAGTGCGATTGCCGTTGCTGGGGGAACATTCAATACATTTTTAGCGTTATTTTTTGTAATTTTCCGGACTTTATTTTAGTCAGGCAATGATGATCATCGCCATAATAGGGGCCTGGTTCAAAAGACGACATATATCAAGCAAGGTGGTTTCAACGTAACGCAATTTGTTAGAGGTCATCTTACGTCAAAGTGAAAGGTAAAAAAAAACGAACGCGAGGTTCAACTTATCTCATCACCCTAAAACAGCGCAAAATTCAATGGCGTTCTTTTAGCAAATTGATTTTGTCTGACCTTGGAAACGTTCTCGTTAAAGAAAAAGGAAATTAGGGTAAATGTTTTTGAATAGAGAAATGCTTAATAGATACAATAGAATATGATTTTTTCAATTATATACATAATAAAAAAACAGTTTCTGAAATTATTGCTTGCACAACGCTAAATCCACTATGAATTTTAAAGACTTATTTTGTTTCATTTTTCTTTTTGTATATAGATTGAATTATATTGTTTATTGCCGTACTTCAGTATTATAAAATGCCCATGAATGGATTAATTGCGATTTTCAATCCTCAAAAATAACAATAAAAACTAAACATGCTTCTAAAAGTAAACAAAACAATTAAGATTATGAAAGATGATGTGCTAAGCGGCCACAAATAAAATTAGTCATTATTATGGCGGCGGAAAAGTGGAAAGTTTGTCTAGTAACTACAAATTTTGCATAAATCCGATATCGATTGGGCGTCGTATTTCTACAACGGAGTGGCAGGGAAACACTCGAGTCTTGTGGCGAGCGTTCACAGTGGAGCGCACATGCTGTCCTTTTCTTTTAATAAATTGCGGACTGTGCTTATATTATGAGCAATGGTTTTGATTTTTAAATATAAAGGGCATAAATAAAATTTATTCAATATTTTGAACGTGTTTTTGGCACCAGTCTAAATTAAATCTATTCAGTAATGATTTTTATTAGTTTTAGCAAAATTACTTATCATACTTACATAACTGCATTAAAAATGAAACTCTAATAAATCAAATTTCTTATTGTTTTTTTCAACAAAATTTGTAACAAAAGGCCACAAAAACAAAAAGCTATGGTGACGCGATTATTCGAAAATATATAAATAAACAAAAATATTTACGTTATGCTGCACAAGCACAACAAATTTGAAGCAACGTAACATAAGATTATACAAAAAAATCATGTTTAGGAATAAAGAAAAAGTCGATAAAATCAAAAATGCTGTCTGTTTACAAGTCTTGTTGGATTGATAAGACGCGAGCGAATTTCTTATTTTTTAGAAGAAAAAATATTTAAATAAAATTAAAAGAAAAAAATATTAAGGTAACAACAATTTTACATTTCCTGCCACAGACTACTTGATTCGAAATTTAAAGAAATAGTAAAGTATAAGAAACGGTTAAAAAGATGATTGCGAAACCAGTTTCTAATATGTGTGAATGCTTATATTCACGCCATTGGTTCAAATTTTAAAAAAAGTTGAAGAGTTTAGCAGTATCATGTTCTTGAGTGTTTAAACATAAATTAAATTATAGACAACGATTTTCTTTCTGACTGAAATGAACAAAAAATATTTTATTTAATTCGGTTCGCTTTACGATATTCAATTAACATTCTACGTAGCTACTGTTTCTCAAATATTGGGCGATCACAATTTTTAAAAAATCTAAATGGTTTAAAAAATTAGGAAAACACTATACAAAAATGTTTTTACAACATTTGTTATAATTGAAGATGGTAAAATATATAATTAACTTAATTTCCAAAATTTTTGCTTTCTACTTATTGACAAAAAAAATTATTTGGATGGAACAATTGATTTAATCTAAGAACGTCTAAAAACATTGACAGTGAATAAAAAGTGCAAACGTAGTAGCAATGAGTGAAAATAATTACAACGATATGTACGGCACTGCAGGTGCTCAGTGTGCGAATGACGCTGTTTGAGATAAATGGTACGATATTTGGCACAGTAGCATAAAAAAGATTGCCGCTGGGACAGTCTTTTGTCCAAACTTGATTTTATGCAGTTCTTGGTCATTTTGGAACATTTGTAATTTCATTTCGTGTCTTATTTACAATTAAATGTATTATCAAAAAATTTAAAGGTATTTTCAAGAAAAAACCTTTCATCGAAATATCTTTTGTAATCCGAATTTCCTTTTGAGAGTCTCTCATGAAAATACCGAGGAAATGTTTTTTTGTTGAAAAATTAAAATGGGCAGTATGGAAGAATCATTTGACCTAAAAAAAATGATATTTTTAAAATTGACGCATTTTCTGGTAATTAAGAAGAGACAAAATGAAGTCGTGTTTCAAAATGACAAAAAAACTGCAGAAAATCAAGTTTGGGAAGAAACTGTCTCATCGTCAACTTTTTATATACTACTCACGTTGTCATGATCAAAAAAATGAACAAAGATTTCCCATTAGAAATGAGTCTAATCGTGTTGGCCATTTTCATACAAAATACAGTGAAATTGCGAAAATCTAAAACCGAATTAATTTTATGCTCAAATGAAACATTTTGTAAGCGCCATTTCATGTAAAAGTGGAACCTTCAAAAATTGTATTTCGATCATGAGACTGCTTTTTTAAATTAAAATTAAAATTTTTTAAATTTTTTGAAGCTGTACATGTTTGTAATATGCTTTCTTCTTCTTCTTCATTCTTAAAGAGAATTGCTTAAACGTGTAACAAATGTCATAGTATTTGCAATATATTTGTTTCATTAAAAATTATCGCATTAGGTATAAAATTTGATAATCACCCAATTTTGCAATGAATTAATTATCCACAAAATAAATATAGTGAATAATGTACTATAGTGCGTCAACTGTTAATCGATACGTTTAAATAACGAAGATTTACTGTTTTCACTTTTATTCTATGCTCTTGATATAAAATCACCAATTTCTTTGTTTTGTAGTGTTTGTTTAAATTGGTATTACTCAGTTTTCACACTGACTTGTAGAGATATTGCCATTTTTGCTACATTTTTTTTTAGCAAAGTTCCGACAATTTATTATATTCGATTTTGATAAAATGTTGAAAAAGGTTTTCTAAAATATGTAAGAAGTTTGTTCGAAGATATTTATAACGCGGTGTACAATTTACATGAATTAAGTGTTTTAAATCGCATAAGCGGAATAAATCAAAAATCAATATTAAATAACAAAGACCTTGATTGCCAACCCTGAAATACGAACTTATTCCGTTTGTTGTCGTCCAACATTTCCTGATCTCTTGAAAAAAAAAAAAAACAATGTTTATTTTATTTATTTTCATACCAGCATCTTAATTTTTTGTTCGTTCATATTTCTTCTCTTACAATTGGTTCGTAACAATCAAAAATAAACATTTTTGTCAATTTTTTGTCAATGTTTTTATATAATTATATTTCGCTCTATTGAAATTTTCATTGTCTTGAAATGTAAAACGAATACATTTCAAAAAACGTTAATTATGACCTAAGTGGTTTAAATTAATGTATTGAATATAGAAATGAATGCTCATTGTAATTTTTCAAGGATATCTTATGAATATTTGACGATGTCCTCTCTATTTTTGGCTTTTTGTCTGTCATTTTTTTGTCTAAAACAAAAAAGTAAAACGGGTTCGCTGTAAATATGACAATTTTAGATCTTACAAATTCATGAAGAAAGTTTTTTTTTAATTCGTTTTTGTGTTTTATTTTAGAACAATAATGATACATAACATGTTCTGTCCACGTCATTTCATGTGATACCTTCATTATAAATTTAGTCAAGCAGACCATATTCTTCTCTGAAGTGTTGCCATGAATCACATAATGTTGTTGTTGTCATCACATTAATGCTCTTTTTGGATTCGCAATGTGTATCTCTTGTCGTAAAAATATTTAATGGGATCTATTTTCTTTGTTTTATCGTTGAGACTTCATTTTAAATGCATTCGAAACATTGAAACAACACAAATGATGAAAACGGGCAACATTCTTTGGTTTCTCATCACTGAAAACATCATTTCAAGCATTTTGTTTTATTTTTTCAAGGGAATATGAACATACATCTGATTAAACGGAATATTCATTGCGAAATAGTAATGGTAGAAATATTAAGTCTTGGACAAAAACATGAAAACCCGTTCAAATGGTTTTTAAAGAAATGTTAATTAAAGCGGATATTTTTAAAGGGGTACGGTTATATTTAGAGTCGAATCAAACTGGTAAGGAAAGCACCAAACGGAAAGTTGCAAAATTGACAGCTATTATAGATCGAAAGTAATTATACTCAAATAAGAAACATAAACATGGAAAAAATAATAACAGAAATTGGGGAAATGACACCGGAAGCGTTACACATATTATTAGAACAGCAACAAATTTCACCGTGCTTCCCATAATCTCGACTCTTGCGGCACATCATTCCTTTCTCCTTCTCAAACCAGTGACTTTTTCCACCTTCAATACCAGCACAGTCAACTTTGTCGCATCCCATCGAGAATCCGTTCTTCTTTCTTGGATCCGGGTCCGAATATGTCGCTCGAACACAGTACTTCGACGATGAATGACACACGTCGGGATTGATTCGCAACACATGGCCGTCTTCCCAGATTTTGTGATACAAATGGCATTGGATAGCATGCACCGGCATTATCCACATGGCAATAGTAATAAAGGCGAGAAAAGCAAGAGTTCTGTTGACCGACATCACAACTGACTGAATGCCAAGTTCATAAATACTTTAGCTTTCCATATATCGTCTAAACATGGGCGGAGATAATGCGCGACACGCGACATTTCAGATGGTTTTATCTTGCATGTCAAAACGACAAGATATATGAAAAGCTGTTTGAGGATGAATAGCTTTTATCCCGAAAATGGTTTCGAGACATGCACACGTGATACACCACTTCAATTCGCGGTATTCCGTTTAATATTCTTCCAATTGTTAGTCATCACAACCAACTACGACGTTGAAAAGCGATTGTCAAATAATTGCGTTAAAACCGAAAACAAATCTAACACATCACGTGAAATTAATAAACTTTCATCATTATTGAACGTGGCTCACAAATCATAAAAGGTGCTTTAAATTCAATTACATTCAAAACGGATACCAGACAAAGCGCACGAGAAAAAGAGCAAACACAGTTTCAAAAAAAAAAAAGAAAGAAAAAGAAGAACAAAAAATGAGTGAAAATCAGAATCGAAGTAAATCCAAATTATATTGCATTTCGGTATTATGCAGAACGATAAGCAAATTAAAGCTTAAATTTGAAGTTGTCAGTAAAAACCGGAGATGCCAGGTGTGTAGTTAAAGTCGGTAATTGAACAATCATATTAATATTGTAAATATTATAGCTGTGATAGTCTACAATTGAACTTATGGAGAGCCGTAGTTGCGGATATTGTAACGGTGCATCATCAAGAATCATCAGAACAGAAAGAACAAAACAAAAAATGGGTTATTATGCGTAACACTTATTATATTATTTAAGGAAAAAGTTAATAAATAGCTGAATATATGATGAACGCTGAGAACATGTGATCTATGGGTGAGATGTCGAGTTCAATCAATATGGTGTGAATCTATTGATAGTGCGATATGCGGGGTTGAGGTTGTACGTTGGCAAAGCCGCCGCGGAAAGCGCGTTTCCCAAGTATTGCTCTCCAAGGGAAGCGGATGCAGCAGCGGATGTCGGAATTCGACCTATGAAAATCAAACCAAAATAATCAAACAGCGTGCGAAAAAATGAATTTTACCTTGAGCCGCGACGGCTGCAATTTGAAGACGAGCTTGCTCATTAGCAAGAAATGCTTGCATTGAAGGCTCCATGCCAAATGCTTGTGGAAGTGTACCTTGAAGAGCTGCTGCGTTTAGCAGCAACGGTTGCCCTTGAAACTGTGCCAATGGATTAGCAAGGGCAGCTTGAAGAAGGTTTGGCTGCTGTAGGCCAGGAAGCAGGGTACCGCGACCTATGAGTTGCTGAGTAAGCAACGGATTGCGAAGAAGGAGGGCTCGATTCAATTGGGCTTGAGCAGCCAAGGCTGACTGAGCAATTAATGGATTCAAAGGATCAAGAATGCCCGGCAATTCTGGAAACGTCATTATGTTGATGGCTACGGCGATTTCGATTAATTACCTCCAGCTGGCTTGTTTTTTTTCGAATGAACACGGGCTGTTGCGCAATTCACTTCAATTTTTCTTCCCTCAATCAGAGATCCGTGTAATTCCTGTCGAGCTTTTTCCGCGTCGGCAGGTCGCTCCATGGTCACAAATCCAAATCCCTGAAAAAATCGAGACTTGTGTAACCGAAGCGTAAAAATGCACTTTTTGAAGTAACAACGAATTTTTTTATTTTACAAAATACATGAATAACTTCTCACTTTTGAGCCGCGTTCGTTGAAGATGATCTCTACGTCGGACACAACTCCATATTTCTCGAACATCGCTCTAAGATCGGGATCTCGGAATCTGAATGGAATATTCGAGACATGGAGCCTTTTCGGTCCTTCGGGTCCAGCTAAAAAGAAACAAACTATATAAAAGCTGTAACTCTAATTATAATAATAAAATTTCATGAAGACCAGCGTGATTTTAATACACAAAAGCTGATTTTGCATTAATAGAAACACCGAGAAAAATTTGATGCATAATTCAAAAACAAATTGAGAAACAATCTAAAACGATCAAATCATTGATGAGGTTAATCACATTGTCGCACATGACCGTTCCTTTCTTATCAAATTTCATGCAACTCAAGACGTTTAAAAATTGTAAAGAGAAACAGCACGAATATGAACTCAAAATGTTGCTTTTTGATGGGAAGAGAAAAGGAGGCAAGGCTTACAGCTAGTGCTGGGATCTGGTTGTGTTACAGCCGTGGAATTGCCATTTTGTGATGAGATTTGTGATCCATGTTGGGACACCTGGCTTTGTCCAATTTGTGGCCCGATTTGAGTTGGTTGTGCGGCTTGCGCTGCAGCTGCCGCAGCCAACTGCTGCTGAATCGATAATTGGAGCTCATACTCACTGGTTTGCTCTTCCTGTAAAACAAAAAGCGCTCATTCACATATCATGCGCATTATTCGGAATCGCAGCATTTTGACGCATGCGTTTTATGTTCACAACGTGTTCTTCTTCTCACAGTAAAATGTGCTACCATTCTCTGTCTCGTCGCTTCACAATGAGGAGATAATATTAATAATTTTAAAATCAAACCTCAAGAACCCAGACAAAATAACGACCAAAAAACCGTGGGATAAAAAAATTATTGGTCGACAAAAAAGAAGGATCGACACAAATTTTCATGCTATCAGTCAAACTAGAATACATAAATGAAGTTTTCTGAATAGTTAGTTTACGGTGCTCTGCAATAAATCCTGCCATAGGTCTTTCTACTCTACTCTAACTGGTTGGAAACTTTCTAGTAAAGCTTCATTTTCGTCTTATTATTCAATCATGTATTATTGTGAACCACTGTGAATGGGTGAGCAGGACATGACAAAATTATGAAAACATGTTGATCGCAAAAAATTCATACCTTTACTTTCACATGATCATTTTGGTTGTCGATGTGGTTGATGGGTGCACTGGTCGCCAACATAATACTATTCTGGTGGTGGTGGTTTTGAGCAGCGACAGCTGAAATAAAATGAGAAATAAATTTAACACGCCTACAACGAAAATTAAATTCAAAAGTCATAAAGCCGTCCTAGTAAACAATAGAGATCGTTGTTCAATTTATATTCCTTTAGGCTGTCAATGTTGGCTTGTATTATTTTTTTTTGAGGAAAATGTGTCGCGAAAATGGTGAGGGACAAAAATAAAGAGAGAAAAAACAACTGAGGGCGAAAGAAGAATGAATAAAACGACATGCCTGCCAGGTTGCGCGGAAGGCTGTTGAGAAGGCACCATCAAAACCGTGCATATCTTCTGGAAAATCTTTTAAAACATGTGTTACCCGCGCGTAAAGATCGCACCGATAAGACGAACCCTGCTGCGGCGAAATTTGGCAATGCAAATTAACTTGACTTAAGGATAGCTCAAATTTTTACTGAAAAAGCTCTTGTGAGTCTCAACAAGCGACAATTTTGAATGTGTCATTCATATAATTTTATGCTTTTGTTGTAAATACATAGTGAATAAAAACATATGAGTGATAGCGTTGACGCGATTTGTTTTTTTTTTAATTCTTTGAAATGTTGTATTCGATGCGAATAAATAAAAACAAAAGCAGCGGAGGAAAACAACAAAACTGAAGGATACGGAACGTGAGAAAGAATGAGAGAAAATCGATGGCAATGCGACTTTTGCATTGTTTCCGAATCGCATTAGTCCCAGAATAATTTGCTTTGACGCAATATTTTCAGTCAACGCACAATGTGATTTGATACACTTGAGCGAGCCGTGTTGCTCTGAGACTGCGACTGGCGTATGCTGCTCGACACGCACAAACATATATGTGCGAACGCCAAACGTCGACAGCCCAGTTGACCTAGCGATGAGAACTTGTGCTAAACTCTGTACAGTAATAAAAAAAATAGCGTTGACAAACAGAGCTCAACTTTTGATGACGAAGAAATAGGCCGATGAGACATAGAGAGCGGGAGAGTTATATGAAATAGAGGGCCAAGTGCTAGAAAGACAAAAAAGGTGTTTAACCCCGCATATCATGATCGCATCAAAACCAAATAAAAGAGAAATGGTGATATTACGAGAGCCGTATCACGTTGTCAACTATTTGAATTCGTTATAATCGCTATAAAACTGGAAATAAACTATTCGTTTGAATAATATCTATCTCTATGAATTACGAAATAAACAGATTAGAAAAAAGAAACTTTTTTGAAAAGACATCATTAACCGTGTGAAAAAAAGCTAAATTTTACGACTCGGAAAAAGAAACTTTATAATTAAATGTGTATCTTGTATTATAATAAAAATAAATTTAATTTTCCAAAAAAAAAAACGATGTGATTAAATAATGGCCTAGATTTTAAAATGGCGAATCGGTAAAAACCGATTTATCTCCAAATTTCAATCAAATCAAATCAAAATCTTCAAGCCGATGACTGGCGGATATGACAAGGTGTGTAGTTGATAAAATCATCAAGCCGTTATCAAAGCAAAGTCCACAATGTAAGTTTTCTAGGTCAACTAAAAAAATTGAAAAGCTTTACTTACCGGCATTCGCTGCTAGATGCTGTTGTTGTTGAGCAGCTAGTTGCTGCTGGGCAGCTAGTTGTTGGTATAATAGCTGATTTCCACCTTGCATCAGACCCATGCCTAATGTTTGATTCTGACCGGGTGCGCCGTTGATTTGGTAAAGAGCCTGCATTCCTGGCAACGTCTGTAAACATCCACGATATGTTGGGGATCTCCAAAAATCATTTTAAAACTCAAATTCCTTAAGAAGCGAACCAAACAATTATATGGCAAAATTATAGGTTGTGCGACGAAGAAAAACAACGCATTTTCAACACGTATAAAAGAATATAAAATGTTGTTGTTTTCTTTTTCTTTATAAATGGAGAACGATGGGGTGCATAATATGTTTTTCTTTATGCGGGGGTGAGCAGATGTGGTCTCTGTTCAACCCACTTTCGGCTGATTGAATTGCAGTCAATAAAATCTATTCCGGATTTACTCATTCGCGTTATAGTTTTCGTACGTATTCTCCGCTTATCTGTCTCGCCTATCAATTTCTCGCCACTATTATCGATGCGATGACACGCAAAGATCACTCATTACTCACAACAGACCAACATACCTTTAAATGCGGCGACATCTGATTTGAAATTAAAATACTAGTTCGTGTCTCAACCATACCGGCGAACCTCAAACTTACACATTTTCTATTACGAGCGAGTGACCTTACAAGCCGCAGCGCGGCACACACACATACACAGACACGCGACGCGTACCCTCGTTCTTTGCTTTTTTATGTCACAAAAAACTGCGAGTGCACCAATTACGCTGCCGAGATTGCACACTTTCCCTAACTGTTTGTTTTATATTTCAAAACCAAAATTTATGCAAGTTTAGCGTGATTAATGAATCGTCTAGTTCTCTGCGTTCCCTCAGGTTCTCTACTACTGCCGACGCTTTTTCTCACAACATTTTCTCACAATTTATAAATTTGGTAGTACGGAGGTGCGGTGGTTGGAGAAATGGAAGAAAAAATACGAAAAAAACTAATGAACAGCTGGTATAAAATAACTCGATAACAATGACTCTTTTCTTTGAACATAAACAACAAATTCTTATCAAAAATCTTCAATACATCGAAGCTGATCACATATTTTTTCATTAGGCAAATTCTTTTTTCAATGAATGAAACAAAGAAATTGGGTTAGAATATAGTAAAAAGTTTTCTATTAAAAAAAAACGAGGAGGTTGTGGCTGAGGAGAAAAACAAGATGTGTTGCTGGGGAAAAGAACGAATAAATGAAGACAGATGGCATAAATTGCGTAAGTAACACATGTGCACAGAATGAGATCACCGACCCGAAGGTTCGACCATCGACAAATTTTGCGCGCGCGCACATACGAACCATTGAGCGCCGCTATCCCTGCGTGCCGGGTGCTCGTTTGGACGCTTACATTAGGTCGACCAATTTTGAATATTAGAGAGAACTATATATGAGACACGTATGTGCAGCGTATATACAAAATGTGCGAATGTATTATGGGAATGTAACACATCGTAGTATACTTTGCACAATCCTAGTGCGCGTCGAATATCATCAACCCTTATCCAAATATCTGATAAACGAGAAGCGAATGAATACGATTGGATACGAAAATTCGTACAAGAATATTCCGTGGATATAAAAGAAAATGACGAATACATTTTCTGGGACACTTGTCTTTATAACAAAGGTAATGGTCAAAAACTTTAAAGGCATCAAGTTTTACGGCAAAACACGCGTTCCAAAAGCCTTGCAAATATTTGAAATTACCTTTACACGACCCGTCTTTATGTATGTTTTATTTTCCAGAAAACATCCAATTTATCTCACTCCTGCTCTTGTTTATTGCTTGAATATAGAGAATATATTTTAAATTGGTCACAGAAATAATTGCATTAAGTTAATCTTTTATTCTAGAATTGATTTAATTCGGCGGATTTTTGATTTAGTCTGCGGCAATGTGAAATTTCACTGTTAATAACCGTCTTTTTGAATTAAAATCAAGAGAATTTGAAAAAATCACACAAAATCTTGATTAAAAGTCAACATTTTAGCAAACTGATTTATTGAAATGACGGCCATGAAAAAATCCAGTAATGTTAGTAATTTAAGAAATAAAGCAATGACCTTCAACATGTTTTTTTTGTTTTGGGCCAACATTTATCGGGGAACACCATCTGGCAAAGAAAAAGTTTTAAAGGTCTCTATAAAATAGACTGTGATTGCGCGGCAATTTCAAAACATTTAAACCTAACACGTGTTGTAAATTTCAATACAATAGCTCGAAACAAAAGCGAAATTAGATTTCATAGCCAACGTGTTGTTGTATAGATTTAGAGAAAAAAATTGTAGTTACGCGTTACGTTGGAACGCATTTTTCGGGTTATTATTTTCCTAATTAAGGGAGTAATAAAAAAGCTACCTTGCACGCAAACAATTCTTTTATTATTTCCCTTTGAATGTTGGATTCAATCTTTAAATGTTTTAAGCAAACAAAGAGATTTTACTGTTTTAGGACGCTATAATTAAAGCAAAATTGAAGAAATCTAGGCACGCAGAATGTACAATTTTAATGTTCCTTTTAACTTTTTGGCCGCTTCCGAAATGTTTTGAGAACAATACAGAATATGAATCATCGACCATTCATTGGAAAATCAAACAATGCCGCAAGTTGCGCAGAAAAAAAACAGAAGATTGAGACTACGAGTAGTTTAGGCAAATATTCTTGTCAGGCCTAGACGACTAGTATGTATTAATATGAATGACGGGTGCCATTGCCGACAATTTTATAAAATAGTTCGGTTGCGGTGGTAGTAGCAGTTTCTGTTCTCTCTTTGTCTCTTCAATCCGACGTTCACCGTCACTCCAATAATTGCCGTGAACTGCGTGGTATTCGTTCGTTGAGGGTCACTCTGACATTGCCCCCTTTTTTCGAATCGACCTCATTTGCGTGCGATTTTCATTAAAATTAGTGCATTTCCCCTAAATCACCGAACCGACGTGCGAAGACGCATGCGTGTTGACACGGCCGATTCGCCATAATAGTCGCAAGCTCCACAGCATCTTAAGATCTATGGCGAGGATAAAATACGCCTCGCTAAATATTTTTGCGAAAAGCATTAGCGAGAGAAGACCGCAATTAAGTGACGCTTTCAACACGAGACGCCGATATTGTCGAACTTTGAAGGCGAGCCAAGCAATTAGGACAAATTGAAACTACTGAATTTCAAAGTATGTGTGCCTTACCGCAAATTCCAACTTTATTTTGAACAAGAGGAACAATTACGAAAATGCAGTTAGGAAACCGGTTCACTAAATTTTTATGCGAGTTTTATTTGGGCCCACACCAAACTTTCCATTAAAAATTGCCTATACCTCTTTTGAATAACTTTCTATTTGTGATAGATAAACTATTGTAAAGTTGGATACCTGGTTGTAAGGCAGAAAGTATGGGCGATGGAGCAAACTCGAAAATAAGTACATCGGTGATTTCACTGTTTTTTTTTTGAAAATTGTGGATGGGTGATGATGATGCAACATCATTGTTTATTTTTGCGCTATTGGAACACGAATGTTTTGTAAACATTTCCAAAATCGGCAGGATCAAATTTTCAGACTTGTACGAGCGAATGAAAATGATTTACAACGGAAATACGATATGTTAACATGTTATGTAACCACAGTATATTGCACCAAATAAAACATACCTCACTGGAGACATTCTCGTTTTCTTGTCGACTGTTCTCTTCAAGGGAATCAGACATCGCAAAAACGGTGAATCAGTAGGAGTGAGCAGCTCAGAAGACTAAGTAACTCAACGTAAAGTTGCTAAAGGGGTGGGTTATTTTTTTCAGGCGGGTCTTCGTGCCGCGCTGTCACACCGCAAACGGCCTCATCCAATGGTGACGACGTCGCACAGTAGAAGACGGGGCGAATAGGGAAAGAAGTAGTCGAAGAAGAAGAAGACGCCGAATCACGCAAGTTGCATAGTCGAAAATTCAACAAATAAGCAAGAGATGCGGTTCTTCTTCTTCTTCTTCTTCTTCTTCGTCTTCTCGTTTTCTTCGTTTTCACCCGTTGGAGCAATGAGTAGGGGTGCGGGGCCTTAAGAGCTTGTTTCTTCTCTAGAACTCACACATATGTGCGCACATTCTAACACACGCCTTCCGAGTACACACGTCTTATTAATTGAGAGTCCGCTGTTGCGCTCCTTTTTCCCGTGCTTTCAGCCACTAATGAAACAAAAACAAATTACATTAACGTTAGTGTTGCCCCTAAAAATGTGTCCAACTTCGTCTATCTCAGTGTTTTTTTTTTCGAAAGTTTTAAGCTTTTTTTTGTTATTATCGATCTTATTAAATAAAGTGAAGTGTCTCGCTTTTTTTATAATAAGAATGAAAGAGTGTTTAATTGAGGGTTAGATTCCATCTTCAATTTTGAAATTGAAGCGTTCTAAAGCCCTCAGTCACCCTATAATTTAATAAACTTGCCACGAATCGAATAGTTGGGAATTCTCAGATTTCGTATTTCACAATTCTCCAATTCAAAGTGGAAAAAAATATGAAGAAATAAGGTCATCAAATGGCGCCACGGAAATATGGGATTAAAGAATTTCGAACGCATCTTGAAATACATCTAATGTTTGAAAACTTGCGAGTTTTTCAACTTATACGCGAAAATGTGGCAAAATAATAAAATTTGAGATTGCATGGAATTCTAAATGAAAACATGAAGACAGGAAAAGAGGTCGCAACAACAAGCAGCTGCGCTCGTCTGCTTAGACACAATTTGTATTTTTTGTATACGCAATTTGGATTGCAGAAAATAATCTTTCTGGCTCATAAATTAATGTTAGGCACTAATATGTCAAGCAATAACACATATACGCATTAAGGAATGATGATCGACGTGGAATTATATTATTCATTGGAGGGCCTTAAAGAAATGTAGGCAAAGAGCGTGGGGTTTCCGATTGAAATAAGACGAGGAGTGTAATCGAATAGGGGTCGAGAGGAGCTGTGCGGCTTGATTAATACAAAAAGATCCAAGTGCCATAGAAACATGAGGAGCACATGGTTATGAAATGCTTTGCGATCACGAAAACGTTGAAAATAAGTGAGAGTAGTTGAGGCAAGTTACACAGCCCACGCTTCGTCATTTGTTCGCCAATAATTTTGAATCAATTTTTAGTGAGAGCAAATGAAATGGGTGCCTTTCTTACACACCGACTCGTTCCGCCGAAAAGATATTTCGTTTTTCAATGTTGCCACAAATTTTTGGTTCTTGCGAATTAATGAAATTTGATAATATTCAAAGAAATTCAATATGTTATGAAACTAAGATGATTTTATATGTCAAGAATTATGATAAATATGGCAATTTTAGCATACGGTATCGGACAGTGGCATAATTTATAACCGGCATTATAATGCCATTTATGGGCATCTCTTATTAGCATAATCTGTAGTTTTATTCACTAAAAATTCTGTTATTGATTTGAATGAATACAAAGGACGAGTGGACGGAAAAACGGACAAAACAAAATAACTCAATATCCACTCTGGGACGAGCGAATGAGTGGCTCTTTTAAAAAGAAGAAAACTTTTAGACGGCATAAGCGTACAACAATGGAATTTGTGAATGAAGAGGAAACGCGTGCAATTCGAGACGTACTATTTTGTTCGCACAAACCCGATTTTTATTCCAGGTAATTCTCTCGGAAAAACGCAAACTGTCAAGCGCCAGAAAATTGCGAAAAAATGAAGGAGACAAAAAAGTCAAATGAAATGGGTGACCCCCATATAATGGGTCGGTCGTGAATTTTAAATTTGAAACACACAAAATGTCTTGCCTTCTACGAAAAGGATTAAAGGATTTTGTTGCGAACTCGAAACAGCTGTCTAAATTGTGAGTGGTGAGAGCACCGAGGAAGGATTCTTGTGCTTTTGGACATAGCCCAGTTCCCACCGGTAGATGCAATGTCAAGTGTTTGGGCTGAGTTGGATAGTACTCGGAAGAGAGGTGGTATGTTAAGTGCTGAGAGAATATCTTAACGGATCGACAAAGTCAATAAACTCTATGACACTGTCGGCTCTCGGTGATCTCAAGATGTGCCCCCGATCCAACGCAAACGTTTATCCAAAGTATATAACAAATACGTCTTGCAATATTTGTTATACGACTTCTTTTTTCACGTTGGTTTAAATGAAAAGAGAATAGTGTGAATCGAATGGATGGCACAAAAATAGATATTTGTTCTAGTCAAGGTTTTCATTGTTTACTATCGATTTATTCACAAAAATAGTATGCATAAAACGTGTTCGATGGAAAGACGAATAAGATTATGTGAAAAATGTTAAATATTTTTTTACTCGTTTTAAACTGAGTAAATAATAATGAATGCAGAATAGTCACAGAGAGGGAATGCAGAATAATCACAGAGATTTTGATATACTCGTATGAGCTTAAGAGCAGAAAATAATTAGTAATGTAGTGAGCCCTGAATTGGAATAACATATTTCTATCAGTTCAATAATTTTTGACATATTTTGAAATTCAGCGTGATTTTATAAGTTATTTTAGAGAATCAAACATTTGGAATAAAAAAACTTAGAAAAGAAAGAGAAGAAAGCACGGCATAATTAAAAGATTTGCGGTTGTGGCGTCTCATTCTAGTGACACACATTTTTCGAGATTGGAGCCATCAAACGTATAAAACGCGTGGATAGTTCTCTAATTTATAGGAAGCTATCCTCGATATTTCCCCTTCTACAAGTATATATGTGTGTAATTTTCAAGAAAAAAAAGAATGATTTCCATTTCGCACGAATCGAATTCTTTCCATACTGATTGTTGTTGCTACTGGTGTAGAAAATGTGACAATGATGTACTGGTGAAAATTCAATTTATTCGCGGATGGCAATCCGGACTATAATTTTTTGCAATCTTCTCTCTGGGGCGGCAAAGCAAACTCCTACGCCTTTTTTTGAGTATAACTAATTGGGATCGAATTGCATTCTGAAGAAATTTGATCACTAATTAAATGGGTAACGTATGCATACCTAATTAGACATACATAAAAATATTAGAAAGAGAGAGGGAGGGAGAGAGAGCGAGGGGGAGAGAGAGAAATGAGTATATTCTACCTGAAGGCCTGAGCCTGAGCTTCTTTTCAGGTTAACTGGTTTCTGTTGCTTGTCTCTTGTTACTTGAAGAATGAAAATGCATTTTTGCGGAAAAGCATTTCCGTTCTGTCTATTACACGGAGCCGTTTTATGCGTGCGCACATGCATACATTCTACCTACCAGAGACACATATGAAAACAAGTATATGAATTGGTAGTATTGTTGTGAATATTAAAAACTGTCGCGAATTGATTTTAGACAACCCTGCAGGACCGTTTAGAACATTTGTTGAATCCCATGTATCAAGAAATACTTATTGGAAAAGAAAGAAATAAAGTAATGACGTTTCTTTATTCTGCCACATTTGCTTGTTAGAAGTATGTCTGACGAACAACGCATATTATTCTTCTCGAGCTATACAAAGGGCATCGCAAGAACAAGGCTATCATAAATAGAATAATTTTACCTTATTGAATTCGTAGCAATCAATATACATATTACGCTAAAGAAGTTTCGATAATAATAGAGGGAATAACTGAATGACTAGTTTGCGGAAGCGAAAAATAATGAGAAAGCACATATCAATTGAAAATGAATTAAATGAATGTGCGAATAAGTTTCTCGAAAACTCGGCTCGCATGACATGAGTTAACGTACACCATTTGGAATAGTTCGAATGTAAGCAGCGCGTGCAAAACTAATCATTTTAAAATGTCATGCTGAGCTTTGAGTTCACCATACATGCGTCCGATTATGCATATACGCGATGTCCATTTGCGAACCATGAATAGTTAAGCCAATTCTCGATTTTTGCGTTAAGTGCAAGATGCTAATTGGTTTTAATTCTCACTTCACACCAGCTCAATGCACCATGCAATCGAAAAAATTGTTGATTTTTGAACATTGTCTACCCCTTATATTGTATTGAAATTAGACTGCCTCAGGCACAACCTGAAGCTAATCTTTTTAGAAAGTCCTGAGAATCTCTTGAGGCACTTTCCGATGTTGAAGGCTGTGATTCAATTAGATGCAAATCCCGCCATTCGCCTTTCAACACAATTCGAGAAATGAGTTTTTCAAATGGGCCGGATGAAATGTGTTGTGCAAAGCCAATATCCGAAATGGATATGTTCGAATTCATCACCGTAAAACATGTATGACTCACCATACAAAGCTGAGCGCACATCGAGTTCATGCCGTCGTTAAAATTGGCGAGTGGATCCCTTGAATATATAGTTATATGAATGTAAATGAGAATATATGTAGATAAGAATAACGAAAGGCGTGGCATACTGGCAAAAAGAATGGACAAAACTAAGCGCGAGTCGTTCAAAATATACTATAATTATTATAGGATTGCCAGTTTGGAGCATATTATTTCAATATCAACAAGCCTTATTCGACAACGTTTCGCCGAGAATAAATGTCAATAGGGATTGGAAACATATTATTTGACGTTCTATTTTGAAAAATGCACTGTAATAACTTCTTAAGTAATAATAATATTTATAAGAAAAAACAAGTTTTGATTTATGTTTAATCTCCAATTTTAGATTATTATTATTGCTACTATTAAATTATTATTTTTAACAAATGTCATTCAAAAGAAAAAACAAAAAAAGGAATGAGATATCATCGAGGTTTTGAGGAGGGGAGACGTTTTGAGAACCAGAAATCATGATAATATAATAATAAATTCTAAAAAAAACATCAAAAACAACACACATGAATAATTTAACAAAGTGGCCGAACCGCCTGGGAATCGGAATATAAACCAATTTCAGATAACCCAATTTGCCCAAAGTTTAACTTTGTAGATGCATCCTGCCACGCAACAATGAAAAACTGCAAGGAATAGAAAATCTCACTCGTTTTTTGCTGCATAAAAGCTCACCCGCGACAAGTGGTCCGGTAGCAAAACAATCTCTTTTGTCCATTTTCTACCAAAAGGTTCAATGCTGTTATTGTAAACATTCCAGAAACATCTTAAATGAATGTGGGAAATGAATGAAATAAATGTTAAGCATACTTTGAAGCTGTCCCATCTTCACACACGGAGAGTAGTAATCCTTTTGCGCTCAAGAACTTTTTGAAACTCAAATATGCATTTGGAGTATCGCTTATTGCATATTCAGATGCTTCCAAGACATATCTGTCTACTACAGGGGTTCGGCGAAATCCTACGAAATTTGCCACCAAAAATGGATATGTATCTCAATTGAAATCAATTTATTGTATGTTGCATTGGATAGTCTTACCATTGTTATTTGGAGACATATGAATTCCTGTAAGTTTATTTGCGCGATTTTCTTTTGTTGATGTTATTCTCCAACCAGTCGTGTAACCTTCACCCTTAGCTCCATACCCTGCTCTTTGATAATCACATACCGCATTTTGGTCGTCATTTAGACATGTCAGCGTTCTTAATTATAGGTTATGAGCCAAAAATTAAGCAAGCTAAACCGGCATTCTGCTTCTCCATCTTCGTTGAGCACAATAAAACTGTTGCTGTTATTGACTAGCGTCGGAGCTGCTTGTTGAACAACATCTCTGGATAAAATTTGCGATTCTTCATCAATTTCTGAACATTAATAATGGCATTTTTAGAATAATTTTTGGATGTTTTACCTGCTGTCTCACCAGACACTAACCGTTCTGCATTCTTAGCAACTGAACTGAATGGTTCGAGATCATTATTGTCAATGTTTTTCGGAGAACAGCTTTCCGGCGGATCAATTTCACCAAAATATTCAATCTCATCCAACAAAATCAAACCCCCTTCAGGTTCGTTTTCAAAATTGTAACCTCTTAGTATGATCTGTGAACAGGGATTTTGTAAAATAGTGATTTTAAGAGGCTACCACAAATGGTTCAAATATTGGTGGTATGCTTGCGAGTATTGTGTGATTATCTGTCGGTGTTACTGTCATACAATTTTCCAATTTTTCCTCTAGCACATGCCTTGTGCAAATATCTAATTTTGGTTCATTTCCGAATGTTCTTGCCCGACTGCAATAAGGTTGATTGAAAGATTTCATTAGTTTCTATTTTTATACCTTCTCCAATAACGAAAACTCAGAATTCCTTCAGATTGTTGGCACCCAATTGGCAAAGAAATTAGTTGTCCGTCATGAGAAGAAGGTTGGGGGTTTGAGGCAAGAATAAAGTACGTGTTATCTGAACTATTGTACGTTTTTTGGGTCCCATTTGGAATTTTCAAAACCATAGCTTCCAGGCAAATATTTCGAGCCAGTTATAAGTTCTAATTTTGTCGGATCGACATGTCCTTCTCCCAAAACCCAATCAAGATAATCTTCATCAGTGTTTTTCCACGTACAATTAAAAGCGGAAAGACATTGCAGGTCAATGTTAGATCTTGCGTATTCGGAAGATCCAACATGTTCAGAATATACTCTCGCTTTCACATCTGCTCCAAGAAAACCTGAGCAAATTTTTTTTAATAAGAAATTGAATTCTTTTGATTTAGGCCCAATCTAATCTTGAAATTATTTGGTTTCTGTACCTGTGTAAGCTGGGTCATGATGATAACTATAAGAATTGCCGCTTTGGCCATTGTCATATTGCTGTCGGCATTCGGAATTGTATCGGTAAGTTGCTACCGAACAACTTCCTTGGTTTGACAAACACGCCACAACTGAAAATAGCCATTCATCATTGAGGAAGCAATTATAGTTGAAAAGTCCATGACAAATGTATGTTTCTGGCGAGAATGAAAAGAGAGATGAAGACAGGTTTCACTCAAACTTTACTAATTGCTCGCGGGAGACCGGATGAGGACTGCAAGATCTCGTAAGATTACAGGGTTCAAAATACAAACACGAAAACACAAAAAAGTCAACGAGAACACTATTCAGTGCGCGCATATGATAAGGCCACCCTTGTTATTTGGGATATCTTTGATAATTGGAAATATGTCAAAATTGTACCAGATTCGTCGCTGTTAAAGGTTTAATGCATATTTAAAATAAATTGCTGCAATTTTTGGGATACTTTATGAATATTTCGTATAGAACTATTTTATTTGAAATGTAAAAATTGTGCATGACGATTTGACATTTTGAAATTCAATTTGAAATTACGCCTTTTAATTTTCTTAACTCATCGATTTAAAGTTTTACATTAACTTAAAGAGAAAACGACGAGAACTGAAAATTCTAACAAAAATAAGACCTTAATCAATACAAAATGTACCAGAAAAAAATTTTAAGGCTCAAATTATTTGTTATCCTAACTATTCAAAGGAAAGTGTTTTTGCCGCCGGTTGGGATTTTTTCTAATTTTGCACACCAATAGTTTGTTAAATGCTTATCAAATGTGTTATGTCGTTTTCCGCAAAAATTTGGAAAAGACCGAAAATTGTGAGCCAATCTGATGCGAACCATAATATTTCATAGAAGTATTGATTTTTCTTTCACAACAACTCCAACTGACTGATGACCTTGGAAAAAATTGCAGCAAGTCTTAAATTTTTCAGAGAAATAGTAAAAATTTGCTGATAATTTCTCATCAAACCTTTGGTTTTGTTTCAGCAGAACTTATTTAAAAATTGCCTGATATTTGCTAAGAAATGTTGATTACCGAGTGAGCTTAAATGTAATTGTTTCGCTTTGTTTTGAATGATTTTGTGCTTTTTATAATCACATGAATAAAAAACATAACTAATAATGTAATAACAAACCATTCTCTTTCGATATTATGTACCAGAGTAGAAATATTGAGAACTGCATTTATAATCTGTTGATGATGAATAATACTAACAAATATGACATTCTACGCGAATAATGATTTGGATTGCAATAGACTTGGTTTTGAATGAAACTTTGCACTTTCACATTCTCTATAATCCTCGAAAATTACCGTCGGAAGAAAATGTTTTCACTTTTCTAATAGAAGGCGGGATTTATTGCAGGTGAGAAGAATGAGAATCCGACTTTCGAAAAGGACGACCTCAAATTATAAACTGTTCGCTGCCATCGATGAAATTATAATGCGAAGAAGTATTTTTCGTCACATGGCGAACGTCACGATGCATATTAATTGCAATGAACTACATTCCAACGAAAACACTAAAAATAGGTGTGAATGTATAATTGTTTATAGAAAAATATCTCGACAAAGAATGTTCATTTCAAACAAACAACTTTATGAGTAAAAGCTTTTCCTTCCTCGACGGAAATAGTGTACTCGAAAGTTCCTAGATTAGCACATGCTGCACCATGATTGCCTTTAGTATTTGCCGCAATAACAGCTCCTAAATCACATCAGTGACAGCAACTATAGTATTACAAACCTTTAAATTTTGGGTAATACTTTAAAATCCTTCGAATTGATTTTATGGTGGCTTTTGTTGGTTTTGTTCCAAGTTCCATGAGACTAACCGCATAAAACCTTAAATATGGAATGCATACAGAATTCATTTTTCACGGTATGTTGGTACACTTACGTTGGTAAAAATCGCATCATTACATCACCATCTCCAGTTGCTGCTGCTCCTCCTACTTCACTGGCGTAAGCACCAGCACCTGCAATTGGCGAATCACCAACTCGCCCAGGAATTTTGAACGCTGCCCCATTTGAGGATGTTCCTGCACAAACTTTTCGGTTTTCATCGACAACGACCATTCCGATTGTGTCGTGATTATTCCTGCCGACATATAATTTACAATTATTTAACAAAAATTTTTACTTAGTAACTTCGAAAGAATGAGTGAATCTCAATTGGGAATGTTTATTGGCAGTGTATGGACCACACGAAGTAGTTGGATCCGGACTAACATTCTGAAAGTTGTGGTTTTTTGTTTTTAGAAAATCTAATTTTAGTACCCTCCAAAAATTCGGTTGGCAATTTCGTGATTTCCATGATGAATGCATGTTGAGACTCGTATCGGAAGAAAGGTTTTTTGTTGGAAATCCGAGCATCTTTGCGAAATCGGACGCTGTCAATAAGTTAAATTAACACACTAATTGATGCTCGAATTACCCAAGCTTCCTACCAGCAATGAATGCGTTGTATGATTCATTACTGCCCACGCAACTTTGGCCGCATCACTAACACCTCTAAGATTTGCAACTGCTCCAATCTGCATATTTTCTCTGAACATGTATCACGAAAATTGAAAAATATCATATGTATGTCAAACCCATCCATAACTATGGAATCTAACGTGGTTTCTCCATTTTCATCTGGCGAACCACCTGGGCCGACAGTTCCATCGCATCCTATTGCTTCACAGGTAGAAAGTCCTGTTACGAGACCATGCATTCTTCCTCCGGCTTTTGTCGCAGAATAAGCTTAACGGTTTCATTGTTCATGTTTTAATTGGAAAGCAATGACATTTTTCAAGTTTTATTGCGTTTACCGATCATTATCTATTTTCGTGGCAAAAAATAGGGCTGTATATACCTAGTTATAAATACAGTTTGTTACTGAGAAAAAGTGACTTCTTCTCATTTTCTCCCCCTTTTTTATGCTTGAAAGTATTTTTCAAAGTTAAAACTTTCACAAATTACCATTGACGGTCGCATTTCCAAATCCTGGTCCACTCCATGTTGAGATAACAATAGGAAATTCTATTTCTTTTGATAATGCGTTGCAATTATCCATACCAAAAAGTACAAAAGACAAGAAGATCCATAATACCCGCCGCATAATCTCAAAATACAAGTTTCAGAATTTATACAACATTTAAAAAAACGAGGAGTAATTTTTATAACAATAGTAAAAAAATAAATACATAAACTTTGAAAAGGACTGGGTGTATCTTAACAAAGCAACTGTTGACCTTGGCTGTCGCGAGAAAGACGGATGGGAAGAAATCCAACCTCTCCTTTATTCTCGCCGCTGTTTTCAGCAATTACGCGGAGCTACAAAGTAATTGATTGGTGGAAATAAATCATAAAACTCGTGCCTCGTAAGTTCCTGGGGGCAGTTTAGCGCATCTGATATTCCATTTCTTGTTTTCCTGCAACACACAGAAAATTGTTTTGAAAAATTATTGATTTATTTTATCAATTGAGTACCTGCATTTCATTTCCCATTGACAAACCGCTCTTTTTGTAGAAACAATCCATTTTATCGGTACATACAGATAGTGAGAATCCTTCGGTTGCGAAATACTCATAGAAACAGAAGTAAACTTGCTCCAATAGTGGAACATTCATTACTTCTGAGACCAGTGTATAGCTACTTATGTGGGTATCAAAGAACGGTGCTACCAAAAACTTTTGTGCTAAAATATTGAGAAAAGTTAACGAAAAATGCTTTTTAGCTACCAGTTCCTGGTGGTAGATGAATGCCCGTAAGCGGATTTGCAACTCTACCGGCCACTCCAATTTCCCATCGATTATTTCCCGCTGATCGCCAGAAACGACAACTCAGATCTGTTTTAAATCATGAAAGTTTGCGCATTTTTCCAAAAATTTACCTGACGGGTTACATGATAGTGCGAGACAAGTTTCGAAAAGGCTAGGAACGTTTGCAATAGTGTCTGATAATGTTTGAGGAGCTTGTACTGGCTGCTGTTGAAGAGTTTGTGCAGGTATTGCTACTTCTTGAAACTGGAATGCTCTTGCAGATTGCGCCGGTTGAATAATTGAGTTAGTTTGTAAACTATTCTGTAATGCGGTCAATGCCATTTTTTGGTCGTCTGATGTTTGTGGCACAGCATTAATGGCCTCAAGGCCACCAAAACCCTGAAAAATTGCTTCAAGCTGTGACTTCGAATTAATGAAAACCTTGGAATTTGTCATTGCATCATTTAGTTTTTGCTTTGTAGGATTGACTTGAATATTTGGAGCAACTACATCATTCACAAGCACAGGATGACCAGTTATAATTTCTCCATTACACTCAATGCTACCATCAATCACGATGTCTTGCAGGAAAATGGCACCACCTTGAGGTGACACAAAGTTATTTCCATAAAATACAATCTAAATTTAAAAATAAAAGGTTCATTCAAAGAATTTTAAGCGACTTACGCGAGATTCCATTGATGGATTATTGGGTGCTGGGACATCAACCGACATCGGAACACCATTTCGAATTTCAAAATCATTGCAGTTTATCAACGGATATTTATCCTCATTGATATTTTTGGAGCAAACTTGAAGCTTTGGTTCCTCGCTGCTCGGACCAAGACGACTCCTCCAGGCAGTTGCAGTTACCTTCAGTCCTTCATGAAGGCATGGTAGCTTATCTGAAACCAACTGACCACCTTCCCAGCCATTTCGAGTTGTAGAGACCAAAGCCCCGGCTCCTTGATCTGTAATATAGTTGTAGAAAAAGGCGCTATCAGCGATTTACCTGGAAGATTTTGAACGTCTAATGTGGTTAGAAATGCTTGAGCCTGCGGTGATTCTTGCAACGTCGTCCAATTCAATTCCTCTTCTTCGGTATTGGACCAAAGACATTTTTCACGGAATGTTTGACAATTCAGTGAAGACAATGATCTAACCTTTAAATGGGAGAACTATCAGTTTTTAAACTTGTTACAAAATAAAAAAAATACAAAATTGAAAATAAATTAAATTTAAGTATTATATAATGTTTATTTACCGTGTCATCGCTTTGAGCAGCAAATCTAGGTTGCACTGGATTCTGAGCCACTGCTGCTGCTCCTTCAGCGGACGGTCCACGCTGTGGCTCCGATCGCCAAGGTCCTACCCTTGGAAACGGACCAACTGCTCCATAACCAAGTTGAGGAGCATAATATCCGCCGTATCCAGGACTATATCCAAAGAAAGGATTTGGAAGACATGCATGAGCTTAACAATTTTTATAAATAAATGCCATAGATGTACAATCCAACTGTGGAAACGTACACAGTAAAATCAACAAATTGATACAACACCAGAATAGCATGTCGTTAATCACCGTCGAAATATGCGAATAAATGAAATATGATGAGCGAGTGAGCGTTACTGCGCAGGCGGTCGGTGGGAGGTAGTCTCGCTGTTTATGTATATTCGAAAGTACAGTAATCCGCCGATAAATTTCATTCGCTTTCATGTTTTCACCGTGTAGACACAAAAAAGAACACGTTGGGGTTTTTTCTTTAAAAAGTGCGGGAACATAAATAGCTTAGAGATTACGTTATTCAGATACAAATCCATTTTTTCGTTTATTCAATAGACAAATAGAGTTCGGAAAAAAAAACTTGATTCAAATGCATGATCCAAATATTACAAAGCAAAATATTTATGTACAAGTAAAAAAAAAACAAAAACCACACTACATACAAGGTTTGTTTTAATTTTTAAAAATAAATTATTAACTACCATATCAGCTGTGCAATAAATTTTTGCAAAAAATCACCTTACTCAGATATAAATTTTTTAAATAAAACACGAAAGATTCTCCTTTATAAATTCAAGAGTTTCAATCTGAGCTAAACACTTGAAAATACCACATTGCAACGCGTTTTTTCTACATTCTTACCAAAACTCATTCATTAATAATTAAACACTTTTGAACATTTTTCTTGTTTTTTTTTTCAATTATTTCCCATCTCCAAAAAACGGTGAGAACGCGTAAATCAAATCAGATTTTGTTTCGATTCGCCGCAAGCGGATCACTCACTAAATCCCATGTGAGTAGCCGGAAAGCCGCATACTTGTACCGGTTTTTGAAAGCAATGAAAACCTAGTCCGATTACTCACTTTATTCGAGCTTCCCCCAGGTTTATACATACACAATGCAAAACCCGTTTCTATTATTAACGATAACGCATACGGCTTGACAATTTTTCATAACGTTGTACTTTTACAACTAGTATTATGCGTTTTATTAGAACACGCAAACATCTCATCGAAAATATAAATATGTACATCGATATTGAGCACCCAAAATGCTTTCAATGTGTATTCGAATCTGCAAACGAAAAATAAAATATATCTTAATCGAAATCTGAAAATACCTTCCATAATTCATATCGATTCGTCGTGAAGATGGGAGTTTTGCTCATCAGTTGACGTGATGCTGCAACTCCGAGCTCCTTCCGCTTCCAGATCAATGTTGACGATACGAATTTCAACACCGGCGGGCATTCGAGTCGATGGTTCCTTTTTGAAACGGCGCATTGTTTGGCGCGTCGTTGACCACACTTTTTTGGCCACTGTTGGCTCAGTCTCAAAATTGATTCGCGCGGTAATGAGGATATCAAATGAGACACCTAATGTCGAGCAAAACACAACAGTGCATGGAAAACGACGCATCGCAAGCAATCAAATGAATTGAATGACGTAAAGCTATTTTTGAACTCATAAAATTATACTTAACTAAAATGTATGACTAAATTATAATAAATCGTTATTTTTTTGAAATCATTAATTTTTTCAAAATCAAGATTGTTAAAAAAAATTAAAGTTTTCACATAAACAATAATCGTAGTGTAGGTCCTATTAAATTAATTGATAACCTTATTATAATAATTACAAGTAATCATTATTTTGTTCAGCTAATAATTGGCCATTCAAAGCTATACGAAGGAAATCATATCACGTACAATCATCTAATCGCAAAATCGATATTCTCTTTTTTTTACCTGATCTTCGGTTCCTACCAAGCAAAATGCTACAACAACCACAACAGTTACAATTGAGACCAGTGCCTGAAATACCCATGAAAATTAATGTGAAATAATGGATGAAACTAACCAAATACAATCCACTTCCATATGTGTTAATATCGTAAATTGCGATGCACACTCCAAATGTAAAACAACAGGAACTTATGCAGAAAATGAAAACAAGCGGATTAGGTCGCAGCTTTTCCAAAACTTGTGCGTTGCACATTTTATTACAAATTATTTATTTCTGCTCAAATCTTCATTGAAAGGGCACAAAAATTCTGAAAACTACTGTTTATAATCGCTCAATAAGTGAAAATTATATAATCGAACAAGGGCATTAATTTCAATCTTCAAACGAAGAAGAACGGCACCAATAAACAATCTTAAGAGCGAAAATGTGAGAAAAAGAAAAGTAACACATAGTTGTGGCAGACACGCTGTCACAAAAACCATTAAGACACTCCATTGCGGATTTTGAGAAACGACCTCCATTATTCGGAAGTGCTTCAAAAAATTCCTCGAGGCAATGCTTGGCACATCGTGAAAAAAAAAACTAACACAAAAATGTGTGCATTCATTTTTCACAATGGTTGCGTTTAATAGACATATTTAACAATTCGAACATTTTTTTTAGGAATAATGGTTTCTATCCAAATCATGTTTAAAGGCTTCTTGTTATTTGAAAAATACAAACATACAAGAATTGGTGGTTACATTTATTCTCAAATGTTATATAAAGTGTTTAATTAGCGAAATTTTGAAAACCCACACGCTATTACTTTTAGGACATATTTTTGACATCGAGGGATAGAAATCTGACACGATCGTGGAATCTAATCAGCAATTTGCACAATGTTCACCGTTGCGAAAAAAATTAGATTTTGTTTGTCGTTCCAAACGCTACCAGTTGTATATCTTGGGTGCGACAAAACACAAAAATGCACTTCTCAACGGAGTTATGGATTGACGGAATTTTCGTGAAAATCTTTTCATATTAATGCATTTATTGACGCTTGACATGTCTAGAAAACTTGAATAATTAATGAGATGAATCAAATAACATCTAGTAAGCGAAGGAAAACTTTTTATGTGAAAGATTCTCGAATAACAAAAGTTTTGAAGTATTGAAAGACGTTGCGCAAAGCAAATGAAAGGAAATAATAAAAAACACATTGCACAACTGAAAGATAGTGTAATTATTCACTATTCCAAACGTGCGTAAGTGTGTTCTTTAGGGTTGTGTGTTCCAATATTTCCGACATGTTAACTTACGTATATATATATATATATATATATATATATATATTACCAGTAAATTATGAAATCAAAAAAAAAATAATTGAGTACGTACAAGACCGCCATATTGATTAATGTAAAAGTTGACACTGAATTATGATTCCATGGATCTTGCCACGGATACTTGGGAAGTTTTCCTGGAACATTGACTCTTCCTATTTGATCGTTTTTACAGCAATTCAATCCACAGCAGTATTCCTGGTACCGTTGACATCTAAGAAGAAATAAACATTAGTCATGAAGTAGCATAATTTTAAAATTCAAATAGTTTGTCTTCTCTAAAAATTGCACTACATAGCTCCAGATAAAGTTTGTATGGCATCCATCATAATTTCTGATCATGTTTAATTTTTTAAAACTTCTATTTAACTTCAGTGACGATTGTTTTCATTTTAATGAACAAAAACATACTGATAAATAATATCGTAGATTGGTTCGTTGTCCTCTTCATAGAACAATTTTTCTCGTTGTGTTTCATTCATCCGATAAGCGCATGTATCTCTTGTCGGGAGATAGTAGTAATTATCCTTTAAACGACCTTTTATAAAAAGAGGGACAGCCAGTTCTCGGTGATACCATGTAATAATAACGATGTCCCAACCAATAATCTCGTCTCGTTAGATAAATAAAACTTCGATCATTGTACATTTTTATTTTGAAAACATTGAAGCCGTCAAGAATTTTAAGCATAAATATGCGATACACTTCATCGTTTATAGCTGGATCACCATCTGTTGCATAACCATTATTCAAACTTCTGAAATCTAGAATTATCTAAAATTAAATAACGGAATCGCTGAAACCTGGTACGCTGTTGAAGAAGCTCGCCATGGTTTAACTGTAAACATTGCAGAAAAAAAAGTAATAACGTCAATTTTTGCATTGAAAGGACATGAGAAAGGACGCCAAAAGCAAACAAAAATTGATCGATATGCGATGCCGGCTTGTGACCTGAAGAGACTTCAAGGTAAACAAATAATTACAGCCCAATGCATATAGTGAGCAATAGACAAAATACTTTAATTAAATAAATATAATAAATTACATAAAAATTAATTATGAAAAATTATTGATTTAGTGAGCTTTAAAATTTGCTAATTTATTTGTTTTCAATGTATTCAGAAATCCATATAAAATTTAAAAAATTATTATAGATTAACATTTGCCTAATTCTTATCTATGGAATTTTTCAGTTTTTAATGTTTTAGCCAGCGTTGTCAGTTGTCCACCAAATATATCCTTTTCATTGCAAACACTTTCACTCACGATTCCTACGCGCATCCGAGGCGATGATAAAAGATCGAACTTGTGATAATTTCTCGACTTATCTTCTCGGGAACGCAATCCGTAAAAGAGGTTAATCGACTATCCCATCCACGAATCGCGTTTTTCTCTATCATCTTTAGTTCGTGTCGGTTCAAGAACATTTGTCAGTCTTTCCACATGTACACCAGCCATACATTTATATTCATATTCCTTTTATGGAAAATTGTAGAAGGTTTTCAACAATTTTATGTAATTCATTTTTAATAATTTTCGAATTCAGCACAATCTCCAACGTGTCCTAATGGGCAATTGCCGAAGCTTGACAAAAACCTAAAGCCAATTCAATGCCTTCCAGGTAATTATAGTATTTAGTGCTTATATTTCATCGAAATCTTCCAGGAACTTTCCAGCACGCGATATGCGGCCCAAATCATAATTGTTTTTTCACTGGATTAAATTACATGTGCTGTCCTTCTAATGAACCTTCAATAGACAATCAGCCAACATGTCCATATCCAAAGTTGACAGTTTTGGATGCACATGGTCTCCCATTGAAATGTAGCGCTCTCACAAGACATTGCCCAGAAGTAGGACGGAATTAAATAACTATTTTTTAATAAATCAGCATTTAAGGAGCACATGCATTGCTCGGATGTTGGACTCGGATACATTTGCTGCGAAAATCCATCATTCCAAAGAAATTCAACGTCTATACCTACGACAAGGAAATCTCACTCTACTACAACACCTCGACCGAAAAAAACGCTTGAATGCCCAGAAAAATCTATCGGTTTGTTGAAACCTGACGGCTCGAGAATCGAATGTAATTCCCAAGTTTCTTGCGAAGGGGTATAATGAGGTAGCAATTTTTATCAATTTAATGAATTAAATAGGACGACACATTCTGTTATGGTGATCATCAAATGTCGATTTGTTGCCAGAAATATCTCTTTGCTTCTGACATTCTCAATGATTCTGCAGAAGTGAAAAAGGGAAAGACAATAGGTAAGATATATTTTTTTTAGTTTGAAGTAACAGTATTGGCACAGCTCCAAAGTTGCATGAAGGTGAATGGCTGAAGCCGACAACTAAGCGTGTTCCTTGGAGAGTTGATCAAGAATATCCAGAAATTGTTATTAACAGTATTGGAGTACGCAGGTTAATAATCCTTTGAAAATTGTGTACGTTCACGTTCAATTTCTAGAAGTGGCGCCGTTCCATTTCATCAAAAACCGTCTGAAATTGGTCGTACTGCTGAAATTGCGCCTCAATGGACTTCGAAAAACATAAGAATGTTCTCGACTAGCACTACTCCGACAACAACAACAAAAACAACAACAACTTCTACAACAACTCCCAGACCAACCTCAACTTCGACAACTACGAAAAGACCAATCTCTACTACTAGAAAAGTTCCTGTGGTTTGAAAGATATTATAAATTAAATTAATTAATAGTAAAAAATACAGGCTGTGACAAGAAGAAGCCGATTGAATGGTATTGCCAATTTCCAAAATCCGGAATTCCGAACTGGAAATCCCCAACTTCTCGATAATCGCTTCAATCATATAGTATGAATGACGCTTATATGGTTTATGACACGTGTGATTTATAGGATAGACATGAGATGGCGCAAAAATTGCTATCATATCAAATTAGGAATGGATGGCCGTATGACGAAAGATTCTATCGCCCAGGTTTGCAATATTGCGGAAATCGTAAGCTATGCGTTTATTTACAGACACTGATGTTTACACGCCCGAACAGCGCTCGGAGATTGCTCGTATGCGATTCTTACCTCAACATTAACAGGAAATTCCTCAAACAAACTTCATAGTAATAATAATAATAATAATAATAATAATAATAATAATAATAATAATAATAATAATAAACAAATGGCATAAATAAAACACTCTCATTGCTATTATTGAAAAGGTTTATTTTGAAACACAATGATAACCCGAACATAATTGAAAAAATTCAGATATATTACGAAATAAAGACTTCTAACAATGTAAGTTGGATAGTATTGAAAAAGAAAACATTCGTGCATTATTAAAGCTTGATATTGAATTTGAGAACAAAATGGCACGTATTACTTTTGATATCTGCCGTAATATTCAATCACATAATGTAGCTTAAACAAATGCGGGTTCTGGTCCTCCCGAGCAACACGACACAATTTTTCCTTTTTCATTTCGTACAACCCCATCGACATGAAATGCTGACGAAAATTCCTGAAAAAAAGAGCAGTTTTGCAGAATTTGCATCTAAATAAGCTCACTTCATTATCATCAGAGTCATCCGAATGCATACTTCCAGCATTAACCCGTTCCTTCATCGCGGCCGTTAAGGTGTGAAAAGCTTCGTCGCAATTGATACCTTAATTGAGAATATTTGCATTAAATATGAATTTGCGATAGTTCAACTCACCGGTCTTTGCTGATACTTCGTACAATGATACACCGAGTCGGGAAGCTAGTCGTTCAGCACGATCAAAATCCACCTGAAAATAACATATCATTTTCGCCTTCATTAATAATCCCCCCCCCTTTTTCTATTAAATGTGGATGTCATATTAACAGTTTTATCATTTCATCAATGTCCTTGGTGTTCGATATAACGGGGTCGATAAAAAGATAACGATCAAAAATTGATTGGAAAGTGAAACGATATAGATTTCGATGAGGAATTCAACACATCAATTTTCTCAATTCCGTTGTACAGATTCAAATTCGAATTAAAACAATTTCCCTCCATGAATGAGGGCAAACGCGATTCCCTCACACGGAATTGCAAATCCTATAATTATTCTAATGACCGACTTGCACGATTCCTTTTCTTTTAACCTCAATTGTAATGTTTTTTTTTCTAATTGTACAAAAGTGTTATTCAGTTTTCCCTTCCCAAATGCATATGTTTCGAAAACATGATGGATGGGAAATGTGTTGGCGTTGTTAATATAAAATAGTGTAACATTTTGCACAAAACTTTTAATCAATCTCATTCATATGCGCACATTGTCAACCGCTTGGTAAACATCTTCAAGAGAAAATGCTATTGGTCGAGTGCGATTTTATGAATTGAATTTGGAACAATCGTTTACGAATCCCGAATGAAACAATCGAATTCGTGTTCATTTGTCTTCAAGATTGATGTTCTACTAAAAGGAATTATTCATGGCCCTTTTTCTCAGCGCTCTCCTTTCAAAAACGAGCGCATGAATCACTTGTGATTATAATGACAGCTTGTGTTTGTCATCCGTAACCACTTATGGCATTCGCAGGAGTAACACATGTGCGTGTTTGTGTGCGCGTACCGTAAAGATATTGGCTTAGCAATACCATTGTTGGTATATTTGCAAGGATAGATTAGTCATCTGCGTTAAATTTGAAGCAGTCAAATGGCAAATTGTTGTTGGAGAAGGAACAATGCTTAATGGGGCGCGGTAACTCCAAATGAAGAAATACATATTCTTCCAATTTTTCATTTCGCTCGAATGGCAGCAATGTTTCACGTAGAGTGTAAAATGTCACCTTTCTCTCTTTGTCGAGATCTGCTTTATTCCCAACCAACATCAATACAGCATTCGGTGGAGCGTGCTGCCTGATTTCGTTGAGCCAGTATTTTTCCAAATTCTCGAATGACTTCTCATTTGTCATATCATACACACACATTACTCCATGGGCAGAGTGATAGTAAGAATTGTAAATTGTTCGGTAGCGTTCCATTCCAGCAGTATCCCACAGTTCTAATCTGATCTGCAATCATTCACATCTTAGTCTTCTCCATCATGGTGCTGTCATAAAAAAACCCCAAAAATGATATTGAATACTGATGAGTCACAGGAAATAACTTTGAACAAACAATGATAAGATTATTGTATTACCTTGTCCCTGCCTAATTTGATAGTTTTCAATTTGAAATCCACACCTAATGTTGTGATATGGTCATTTCGAAAATTATTTTCCGCAAATCGAAGTAGGATACATGACTTTCCGCAATTATGATCGCCAACAACAACAATCTGAAAATAATTTATTTAAAAAAACCCTCAAAACACAACGGATAGATATTGGTTCGACGTTCGGTGCCCCCAGAGAATTCGTATAATTTGAACATAATTTTGGAAGCTACTCCCATTCCTACTTGTTTCGTTCTAACAAAACTAAATATGTATATTTTCCGCGCGTACAACAAATGTTTGTACGGATAGCGCAGGTATACAAATAATTCGTTATATGAAGCGTAAACCAATTTGTCGACTGTCTGCATTCTATTAGTATTCACACAATCCCCAACACTGTTTGGGCAAATGACCTTTCAACGGCACATTGGTTAGCAAAAATGTATAGTATCAAATTGAAATATGAATTTTATCGGTCCTTTTTCGCTGAATGAAAACGAGGACGCTTGAAAATGACTATAAAGTGAAAATATATTTATCTTTAGTCAATGTCCGTCGCATAAACTTTTTATTAGTTTTATTCAGCACAAAGAAATGCAGATGTCAATGTGCGTATTTCATAGAAAAAGAGTGCATTACAAGTGCGAAAAATTGAATCTACGTTTTTTTCGCATATCTTCAATTTCACATATCCTTGTTGCAAAACTTCAAAGGTAAGTAAACGGATTGTATGTATCGAATAATAAAAAATTAGACTAACCTTGAAAAGATGATTGTAACTCATCGCTTCGGCGGCGCAATACCAAACAGAATAAAAATGACTAAGGTCTCGAGGAAAAGGTTATGAACGGGTCGGTTGGGATGCTAAACGGGGCGCGTGCGTGTGTCGTCGGTCTCTTGTGAGTGTATATGTGTTCTCTGTGTTGCCGTTGCGCGCGCACTATGTATGTGCCAAATAGTCTATGGGCGGAGTCGACCCAAGTCTCTTCAATCGGCGCACTCCGCATCCTCGCCCACATTTTTTTCAGCTCTCGGAAATGTTTCACTCTTTTAAACATTTCAATTATAAAACTCCATCGGCAGTTCTGGCCTGTTTTTCTGTGCCTGGTTTTGCTAACATAATATCAACTAGCGAAGTAGTTTGCTAAAGTAAATTTCATTCGGAAATGTACAGTGTAAAGAAAGATATGCTATAGAGATTACAGCGAGATTTTGATAGTTAGAGAAAGTGAAAAATGAGAGAAAGTACAGACAGAGACTTTAAATATCGTATAAATAGACTACAAAAATGAATTAAAGACGTTGAATTTCAAATAGTTTCACATCTGTATCGTACCAAATTGGCGGATCAGTATTTCTGAATAACATTTGTTAAAAAGTCTCAATATTTTCAATTTTTACCTCAAATAGATAACACCCCACATGTAGGTTCGGAACCAATGGTTAGTTCCAGCATTTGCCTGATACTTGCGAATCAAAATTGGATGTGGCACTGGAAGCAAGCCAACTAGAGTTCCATGTTGCAAAAACGTCAATATTTCACTCTCGTCGGTGAGACCTCTGAAATTGACAGTATTTTATTAATTAAAATTTATTCAAATGACTTGTCAATGCAAATTTTTTCGACTTGTGGAACGAGAACTTGAAGTAATCTCATAATTGTTTGCAAGGGAAGTTTCGCCTTCCAGTCTTCAGCCCATTCCGCGGTAGCCACCCATTCTCCTGAAAAACAATGTAACTAGCTTACTTTAGAATATTTAAATTACCGTCATTCACAGTTCCTTTATTTTCCCATTGTCCAGTGGTTCCAGTCATACTGGATACCGCCGGAGTAGCGGCAAGGCCAGCAGTTGTTGTGATAGCTGCTATAAATTATGTATTATTGAGTTGAAGTCAATTCAAAATGTGTAACGTGCTAACAAAGCCAAACGTAAACGGTTTTTATATTTGAAACCTCAAACTAACCTGGTACAGTCGAATTTGGAATTTCGGGAGATGTCGGACTTGTGGGGCTTTTAAGTTGATCGACCATCTCGTCTCGATTTGCTGCTGAACAGATATTTTGTTGGAGTGATAAGTTTGGAAAAAAAACGAACCGCTCTTGTTCTTACGTCCTGAAAGAGACTTTGCAATAGAGGCCGCATCCACCGGAAGGTTTGATAATTGATAAAAAACATGCCGCTTGCGAATTATTGTATAAATCAAATTTGAATTTCCTGAAATCGACGAATCTCGTTTCTGTGGACTGCACGTTTCAATATGTTTACCATCAAATTGGTATTGAATTATATTGTTAAATACTTCAAGTAAGAAGAAAACAAGGTGATGATTGGTTGGAGACGAGAAAAGGAACCATGGAGTAGAGAAGGCTTCGACGAGGTGAAGAAGTTTGTTGGAAGCAACCATTGAAATTGACTTTAAGTAAGGGGAAACTAAATAATTAATATTCTCATATGCTCTCATTGAACTTTGTGGCGCTCACCATTCACAATAATAGTTAAGAAGCAGTCAAAAAGTGACTGAAGACGATAATTTCCAGTAGTAATTAGCTTGTGGAACACAATAATTAAAAGATCTGCATGTGTTCCAGTAAATGGCGGAACATTAATTGCTGCTTTTGCGGTGTACGGCTTGTTAAGTCGGACTCCAAAATTTCTTTCTCCACTCAACAACAATATGAGGAACACTCCCATATGTATAAGACCAACTCGAGCTGAAAACAATTCTTATTTTAAAATGCCCATTTCAAATATATTTGGAACCTGAATCATTTCTTGCATCCGATATATGATACAGAATTGGAACCAAAATTTCGAGAACGTCGGAGGTTTTCAATACGTAAAACATAAATTTCTGAAATGATTGAAAGTTTGTTTTTGAACTTCACCCTTTTAACAATTTACTTGATTGAATTCGCAGCATTTCCACAAAAGGACAAGAAGTTCTTGATGAAAATTAACTCGTTTTGTTGAATTTGGCAAATAAGACGACGACGAGAGCAAGGGGTTGCTTAAAAGTCGCGTAACACCCTGCATATATTAATGTATAACCGGAAGTTGCAGATACGCTTGCCTTTAGCATAAAATCGAAGTCTTCTTCCCTATGAATCCTACTTAAATAGTTAATGAAATAATTGTCAAGGTATCCGGATTCATCAGTTTTCGGTTGACTCTCCTTATCCAAGCACACAATTAGTACCTAAAAGCAATGAACTTGGCTTAGCTTATTACGAAAAATTAACCTGAAGTGAAATTTCAACCAATGGCTCTCGGGAATCGTTGAAAAGTAGATAGTTGTATGGAAGGCCATATCCAACCGGATCATACGCGCAAACAACATTCAATAATGATGTGAAGATTGGAAGAACGTGCCGGTTTGTGCTAGACGTGAATTGAGCTACCCATCGCAATCGGTTTTCATCTTAAAATTTTCTTACTACATAGATATGCATTGATTTTCCAATGTCAATTATACACGAAATCGTGGTATTCTTACCGTTTACAGGAGCGTAAATTACTTCTGAAAAGCACGCAAGCAGAAGTTTTAAAATTTCGGCGCGATGTTGGTATTGCTGAGCAACCATAGGTGGTTTATTTCCGAAGCCAACACCTGCTTCCCAAATGTATTCGCACGAATCGATCGTTGAAAGATCATCAATTTTAGCCTGTAAATTTGGGAAATTGGAATTATTTTTTTGAACAAATTTTTTTTACTGAGTTTGGAGTTAAATTTGAAACGGTGAAATCTGGACAAAAAAGCAAATCTGATAAAATCTCAAGCAACAAAGTTGCATAGTTTCTGTTGTTTTCTTCTTGAGGCATTGGGGTCCAGAAATATCCGCGCCATTCCGCATCTTCTAACATAAATGGAATCATTCGAGTCAATAGACGGATACAGTTAATTGCCTTAAATTTTATATATATATATTTTTATTTTTTTTTACAGGTAATGTTACTTTCTTAGGGTTAAAGGTCGCCGGATGATCTCGGCAATATTGAAGTTTTTCCAAACATTTGTAGCAAAGCGTTGCGAGATTTTTTGGAGCGTCGTCTCTGAAAAAATTGAGTGATAATGAGGTGCTGCTATTTTTCATTACGATGCATATAAAATTAATTATAGAAATCAAGTTAAATCATTTTTTCATGATTTGAGAAAAATTTTAAAATTTTTTTCGGTAAAAATTGATTCAATTTTTTGCCACAATTGTTGTATAGAATGTGTGGAAATCATTTTTGCTAGGCTTTTTAATTTTTTCGTCATAAATCATTTTTTAGATCTGAAATAAAAATTGTTATATTACAAATGTCAATGTTTTTATTTCAACAAAACCCCATAAGTTTATACAATTCTGGAACTACAAAAAACATTTTAATAAATTTTAGACCAAAATTAATATGAAATACCTTAGCTTGCGAATTTCATCTCCAGTTATCATCGCATAGATGTCGCTAACGTTTTCCGGCCACCATACTTGATCCCAAAAGCTTTCATCGTTCTACCATAATTCATTCAAATTTTATTTTCAATTATTGAAGACCAACTAACTTTGTTACTTGATTTCGACGTGAATTCTAGAACAGCTTGCCGAAAATCTACTTTACTTCCCTGAGCTCCCATATCGAATGAAGGCAAGCTTCTGGACTCTGAAAATATTTCGATGAATGTATTAATAAAGACGAAAGAACGACATCTTGGAGTATTGAGAAGAGAGTAGCGTAAATGGAGAATGCGAGAAGCAGATTGTGATGGTGCAGAGCAGTGCACACTGCGCCAAAAATCAATAAAGGCACATCGACTAAGAAGGAATATTCGCATGAAAACATGTGGTACGCGTTAATGTCGTTACGCACAAAAAAACATATTCCAGAAAATGTGCGTGGAAACCCTTTGTTTCTAAACAAAAAAATCAATTTTTGCTATATCTGAGAAAATAAAAAATTTCTCTCTAAGATAATAGTATTAAGAATATACATATTAAAACTACAAGCTCAGCTACAATCGACGATATTATCAATTTAACAGCTCACAGGAAACAATCGCAATAGAGCAGATTTGACGCTACCACGCAACACATTCGTTATGAATTTTTATTTCGCTGAAATTATATAAACTAACTCCAACGTTTTTTAAGTAAGCGTTAATAAAAAGCATTTAAACAGTTCTCCTAAACTTTTCATTAAAAATTAAGTGCAGTCCCTGGTGTACTTACTGTGACATATGCATATGACGAGAGCGCAGCATTCTAAACTAGGTCATTAACTATGAGAGAGCGCTAAGAAATGTTGTAGCCACGCATTAATCGTCGAATTTTGGTGAGAAAAACGAATGTATGGCACATTTTCGTAATATTATTTTCTTGCTGCGATCTGCTAGAGAAAGAAACACCCAAAATTAAAAATAAAATTTCTCTAATAATGGCAATACGTTAATTGGTATAAACATTGGGTTAAACTGATATTGGTGGTCTTCCTATATGAAATATCCGTGTCACATTTCAAAGAATTAACATTTCGCAAGATACAATTTAATTAATGACGTAAATTTCAGATAAATATTATAAGCAACTCCGGAATTTGCAGAAATAAAAAAATAGTAAATTCGTATTACAAATCTTTATCATTCTAGAGTAACTGAAGTAATGTGATCAGGAAATGTTGCTAAATCCAAGTGTAAAGCTCAAATGATGTGTGTTCGGTGATTTTATGAGATCAGTGTCAAAACATGATAAGTATATAGTATACTCGGTAGAAAGTTGGAGACGTTCAGGCGAAAATGACTGGCTGGACAGTTAGAACTATAATCAGTGGGGATTCACAGTGATAACATTTGCGAATGCGTAAAATGCTTTGCAAGAACTATGCGTAGAACGTAGGGGGGCGAGCTCTTGCACGACATTTTTGCATCGTCAACGTAATATCTAGGCCTCGTTCAAATGCAGCATGTGCCCCGCAAATGATCGTTTTTATTCACCTGAACCCTACTACTTTCCACCGAGATAATTGAATACATAATTAATAATTTTCATGTCTGGTGCGCTTTTCAGGAGACTTTGTCGATTCGATAGACATTGTGGCAAGCTGCTCGTCGACTTTTTCTGTTGATTGTCTGAAAAAAAAAATTCATAAATAAGAGTCATCAATTAATTAACCTCTTTATTTTATAGTTTATTCTCGATGCTAGTGTTCTATGAGTTTGCGGGAACGTTGTTATCATTGGAAAGATTATGCGATATTCGAAACCTGGATGAACTTCATCCATTATTCGCCGATCCGAACATTCTCCAAAGTCGTAGTCAATGTCTAAAAGTTATAAATAAAATATCAAACCGGAGAAAATTATTTTTACAGTCATCAATTGAGTCGCAATTAATTGTTGATTGTCGACTTGCCCCACAAATAGAGCTTCCAGTTCCACTGTCCAATGTCTAAAAACATATTAAATTGGATCAAGCAAACATTATCTACTTGAAAGTGGTCACAATTTCGGAGAGCTCCAAGCTTTGGGGTCGTTTGATTTGATTTCTCCTTCTTCTTCATTATAATTTCGTTTAGAGTCACTTGAGTGTATGTTTTCCGGTATACTTCCGCAAGCATACTGCAGCATCCATATACCGCATCGAGTGACTTACTCGTCTTTGCCTGCAATATTTTGTTAACTTTTTCTTGGACCTATTAAAACCTGCGAAATGATGTCTTCGTCCCAATCAAATTTCTGTTTTAAAAACCATTTCACCGCTTTGGTTCCTCGTTCATCGACAGTTAAAGAATTATAAGTTTCAATAATCGTTGTGACATCTTTTTCCGCATTTCCACGGATCATCCATGGATGACATTTAATATCATGAATAGTTGCTCGCTTTGCGGGATTTTTGTTTAACATTCGTTTAATGAGATCCTCTAGTTCTATAAATTAAAATAATTATTGCTTTTTTTTTTGAGTGAAATACCTAAACTCATGAAAAAGGGTGATCGGAATCTTCCATCCAATACTCGTTCGCTAATCGGATAAGACTCACTTTCTTCAAATGGCAATGTGGCAGTTGTCATGGCAAATAAAAGAACACCCAAACTCTAAAAAATTCTTGATGACTCAGTAAGGAGCATTATTGTTATGGATTAATATTTCGACTGTAGATTTAATATTCATTTTTTGAACCATTTTATGTTCACTCTTTCCGTCTTTGTGCAATTATGCAAATGCGGAAGTCAAGTTTGGAATCTCAGTAAATTACATCGATAAGAGCACGTTTTAATTAATTTGATGAAATCAGTCAAGGAAAATTACCCAAATGTCAATTGACGGTCCGTGATATGGCTGTCCTTTAAAAATTTCCGGAGCAGCGTATGGTCGTGAACCGCAAAAAGTCTTCATCAAGTATTGATGATGGTAAAAATTGCCAAAACCAAAATCGACTATTTTGACATGACCGTTTTCATCAATTAGAATGTTTTCTGCCTATATCGCAAAATATTAATTCAACTTTTCAACGAAATAAACATACTTTGAGGTCTCTGTGAACAACTCCTCTATTATGCATATGTTCGACAGCAAGAATAATTTGCCAAAAAAGCAATCGCGCTTCATTCTCTTTTATCGGCCCATCACGAGCAATTTTACCTGAAAAGTGACACATTGACGTTCAAAATTCATGTACGTCACAATTTCCACATTTGCATTGAATTCTTTACGTTATCGAAAATTAATTTGGACGTCAGAAGCTTATCAGTTCAAGAAGAGGGGAGTGTTAATAATAACGCAAAAAACATATAACAACCTACCATACAATTCACCCCGTTCGGCAATTTCTGTGAACATGTATATATTGTGTTCGTCTTCAGAGATTTGATGAATTTTGATGATAAATGGATGGTCTAAAGTACGAAGACATTCGACTTCTCGTTGAACTCTTGAAAGCCGATATGGGTTGAGGTCTCTTTTCCAAATTATCTTAACAGCAACCTGAAGAAAAAGTCTATGAAGCAATTTACTGGCGACTTACCAGTGCATTTGTGAGCTCGTGTTTTGCGGAATAAACGCATCCCGAGTTTCCACTTCCAAGCAGCTCCATGATTGTAAAATCACCTATTTTGAAGAATATTTCTTTGTTGATTTGTTTATTTGCACCGGTACAATGTGCTTCGTCGATATATGAATCAGATTGGCGATGCTGTTTTGAAACAACAGAATCACGATTCGCGCAAAAACAGTTTTCCGACAATTTGCGTTTTTTCACATGAATGTTTCTCATTTCTAATGGTTCTGAGAAAAGAATGGGAGCAGATGACGATTTTCGCAAGGTTGAGCACATTTCGCTGAAAATTTGATGAATAATAGAAGGAAGTTAATCATGCGACAACTAGTCGAATGTGGTAACTGTACCACTTTAATGGAGAATAACATTGATTTAAGTTGCTATTAGAAAAACGATTATAACCTTTTGCTTGATCATTTTTTTTGAAATGTCTGCCTCAGTTTATCAATGACGATGAATTCAAAAATTAGGTCAAAAGACGTATTAAAACAAACAGGTAAAAGGAATTGGTGGGTTATAATCTGAAAGTCTTATCAGATCAAATTGCGCCGACGAAAAATGATCAGAAACAACAGGAAAACAGAAATAATGTGGGTTGCAAATTAGAAGCTAACATTCAACTATAACAAGACCATATAATTAGTATGTGGTCTTTAAATAAAAATAACAAACTCTTTTGCGCATATGAAGGATATCCCAACTTTCCATGAATCATTCATAAAAAAGCGAGTGTAATTCTCCCATATTTGAGCCACTCAAATTCGAAGTACTGGAATGGTGTGTTTCAGCCAAAAAGTATATTTGTTTTTTTTTTCGCGGAATACTACCAAAAATTAGTAGAATTCCGCGAAAATATAGGTGATAGAGAGATTTTTTTAATAACATGCTTCTCCTATCGTGACGTTGGAGTAATTGGCATTTCACGGACGCACATGGTGTTTTCGAGATGTTCAATGAATTTTGCGATGGCGTCAAGAGGAATGCGAATCGGCGAAGAGCCAACCAATTTTTGATTTATTAGTTCGGTTCAAAGCTTTTTTATGGGATTGATGGTTACGAAGATATTGAATCGAATACTTTTCAAGGAATTTATGAGTTGACGCAAAATGTGTCTAAAATTTTTATCGCATTATTCGATTATTATCTGAACGTGATCATGAATCAATGAAGTGAAAAATTAGCATTGATTTTGAATTTGCTCATAGCTCTGGCTGATTTCAAAATTCGCTTTAATATAAATATAATATATTTTTATATAATAACAAGCCAATTCGATATTTTTTCCGAACTTGAAATATCGTAAATGCTTGTGAAAAAAAAAACAGCATAGTGCGGCTGAAGATTTGCCAAAAAATGTTCACTTGTGTTCCAATAAATCAAATTACCATAATACAATTTTACGCGTGCTACTTTGAGAATCCATGTATTAAAGTTGAAGTTGTTGTAAGATTATTGAAAATCAAAGCAAGAAGCAATTAAACAGTGGAAGCTGCAGAACTAAAGTTTTCCTGTCTCTCTTTCTATTCGGCACTCTTTGCTTCTCTTAATTTTCATCTTTTTTCGGGAATCCGCTCGGGTTACGGTTGTTGTTATTGAAAGGCTGTTGCTCTCTATTACGTCACTCTCGATTCTCAGACGTCAGACCCGGCACCGGCGACAGCTATTTGATGACGAAAAATCAAGTAAAAAATGGAGGGCTAGAGAAAAAAGAGATGGAAATTCAAACCAATGGTGTTCAGGTTTTGCAAACCGATCGCTCGTACGTTTTTAACAAAAGACATCAAAAATAGAGAAGAACAAATACATTTTCACGTGAATCTCGGCGAAATGACCGTCTTCTTTAAATCGAAAAAACAATGTTTATTTAACATATATGTAGTTTTACGTAGTTTGAAAAATACAACTATAAATGTTTTTTTTTTAGGAAAAGAATGTTGAAATTAAATTGAGAAGATGGTTCGGGAGAATATGAACTTTGGGATATAAAAAATAAATGGCCTCGTATGTTTAATTAATTGGCCGACGATACATTTCCAAACTTGAATGTATAATGTCATGGAAATTTTCTTCTACTATCACAATTAATTCAGAAAAACGGCTGAAGAGAGCGATTAGGGATAAATTATGTGTTACACAGAGCGAGAAACATTTTGCATGGTTTTGAATGAATGATTTAAGAAGAGTGTGAGTAATTTAGGCAAACTAGACAATTTTGTGGCAATGATTTTATGAATGAGAATATTTACATGGATATTCTCGCTAGATCCACATAAATTTTCTCACCGTCTCCAATGACTCAGTTGACATTTCCCTTTCTTTAAGCATCAAGATGTTTTGAGGTTCAATAAATCGCTATTTTGGAAGGGGAAGAACGATTGAAAAATGACACAAGAAGAGATGAGCCAATCTTCGAAATTGTCCATTCAAGTCGGTTAAAATTCTTCTCAGCCACTATGAAAAATAATATAAAGATATGGTATCACGTTGAAAGAGTTAAATATCGAATTATTTATTATACATAGACTAGAACAACATTCAGAAAAAAACGCAGGAATAACTAGTTATGGACCAAAAAGAAACAAAAAAATGTTTCAAGAAAATTGGGATATACAAATATAATTAAAATAATTGCAAAAAACTGATTCAAATTATTGATAATTAAGGGCAAGAAATACATAGGTAATACCCGGATGTTGTAAATGGATGCATTACTAACAATCATGTCAGAAATTGTGAAGAAGTTATACAAAAATTGCAAAGAAATGACACGAGTTTCGTTTGAGCATCTGCTCATTGGCAGATATTCAATCAAATCAAGAACAATTCGCAGTTTTCCATTGACTATTTGATTTACAATCAAAATTGAGAAGCTCAGGGAAAAAAGTTGCGGTTTGGTTTCATCGCAGGAAAGCAGAAAAAGAAAAAGCAAATAAACATACACGCTGGCTTTATTATCGCCACGCACTACAGAAATGATGCACCAGGTTGGAAGGTTGAATTACACGTGGGTTGACGTCCGGCTGACTGGCCGAACGACTTCAGGCGATGCTAGAAAATTGTAGTTGGATGTTTTGGGCGTTTCCACTTCCTGCAGCGTCTCCATAACCGGAATTTTGTCACTCACATTGATTCCGTACATGTCAGACATCCCTAAACATTTATAAATCAAACTACTATTCTGAATTTGTTGTTAATTTACCTCCAGGTGTTGACAAGCCTGATCCAAATGAACCATAAGAATGATCGAATCGGTTGCAAATATATTCATTTCCTGAGGCATTCAAACATTTCGGGTATAAGCTTCCAGGACCAAAAGACGTTGGTAATCCAAGATAATCCAGATCCGGATTATTCTGCGGAATGCTGATATAGTCCTTCGTGGAAAGGTGAACATTATCAACTGGGCTTCCGCTATACATTTCAGGAAAATATTGGCCATCAAGAGCCTCGCATTTAACCGTAACATCGGATTGATCATCTGAAAATTTCAGTCGTGATTCATTAAAAAGTTAAAAGTCTTATACCCATGAATTTAGATTTCTTCGAAGAACAACCGTTTCTGCAAATGAAGAAGCAGCAGCACATCAATACTAAAAGTAAACTAGCACAAATCACAGCTAAAGCGACACTTTGATCAAATTTGGCTGAAATATTTATAATTATTTGCGTGATTATATTTATAACTACCAAGGATATCGAATATATTTTTCTTTTTCACAATTGTTCCTTGATTATCAAATCCGAGTCCATTATTCGCAGAACAATTATACATTCCGAGGTCCTCATTTTTCACATCTTTGATTTTTAAAATGCTTTGTTTCCCGTAAGGCTTCGGATATTGATGAACCTATAAATTATTTCCATTACTGTGAGTCAACCTCCAATAATTCCAACCGTAATTCTTCCATTATTAAAGTTGATTTCTTTTCCATTCATTGTCCAGCGCACATTGTTTGTTTTTGGTCTTCCGCTGATCTCACAGGCAATTTCAAGTGAATCGCCGAGAGTTACTGAAAGTTCGTCACGCATTGTTACTGTTGGCGGTCCTGCAAATAGGAAAGGTTAAACACCAGTCTGGCATATTGCGGAGTGAACCTCTGATGTGAAGATAGTGAGAAGCCACTGCTTTCTTGAAACCTTCGACGCTTGCCGTGCAATTGTAAACTCCTTGCTGCCATGTGCGTACATTTTCCAATGTTAAGCTGCAATATTAATACATAATTAACATCAATAAATATTTGCTCAACATACTTCTCGCCTCTTCCAATTATTTCATCACTGTCTCCTCTCGTCCAAAATACTGTCGACTTGGGATTAGACAGTGTTGCGCAATGGAAAAATGCACTATCCCCTTCATTGACTTCTTTGTCTTGCGGGTTCGACATGATTCGTGCACCAACTGCAAATTGATTTTTGCATATATAACGTTTTAATGACAGGTTTCAATACTCACAAACAACGTTGAGTTTTAAAGTGCTGCGCGTAGTTCCGATCTCATTAGTTGCCTCACAATGAATCTCGCGGTTGTGATCTTCCATTTTCAAGGTTTCGAACACTAGAGTCTGAATTTCAAAACATAATCACCAATGAGAAAGTTAAAAATAATACATCTCCAGTCTCACGAAGCTTTTGATTTTCTCGGAACCACGCAATTTTCACATTGTCGAGTGGTTTTGCGTCAACGTTACATGCGAGCAAAGCTGATCCATTTTCTCGTAAAGGTAATTTCGATGCAACAGTCAAATTGACTTGAGGAGCATATCTGAGGGATAATTTGACTGCATCGACTTCAATCTGCAAAAACTTTCGAAATATAGCTTCAACTCTTGAATTGGTTACCTTTTCCGGAAAAGTCATATGCTGGCTGATGCAGATCAAGTATTTGTTATCATCTTCTGGCTTCGGGATAAAGCTACAATATTACAACGTAAAAAATATTGAAACAGATCTTACGTCAAATTGCTGACAATACTGTAGATGTTGGTGTCATCATGTGATGACTGTCCCATTAATTCAGTTAAAGTAGTCTCATTAACTTGAGCTAAAACCATTTCTTGAGCAATTTCCGGTCGAGCTAAATTTTTTTCATAAGTCATGAAAAATTGCAAATCGAATACCATAAATTCCTCCAAATTTGGATCTTGATTCTCCAAGCCAAGAAACAATATTTTTTCCTTGGTCATCTACAGCAATAGCCCATCCAATTGTCGGTGGTGGTTTACCTGCATATTATTTTATTTGAAATGAATGCTGTGTTCAATATGCACCTTTTCTGGAAACGCATGATTGAGTGATTGGTTCTCCTGCGATTCCTTTAATTGTGTGATGAATCTTTGTAATTTTTGGAGGAGTTGGGCGCACTGAAATAAATTACGCTCTTCATTTCTATTCAATCAAGTCAACTGATTATATTCCATTCACACAAAATGTTCACATTTGTTTTGGCTGTTTGCAGTTAACGCGAATGGACAGCTCCTCGGAACAACACCAGCTGCGAACGATTTCACAGAGCGCACCCGACACGTACGCCATACACCCTCACCGCCAAAACCACTTGAAAGATAAATTGCTCGCGCGCGAGCTCTCACTTATGATGATATTAATTGGGGGTGAACGCGCGAAATGAGAATTTATCGAGAGGTTTGACATTTTAATTAAAGATGACATGTCGTCACCGGCTTGCATACCTAAAACGGTTAATTTCGCTTTTCCGGATACAACGGCTTTTGCGTTGTCTGATTCGGAGATTTGACATGCAAAATCATCGTCATCGCGAAGTGTGACATTGACAATCTGAAATAATGGAAACATTTAAGCGTGAATTATATAATTTCTAGTGTGAATTAATATAATTTCTTAAAGACATAGAAAAGGTTAGTCACGCGATAGCTGATTACGAGATTGATTTTAAATTCCTATATCTGATTCAAATACATACCAATTAGAAAAAGAAGTTTCGGCACAAGAAAGTTAAAGCTTGATGAAAAAAAAAAACACACACACAAAACGTTCAGATTGGTGTACAATCAAAAAATGTTATATATTAAATTATTAAAGTCTATTTGATATGTTTTTCTTATTAACACGTTATTGACTATTGGACTTCACAAACATTATCAAACATCTTGTTTAATTTTTGAAATATTTGAATTATTTAAGTTTACTCCTATCAAAGAAAGGATCCCTTTATCTTATTTATCATCTATTTCTCGTCTTCCTGAAGAATAAAAGAGATATCTCGAAAAAAATGGTTTGATGTGCTCCAACACATGCCGTCCGACGCGACCCACCTGTAAATTATATTCTCCGTTCGCCGAGCTGCCGATCATTCGATATCGCTTGTTTCCCGGCAGCGGTTTATCTCTTTCTGTTCCCAAACCGAAATCATCTTTCATCCATTGCACAGGGCCTTGCTGCAAGAAAAAGCACCGATGAACAAACGCCGTGAATCGTTTTCAATTAATGGCTCACAAGTGTGAAACCATGTGTGGCGGAACAGTTGCGCAACCCATTAAAAACCAGCCAACCACATACTGAGATGGCTATCAATAATGATCCATTTCAAACTGGTCATTCAGTAGAATTCTCTCATTGTTGGCTACTAGGAAGCTGCGGCGAAACTCGCCGTTGAATAGGGAGAAAGAAAATGTTGGCATCCGAGTCTTTGAATTCAATTCCCACGAGGTCAAATAAATAGTGAACATCGACATGCAAATTTTTCAAAAACTTGCGCTACAAAATCCAATTTGCCAACCCCCACATAGGTCGGAACAAAAAAGTGTAAACTAGTGCGTACCTGATTTTCAACTCGACAGGTGAGCACAACGGTTTCGCCAATGGATGCCAAGGTGTCTTTGGGACCTTCAATAATTTTCTGTTCTTGACAGTGAACAGAGGTAACAAAAACAAGTGGCAAAAGCCACCGTAGCATCTCCTGAAAACGAACAAATAATCGTGGTATGAGTAATAAAAAACGATGTTCGTGTGAAGTAGACAAGACCAGTAATCGAAATAATAATAAAAATAGGAAAAAAGAGTATGAGCGAGTATGAGCTGCATACAGACAGAATTTAGTTTCGCATGCAATCAAAAGTTGGTGAACGATTCTCCGTGCGAGTTTGAGGACCCATCCGTCGTCCACTCGCCCGCCCCGCTCTTCTGAGGCAGCAAAAAACGAAGATTCGCTTCTCAAGACTCCTCTTATTAAATATATGAAACGAGGATATATTGCGTAAACGCTTTCCGAGTGTTGTGTGGTTCTCGGCAGCAACAACATGTTGTACTTTTTTACGCTTCTCAAATTTCGGCTCGTCGGATTATGTATAAATTATTCGAGGACCATATAATTATATTTCAATGGGATGTAAAATAATTGTAGAGTAATTCAATGTATGAGAATTTTTAAGCTTGAATTGCGGGTTTCAATATGGAAGATTTGCAAAAATCGAGAAAAACAAAAATAGAAATACAAATGGAGTTAATAATGTGGAAATTTAATCTGTATTTTTATGCAATAGAGTGATGAACGCCTCATTGATGATTCTAAAGAAGAACGATAAGAACCGAAAAAGACGTGTTAAGACAAAATCTGACAGGTGAATAGGATTGACCTATCCCGAAACAAGAAACCGTATGGATTAAGCAACCTAATTTGAGCGCAACCAAACGTCGCACAAGCGGTTTACGAATCATTGGTTGCTTCGAAGAGCCAGCCGGTTGTGTGCACCGCGAACAGCTCAAGTGCTCCTGCACAACCAAATCAGATTATTAATCGCGCAACCTCAATAAACATGTGAATTTTTAATGATGTGCCAGGGTGTATTTGAAGTAGGAATTCTATATGGGTAAACGTGAATTCGTTGTGAAAACTCATGACAAACATATTTAAAAAACTGTGTTTGAATTGGTCAACGGCGGCGAAACGATGGAAAAAAGAAGACGAGCTCATTTGTAGGCGGCGCGACAACTTTCGAGCTTGACAAGACAAGTTGCAACAAGTGAAAATTCGCCTCTTTTCTCCTTGTTTCCCTTCATTGTTGTCGTACATCTGATCATCATCATCGAAGCGCGCTGCTGGAGGATGTGACGGAAGGGTGGCAAAAAAATGACAAATGTATGACATTGCCTTCTGACCGACCCGACCCAGACGTGGATTATCAAACGTGACGGATGAAGAAGTAGAATGCTGACATACTTTTGAAGAACAAGCAAAAAGCATAAAAATAAAACTTATGAATTCTTAATTAATTAACAAAGAAATAATTCATAATTAATTTTGTGACCTTATTGTTTTCGCGGATTTTTTCGACATTAAAAACTTCATCGAAGCATACTCTCGAGGTATATTTCATGAACATTTTTATCTATTTAAATAAAAAAAGATGGAAGTCTATAGTTGAGATACGAACAAATAAACCATTACTAAATCTTCGTTATATTGAAAGAATTGCATAATTTTGGGAGAAAAAAGCTTAAATTTTGAAAACTTGTTTCATAAGACAGATAATCCAGAGTGCGGGAAGTGCATAAATCAACACATAAGATATGCTAATAAGTACATTTTCACACTGTTGAAGGCAATTTGACAACTGCTAGAAGACAAATGAGTGTTCGTATACGAATTACTCCTTAGGGGCCACCTTACTCAACAACCAGACGTATGCCAACAAGCAATGTGATTAGAGAATAATAAATTAGGATAAATGCATTGTGATAGAAACATGTGTCGACGATAATGAAACGAGCAACAAAAAACGTGTCAAAATAAATCGAATATCGGATTGAAAAGATGAGATAAATGCACGGTGTTGCGTGAATACTAGCAATTTGAATATGTTGATTTTCATTCCAGTTAATCTAGTTATTCATCAAAAATTACTTATACTACGTAATATGAATTGGTGGTCAGAATATAGCAATACGCTGAATTATGTAATGATTGAGGTCGATAGTTATGGTTGAATGACTTGAGTCTGCATGACTACGGTAATTAGGGAGTTAATCACATCGCGTTCAGAATTGGGTGTGACATCACAAATTTGAGCAGCCCAATAACTAGATTAAATCATCATGTTTTGCACTAATACAAATTGCTAGCGGGGTGGCAAGCCAACAATCAATGTTAATCAAGGGCTCAATGTGCACCAATGTGTGCGCACGTCTTGCAATTTGATGAATGATAATTGTGGGATTGCGGACCGGATTATCAATGGGTTTCGATGAATAAAATGAAAGAATGAAATGTAGTAGTCAGTTCATATGCGCGATTCTAATATTTACATGATAAACGCATGCGTTTTTTGAAAGTGAAATGAAGAATCATATTTTTGCGAACAAACAAATAGATAGGTTTTCTTTTCGAGGCCCAAGGAAATAGATGTCAAGATTCGCAGATTTTAAAGCATATAATTGTGAATTTTGTATTTATATTTTGAAAAGTGAAGTTATTGAACATTTACAAAAGTGAATTGTGCCAATTGTGTATAAGTATTCGGGGCGGAACTTGGAGAAGCACTTGTCGAAATCAACTTGTCTTTCGAATTCGATTCTCCCGTTTAAAATGCGTTCTTCAGAACAAACTCCTACACATATTGTCAACCCGCCAACAACTCTCGCTGACTTCCTCACTTTGTGGTGTCACAAACAGAGTTACAACCATTTTTTGAGCTCATATGTGAGTGAAATCAAAAGAAGACAAATTATATGTGCAATTATCCTTTGGAAAACTACGAAGGATAGGAAAGAGACGAAAAGGATTGAAAACTATGTCAGCTTTAATGAAGGTAATTGTCGAGTTCATTATTGGTCCTTCGATTATTTATCCGCATTGGCCCGAAGGATAATTCGTTTTGACATTTCTTCACGTAACAAGCGGAGCCGGAGAGATGCTCAAGTATCTCGACAGCCGAATGGCTCGATGATGAGCTTATAATTTGCCAAAATATGGCCCTAGAGAGACAGCAATTAGCGAGCGTGAAATCTGATGACAACCGACGGAGGACACCCAAGTTAGACTCGAAACGTTGAGCTGCGAAAACTTGCACTAATAGAATTTCATAGACACATCGGATCGACATTTTTTAACGGCTTCTGCGTTTTCAACTTCCAAGGATGATGCTATTGCATCGTTTTCGAGGCGAAAAACAACGACAGCTGAATGTGCGTAGATTAAAATTTGTAAATTGAATAAATGTGAAGAAACATGATTACTCGAAAATTGCATGCAAGTAGAAATGTAAACAAAACAAGCAATTTTAATGAAAAAATTTATGCAAACCAGGAGGTAAATGAAACTATGTAGTTCGGCTCTTTACTTCTCGATATCAAAAAGATTGGTGCAGAACGCAAGGGTCAATGCAGGTAAACGAGAGCGAGACAACTGACTCGACCCGTGCTTCTGTTGTAATTATGAGAGTATATCACCGACAATCCGATGAAATCGCCGAACACCAAGCGGGCACACTCTTAACATTACCTCTTGCCGGAGAAAAGGAAAATTTAAATTTTGTCCCTGATTAAAGAACAAAGAGCTCGAAGCCTAATATGTAGTTTGAAAATAATACTAATAAAAAGCGTTAAAAATAAATAAGTAGAAAGATAAGAATAATATACATGCCTAATAAATTATCAATTAATTATTGAATCCGAACTTTAAAGATTACTCTCTACTGGTAGAATGTAGAGGAAGGATTCTTAAACTGATAAGACGAGAGAAAAACCAAAGCGAATGAGTGAATGGGCTTTCTCTGACATATGAATGTGTCCCTTGTGGATTTTCAATTTTCATGGACCAAACTTTTTTAAAGGGTACTAGGTAGGGATTTCTTGTTGTTTACTCCGAAATTAGAGACTAATTATGTTTTTATTATTGCAAAACATGTGGGGGGCGACCTGTGTACTGCCAAACACATATCTTGAATTATTTACTTGGTTTTCCATTTTCTTTTAAAGAATGGAACAAACAACCAAGAGGGAGAAGTCTTTTTTTCTACTTAAGTAACCTTGTACGCTTCAAAAATAATGAAAGACTTGTATCCGCCGCCAAGGGCCGTCGTTTTCAAAAAAAAAAAAACGGTCATTGTGATTTTGTTTTCTCATCTGCCAATTTTCACATACCCGGATTAGGTATCGTGTGAAACATCGAAACGAGATGGCATGTGGGAAAAATAGGGTGAAAGCAAAAAAACACGTAAAAGCTGCGAGTGAAATTTAATTGAAAATTGAAAAAAAAACCGCTGATGAAGGTCTGTGGCGGGACGGATAGCATACTGATTTGTTTCGAATTTCTCTTTAAGGCAACGGGAAACGGAAAGAACGCAAGACGGGCTCATCAAATGATTTTGAATGTGTTGCCGATTCGCCATCGGAAACAACTGGCTTCCGATTCAGTGAATGGCGGGAAGAACGCAATGAATACAATAAGATGTTAATACGGCAACCGATGTGCGTTTTTCGGGATTGCGCAATCTACTATACGGAACAATGTATATTATTACATTTTACATCCAATAAAATCGGTTATAAAACACACATGTTGCTTTTTTTGATTTCTTTTATCTTCACATCGAAATAACTTAGATGACAGATCTACATTAAAGAATGAATTTCCTAAAAATTGTTTTTGGAGGTTTTTTCCGAATCTCAAAATCTGAATTCTCGAACTCTTTAGAAAACACAACCACTTCAATTTTCAAAATTCACTTCTTAAGCTATACAAATAATTGAATTTTGTAAAGTTTAAATAAAACGATAAACAGAAGTTTATAGGATTTAGCAATTATGCGTCGACAATTACAATCCATATTACCAAATTAGGACCAATTCGGTTCGCCAAAACATAAAACCATGTTGCGGGGCCAACGACAATTTGTGTTAAATAGTAAAAACTTGTCGCCAGTGAATGTAATAGTTGAATTTGACGCAAAGGATATGCGCTCAACGCGAATTCCGTTAAAGAATAAGGCGAAGAAGACGAAGGCAAGCGAAAAAAGGAGGCGGCGATTGAGTTTTGTTTCGACAATGGACCATTCCCCGGGAGAGATGTATATAAATGTACACGATGATTCACACTTACTTCAGCTGACGGCTTTATAATCGAAGTTTTCTGAAGCAATTCTATTACTCAAATACCTCATATATGTATATATATAAGGAACGAAACGAATTGAGTTGACAAGTTTCATACGATTAAATTTGCAAGTTGCAATGATGAGAAAATATGGGTAGTTGTATGCAAAACCATACTATATTTGGGTAGACTGGTGAAGGGGGATATAACTCTTGACGAAGGCTTCGGAACTCTCATTACTCGGTAAACACGGTATATTGTTTAAGGTATAGGTGCGCTGACTGGAGGGGGTGTGGTGGGAGCAGTTTGAAGAGCTAAGCGGCTCCGAACTGTGCCATTCTTGAAACAAAAGGACATTGCGCTGTTGGACGCCGAAAATGCGTGTTATGTGTATTTTGTTAGACAAACCCTATAATTTGCCGAAGAATGAAGATTTTGAACTCACGGTTTAAGCAGGAAAACCAAATCTTCAAGGAAAAACAAATATTTTTTATTGAGACTCTGCTTGTATATCCGTCAGGTAGAAAAATAAACTTTCCGACATTTCCTCAGAAAAAAACACACTATTGAAATCTGAAATGTACTAAGCAAGTCTCGAGAAAACGTGAATTGAGAAAAAAAAAGAAGATATGACGAATGAATACGATCGACAGGTAGTGTGTGCCCATTGTCGACACACGATGAGTAACTAATTGCCAAACAAAAGAACCCATTATAGGCACGGTATTAGTGACCGGTACGCCAAGTTGGTGCCCCCGTGAAAATGTATGTCAATTTGTAACAATGATAGCCACTTAGAGATGTGCAGGCAAAACAATGCACTCTTTTATGTATGCATTTACGGCTGATGGCCAAGATGGTCTGCATTTCTCAAAGACCAAAAGTGGAATAGACACAGAAATTGAGTCATGAATTTTATTTTAATGACAATCTATATATGGAAAGTTGCAAGCGGATACACGTGAGAATAGTTGTTGGCGCAGTCTTCAACGGCTCAATTACGATCGTGTTTCAAGGCTTACCTACATTCGGGTACACACATATCCCAAACAATATACTGAAATGAATACTTCCCGTCAAATTATGCGATTCATATAATACGCATATTTCTACCTATATATATATACGTTCGTTTGAAATGAATTAAATATGAGACATGATTGTTGTAAGCAATTATAAATGCTCGGAGAGCTAGTAGTGGAATTCCGAGTAGAAACGTATGGCTAGGTGGTCTCTAGAACAAAAGCACATTAATTCCGGTCAAAGGCAGAACCTATCCGATAGATGGGAGAGGTCGGCAATTTATAACGATCACACACACACACACACACACACACACACACACACCCAAACATACTTTCCAGTTGCTTTAGAAAATTGTGAGAAATGCAACAGAAAGCGATACTTTGAGGTGGGTCAAAATGGCATCTGGCAAAAACGTATCGCACGAGTTGCGTAATTGTACTTGGCCTGATGGGATCCTCATACTCTTGACTGTCAACGGTCTTCAATCCAATCTGTGCACGCGTTTCGCCTAGGTTTTTTCCTCGCGAATTAGGTGTGGTGCTGGTGGATCTGTTGTAAAACACCTGCAACGAGTTCTGATCAACTCGGGTGATTTATGCTCATGGGAGAAACGCAATGATATCTTTGATGGCTGCTCACTACTGATGATAAAAACTACATGAGAATGAAACAATAATAACATGATTATTGATGGCAAAAGATATTGTAGGATAGGTTGATAATTGAACACATTTTAAACTCAATAACAAAAGACAAACAGATTTTTTGAGTGTTTTAATAAATCAGGAAAAATCTTGAAAGAAGAAGATTCGATGTCTGACTGGACAATTTCATATTTTGTCTTTGAGGGAACTTGTTGACATTCCCACGCCAATCTTGAAATTTCACCTTGAAATATTAAAATTCGAATACTAGCAAAAAAATTATTACCATTCGTGCATTTGATTTCAATCATTAACAACTTTGAATGAACAACAGGAAATAATAAGTTGAAAAGATTTCGGAGCGGCTAACCAAGCATGGGCAAAAACAATTAAGAAGGCGTTCCACTGACGAGACTAATTTGTCATTGCCAATTTTGCCCATCAACACCAAATTATGAGACATACGGAAGCGGGCTCACTCAAACACAGGAAAGGCCTCTGACAAACGATGGGTTCAATAATGACAAATTATTGTTTATTGGAGTGTGACAGAAAGTGCTGCCCCAATCAAAGATGTATGCGTGCTTGAAATAAGGAACAGAAGGCTCATTGCGCAACACCGGCATGCTTTTCTCAGTTTGGAAGCAAATTTCTTGGCAGTTATGATACAGTAGTTTTCGCGGGACCCTTTTTGTTTCTTCTACCGCAATATCCATTTGTCATTAATTCATCATTACGGATTAGTCGGCAATCTAATACCGAAAAAGAAACAATCCAAATGGATATCCAACACAATTCTATTTGGTTATACTTTGGGTATATACATTATTTGTGTATATACATTAAGTGAAAAAAGTATATCGGTAACTGGCAAATTTTTACAATGCGCTAGAATTGATTATGTCAGCTGAAATATTGAAGCTAAACTTTGTTCAGAGAGTTATATTATGTAGATGTATTGTCGTTTCTCACGATAACATTTTTTCCTCAAGGTAACATTTTCTGTTAATTGTAAGATTCAAACTTTTTTCTATGTATTTGACATTCGAAATTTTCAGAGTTCTAATAAAAAATTGCGAACATGCAGATTAATTTTAAATATTAAAAAAATCTCTAACCGTAAAATTTGAAAAATCATATTCAAGAATTTTTCTATCTTGAGTAAGATTTTCTATTCGTTCCAATATACGTATGTCTTTTATTTTTCTCGATTTTTATGAGGCTGACTGAGTGACTGGTTAAGCGCCATAAATCATTTTCGAAGGCAAATGACGGAAAATATTGAAAAAGCCAAACTTTCAGAATGTCAGCATCAACCTTTCACCTATTCAAAAATGCACTATAAAACACAAAAAGAGAAATCTTTTTTTCTTCGAATTTGAAAATGCTCGATCCTTTTTTAGGGAAATTCTTCCTGACGTAATACATAATAAGTTCTAACAAAAACAAATTGAATATATCTGAATACATTTTCAAAGACGTACTTGAATAACTTAAATAATAAAATTCTGAAAAGAAACCTTGTCGCCAGTGTGTTTAGAATTCATTTATATATATACATATATAAATGAATTCTAAACATATTGCACGTAGACGAGATGATATGAAAAATACCTCTTTCGAAAATTACAAAAATTTGTTAATTCTTCAATAAACTTAATTAACAAATAATTGAATTAAAGATCGATGAAAAAAGTAATTTCTGAAACAGTTAGTGTTTGTATTTTTGCATTGAATTTGCATATACGCTGCAAATATTATAGTAAGTCGACGGGAATCTTTTTTTTTAAATTTAGAAGTATTTATAAGAATTATATTACAAAGATTCGATGGATTTGGAAAATTGGGAACCGCTTAAAATTGTCATGATACCACAATCTTCCGAGAGAGAAAAAAAAACATGCAAAACAATAAAATGAGATAAGAATTTGAAATTATGTGACAATAGTTTTCCTTTGAAGCTAAAATGCAAAAAAAAAACACACACACGCAATCGAACATAGTTACATTTTTTGGGGAAAATGCGAAAAAAAAATTATGGCATCAAAAAAGGCACGTGAAATTGGAGCAAAAATTATGATAAGTAAACCTTGTAAATCTATGAAATAAAAATTTCAGAAATATTGAAAAAAAAAACAAATTTGTAAGTGAAGTGAGTAGGACAAAGAAGCAATGGAATGAGGGAAAAGTGTGTTCGGAAAAATCAACATTTCCAATCGAATTCTCAACAAGACATATGGGTCCTAATTTTTCTACACAAATTGTATGTAAATATGAGTATAAATGAGGCAAGCATTAAAAGGCATTTAAACTTGAAACAAATGAAACAAATTTAACTGAAGAATTTCACCGATTTCTATTAAATTTTAAGCAACTTGATAAACGACTGGTCTACGACAGAATGGTCAATACAAACTCAATTTCAATTACAAAAGTATGGGCTTTGGTGATTAGCGACTAGGAGCCGATAAAAGATCGCCGATGAATCCGCTCAAGCTCTTGCTCATTTTTAATTCCTGGACATTATGACTGATTTGCGTTCTTGCTGTGGTGCCTCCGGGATTAACACGCTCATCAATTTCTCGGAATATCTGAAAATAAGGGAAATGAAGTTAAAGGAAACCCTGGGAACCAAACCTGTGAAAATCGTTTTTTCGACTTTGATGATTCTCCGTTGTACGAACGCATGAATGGTTCAATGTTACGGAAAAGATCTGATCCAGTTAGCGTATCCGGAAGCTTTGTCAAAAATTCAACACAATCGTCAAAATCCATTGAAAGAAGCTTCGACTCATACATACGGAGGATGCCAAGAGCAGTTTTGAACAAAAATTCTTCTCCATCTCGGAAATAAACATCCCAGATTCGACAGGTCACGTCCAGTGGAAGAGACTTGGCAAACATCGCGAACGTCCTAAAATTGTCTAATTTGTAATTTGGGTTTGACACTATTCAATACCATTCAATAAGATAAAGATCCGGTCTCACGTCTAATTTATCCAAATGATGGTGAAGAGAAGGAAGCTCTTGTTCCAGATAGCGATCGTATGCAATGAAATACTCAGTCATTTCTGGCTGCTTCAAGCCGAAGAAAGCTGACTAAACAGTTATTATTCGACGTTATAAATCTATATTTTTTATCATTATTATTATACCTGAAGTGGACGCTCGAGCAAGTTTGCGAATGAAATAAATGCTTCAAATGGTTCCATTTGAAGCAATAAAACGGATGCAATAAAAGTCATTGATTGCACATAGCCAACATCAGGACGAAGAATCGCGTAAGCACCTTAAATTTTTCAATATATTTTTTAAATTCCATTTTTAGCTTATACTTAAAAGTTGAAGTAAGTGATCATGAAAAGGTCCTCCCTTCTGGAAAATTCCAAGAGAAGTAAAGGTTCTCGTCGCATCCAAACTGATTTGTGAAACTGACGAATCTTTTCTGTTTGTTTCCTTGCTATCATCCTTTTGCTCAGCAATAATTCCATAAGCTTGCTCGATGAGTCCTTCGTAGAGCTCTTTCGTGATATTAATTTCGTTCCCAATTTGTCTTGCCCAAACTTCTCCCCGAACTTTTGCCGGAACACCTTGCCACCAAAGCTCACGGCATCTTTTTGAGTCTTTCCTAAAATAATTAAGCAATGTCAATAAACAAAAATCTATAATTAAGTATTACATTTCAAGCCACTTTGGTAGGATTTGTTCGGTCCAAACGCGACATGCCGCTGCTGCTTGTTCTTCAAGCCGCTTCTGCTCAGCTTTGGCCTGCCTCCGCTCTTTTTCCGCTTTCAGTTCTTTTTTCTTTGCCTTCAATTATTAATATTATTTTGAAACTAACACAATCCTCGTGCTTCTTTTTGGAATAAAATAACTAAAATTGAGGCAATTCTCAAGTGCATATCTATTTTTTTGTTCTTTTTAAATAAATTGTTAGACATATTTTTTTTGTTATAATTTCTCTTGACTTCAAGTTTTGAAGCCGAGCCGAATAAAAAAAATTCGTTGTTGAAGGAACTTTCGCGAAACGAATGTTATCGAATCGTCTCTTGAGATGGAAATCATTTAATATTTGATTAAACTGGGTAATTTCATACTCGAGTTGATGTAAGATAATTGCTTTGGTAAGTTTTTCAACCGGCCAAAACGGTAAGCCTAAATATCTTCTCATAATATTTTATTCTTATGAATTTTTCGAAATGCAATGCTTATATTGGGGCAAAAAAAAACAACCAATTCACTCACTTGTTCCAGAATGTCCAGGTACATCTGCTTGTGAAGAGCTGCTTCATCCGCTGATTTGGAAGGAAGCCCACTAGGTCGTTCTTCCAAAATCAGACCGGTCGTCGCAATAACTCCGGAGGATTTGTTTCGTCCACTAAACATCTTCCAGCTTGGTTTCTCTTCTTTGCTTCTTGTAAACAGATTTCTGAACAGAACCTTGTCATTTAGGGCAATCAAGATCGCGCGACAAGATAATCCACACCAGTCCGAATGCGAGCCAACTCACTTTGGAAAATTGAAAAATCGCGATTTCGAGGTTTCCGGCTTTGATGGAAATTCATCAAAGTCTGACAAGTCGTTCCGTCGGTCGAGAGAAGAGTGTTTAGAATCGTTTTCTAACAATAAATAAATTTATAAGATTTAAAACAAAAGCATTCACCAGTCTCTCCAAGTCCCGAATCTTGCTGGTCTTGTTCGCTTGACGACGATGAGTAATCGGCTTTATTGCTCAAATTCAACGAGCAGATTGCTTCATCGAGGCACCTGAAATAATTGGTTTACTACACGCAACGTGAATCCATAAAATTCGATGAATTTTAAATTTCTGGGGTCTCACAAAAAATTTCATGCCTAACGAAAACCAGAAAAAAATCAATGGATTGCGCTAATGACAAGCGAATGATTTGGAAAATCAATCGAAACGCGGGGTAAGACAACTGCAACTAGTTTCTTCTGCAACGTTTTTTTTTCCAACCACTCTTTGCTGATCTTTTTCTCTCATATTTTCGGTCTTTCTATGTTTGAACAAATCACCAACACGCAATTGCGTCAGTTCTCAATTGACTTCCCAGTTTTTTCAACATTTTCTATTCATTAATTACCAGGTTTATTGTGATGTTTTGTTTGAAAACAGCTATCATAACAACAACTGACGGCCTTTACGCATTTTAAAGGCACTTTGACCCCAATAAAAGGGGTGCTCAATATATATTAAAACTTCAAACATCAACTCTTAATGAAATGTGTTGAAAAAATTGAACATCCCTCACATATTAGAAACACAATTTTAAAAAAACGCTCACTTGGCCACTGAAGGGGCTATCATTGGTATTCCATCATTTGGATTAGTTGTGCGTCGAGCAAAATTTAATTGAATTTGGGCCGATTCGTATGAGCTTCGACGGATATGACCGCGACGGAATTTCGTATCTGCAAGATGATGTTATTTAGGTCGTCAGAGGCAAATAACTAAGAAAAACATTCATTCATTTCATTTTTTTATTTGACTAGATGAATGTCAATGAAATGTGTAATTTTTAGTATTTTTTGTATTAAACTTTGTTTGAATGAGGATGGACATCTTCTAAAAATGTCCCTAATGAGAAAATTAAAATTATCTTGAGTATCTAAGTTGTAGCTCGTTTTCATGGAGATTTCGTGGTGAAACAGTAATAGAATACTAATTACTAAGTTTTATATTAAAACTAAACATTACATTTACTAGTAAAATCCATATTAATTTTGAAAACCTACCGTTACATAAGAAAAACTAATTTTTGTGCATTATGCGGAGTCGGTGTTCGCACACTTACCACAGGCATATAATTAAATTGCTTTGAGAGATATTTTTTGCAACACAACTTCATTAATTTACCGATAAAATATGTTTGCGCACTGATTTTTCGAGTAGTATAATTCCATAATATAGAGAAAGTTTCTCTAACAATTTTCAATTTTTTAGACTTTAAAATATTCACCAATGGTGTTGGAACAAGTCGCTTCTGTGCCGAGTGAAGGTGAACGATCGAGACTTTTAGTGTCCGTGTTGTACGATAATGGGAGATTTTCGACCACTGTTGCAAGTGAGCTGCTCTGTGAACAGCTTTTTCCCGCCAGCTTCTGAAACAACGTGAATAAAGGTTTGTGCGGCACAGAAAACATGTTTTCATTAAAAAACGAAGAAAAGCGGTCATAATAAATCATCAACAAAGAATGAGTGTGTAGTGAGAAGGTTTAGTGAAAAATTGTAGTATCACATATCAAAAAAGTAATACGTGAATCAATTGCCGAATTGTACAGCATCTTTGTTAATAATTTGCAACAATTCCGACAGACATACATTTATAAGATTAATCACGCAAATAGGTTCCGTCAGACGTTGAGAAGAAATAATCCTGGTTATTTGCACTTGCATACGGTTTTGTTCAAAGTTTTAAATTAAAATGTTTCTTCGAAGGAATGATCAAAAACATATATGATTCACGATTAAATATTTTAGGGATGCCAGTTTCAACATAACGAAGAACAGTCATCCCGAAATTCAATGAATCGGCTGGTTTTTTTCTGTTTCAAACTAAAGCAAAAGGGAATTCTACAGATTCGATGTGATTATGCTGTAACATTTTCACTTATTATGATTTGGAACATCAGAAAATTATTGTAAAGCTTATTGTTCTTCAATCACTGGTTATATCATCATTCTTAAAGATAGAAGTTCTTTCACGTGAATAACGTATGAAGTTCCATGGAACAGTAATTATAATATATAAGGATGTTCAGTTCTATAATAGTAAACAAAATTCTATGTTATCAACAAATGCACATGAAAAATCAAAATACGAGAAAAACAGAAACGATACATATCGCAAAACGGTCGATAAATTAGCATATGGATGCATGACGGTAAGTCAAACATTAGTCGGAAAGAGAATTAGAGAAAATTCGATCGAATATACGACCAATATATTTCATGCAAATCGATATAGCTTATAAAAGTGGGAGAACTAGCGCACAGCACGAAATGACCAGAGTGGACATCGTTTTGCTTGGGTTGTAGTTGAGGGAATAATAGAGAAAGAGAAATGGGGGGGGGTGGCTGACGCGGCAAAACCTCCCACAATCGCCGTGCGAGAAAAAATGCAAATAGAGCTCGAATTGAGAGGGTGCAGACTAGTAGGAGAAAAAGTGAGAGTTGGTCCCTGCTAACCGATGGACCCAAAACATTGCTACCCCTTCGTCGTTCTCCGAACTAAACAGCCAAGTTGCGCGCGCGCGAAAGCGAACTGATCCTAGCGGCAACAGTTGAACATCTGGCGACCAGATTGTGCCGGTAATAAACTTGGCACTCTTTATTGCAACAACAACTCAAAATCAAATGAAAAGTGTTACTTTTGTCAAAGTGAAAACTCGAAATTTTCCTAAAATATGCTTTTATAAATTTACATTATTAATTTTTTGAAAAGAGCTGTGGTTTGGGAGACATGAACTATTGAAAGAATATATATATATATATTAATCTGATAGGATTATTAGAAATGGCAAGTTACTTTTAAACTAGTTTCCATTAGCAAGATTGTTGATAGTAAATTCACCAAAAACAAATACTTATATGACATTTTGAACAATGTTTGTTTACAAGGAGAGAAGGTTCCTGTCTATCGTATTTGAAATTTTTTCGCTAACCGAAAGAGCAACGTTTTGCGCAATCAAAATCCGTTGCATTTCACATAGAACTCTATACTTCTTTACAGCATCACCTTTTTGTTCTTATATGTTCTTTTATTTCCTGAAAATCTTGAGATCTATGAGTAAATGAGAAAATATTTTGACAATTTCCAAAATGTATTTAAAAATTTTACACAGCTATAATTAATTGAAAAAATTTTGGGAGATATATTTCAATACGTTGAAATGAATTATAAATGTATGTATGTATACAGAAGAAAATGTTGACACCATCAATTTAAACACCTGCAATATGAACAAAAGACCAATATTCAGTTGTTTATAATTTAAACAAATGGTTAAATAGAACTTTCCAGAAAATATTATGTAAAAATAATGTAACTTTTATTATTACTAAAAATGGAGTTAAAATGGATTGAAATTGGGTTATTTTTAGTAATTCGTTTGTAAATAATAAAAAAAAATAAATTTGTTGGAACAATATCACCTCCATATAATGGTCATTATGGCGTCCTTATGGTAGTTATCAAATTTCTGATCGCACATTTTTTTGTTCCTATGTGCCTCTTGACCTTGTTACCATTTACCTGTTATTGACGAGTTTTGCCAGTTACAATTCTTTAATTATAAATAAAGTAGGTCATTTTTTCAGAAGTATGTAAGAATCAAGTAAGCAATGGGTTTTTTTTTTCATAAATCCGATAATCTGCTTGAAATATTATCAGATTTATGAAAAATAAACTTTTTTGAAACAAGTTTGTTTACGTCATGAATGCAAATTTGAATGAATGATTTTCTTTGATTTTCATTATTTGATTCATAAGAGAAATATTGAATTTGATTTCGTTTTTATGGTATGTAGTAAAAAATGACAAAGAAAGCGAACTGACAGCAATAAAATGTATTCAATTCTTTTTTTTTTCAATATGAAAATAAATTAGTTTCAGAAATTGAGAAACTTCAATCAACATGTTCATTCGTTTTGAAATTGTTATAAAACAGCAGTTCGATCTTACCTTAATTGTATGACCTATTAATGTATTATGATATTTAAAAGTTTCCATGCCAAGCTTTTTTGAAACAAAAAGAGACTTTGAGCCAAACGTCACTTGGTTTTTATAAGCGTTATTCACTATCAGCCGATTTGAGAAAGGAAAAATTTTGCCTCATTCCGGATGAGCAATCACCCCGAACAAAAAAATGATGAGTTGGGTGTCGCATCAGTTTTCACAAAAAATATCTCCCGAATGATTCACTCTGTTGGCCCAACTCTTAATGACACTCAGTTTTCTTCGAAGCGAACGGAATTCTACACGAAATTTTATTCATCATTACTATTAAAAAAAGGAGTTGTCAAACAAGAAGGAAATTGCATCAAATATTAATACGTGGTGAAAATGTGCAATAAATAGGTAAGAATTCGTTGTTTTGAAAGCATGGTCAATGGGATTTAACTAAACAGACGTGAATAGTGGTATTCCTATGATTCCGAAGAATTCTGCATCGACTTAGCGGTGTTTTCGTTCTTCTCATTTTTGGCAGATTCCTCATTTTTTGTAACACAATTGGGGTTCTTTGCGATAACCGTCCTGCATAATTTTATTTATCAATTCACTCAAGTTTTATCAAAATGTGCCTTACGTTTTTTCAACGAGTTTGCGCCGTTTTTTCACACCGCGTAAATTTCCAGGATATTTAAACAAGTGATCGTCATTATCAATTCTCGGTTTGGCATGTGACTCCTGGGGAGTGCCATCATTCTGAAATGAAATTTGTTCGCATAACCTAGTATTTACTTTCGATCTCTTAAACCATGTGATCAAAACTCAATATTATTTGAGACGTTTTTGTTTTTTTGAAGAGCAATGTGATGTTTGATTAACCTATCATCGAATCGAGAAAAAATCCAGGCACGGATGGTAAACAATGGTTTTGAATGAAAGTTAAAATAAACTCACTGAAGAAAAAACATTTACAAAAGTAAGGAATTGTTTTCGAGATCGAAAAATAATATCTCAACCGACAATCGTTAATCCTTGTGAAGTTTTTTCTTCTCATAATCGAAGAGGAAATACTTTACCGTAAATTTGTTTTTTTTTTTCACTTTTTTTGAGTCATGATATAATAAATATGTATATTTTTCCTCCTCCTCTGTTCAGGATTTGCTATTTCAAGCAAGGTGCTTTGAATTTACATTAACCATATTCATTCTCTTGTAACAATAAATATCATATGATACTAGCAAATATCGACTAACATAATTCAATCAGAACAAACCTTATCGTCGACTTCGACCTGCTCCATAGTTGAGTATTGACGTTTGAGTCGTTGTAGCCGTTTCATTTTGGCAGCCGTGTTGATTGTTATAACAGAAGGGCGAAAATGAGATGTCGTGAGTATGCGTTGAACCAACTCCCCCATTATTTGGCTCGTTTGAGCTGAAATCTTTACAGTAGGGTTGTGGCTCTTTTTTGCTAAGACTAATTGAAAGAATCTCATTTAATTAGGCTTTATCCTCAAATAAAATAAAAAAATAGAGGAGAAAACGGAAGTGTCGAAGCGCATATGAAACAAAATTTAGTTATGCACACATATGCATACATATACATACATATGTCAACAGCGATTTTAGTAATTTGAATTCTGCGCTGGTTTCATTAGAAAAAATGAGTGCAACTGATAAGAATAGACGATTCAAGATGAAGAACGCAACCGACGGAGATTGCATGTATTATTAATATGTATTTATCAGTAAGCATTAATCAATTCCAACCAGATAGATCATTTTTGACACGGAAACGAGCTTGAATTGATCGAAATGTTTTGCATTGCAGCGAGAGCGCCGGCAAAAAAGGAAAGGAAAGCCGTTGACGACTGAAAAAGGCGGTCGAAGACGTGTGTAATTCGAACGTCTTGTTTTGCTTCTATTCAATTTAACATTCTAATTCAAAACCTCGTCAGAATTAAATATTGCAATATTTTTTTAAAATATTTTCTTTGATGATGAAGAAGAATATGAGAAAAAACAGCAGCAGAGTGAAAAACGAATGAAAGAAGACATGCATACATACATTGATGTACGCATATATAGTTCACCAAAAAATTTGCGCGTGTATGAATGCGTTTGGATAGAGACAGGAATGGCCCCTAAAAGACATCTGGAGCAAATAGATGTTGAATGAATATGCTTCCCACTCAGCAATTAATGGGATCCCCTCATTCTGCGATGAAGCTGTAATTGCAAGAATGTTATTACTACGGCAACCATCTTAAGCTTTTACCACTGCTTATGGGCGTGATTTGGTCGTTCTTTTCAAATTTGTACTTGCACATTATATAGAATATCAATGTTATTCCTAGAATGACGCGAGCAATACGATTAACGTAATGTTTAACCTATAAAATGTTACATAATACACATATGCAGAATTGATAAATTAATTTTATTATGAAAATGAGCAGTATTGGAATGAATGAAGACCGAGTTTTTGAAAATACACATATAATTTATTGTGGAGAAATGGAGTTTTGCCGTGACTCTGCAAGTAATGGTGAAACCAATTCCACCAAAACTTTTTCTTCGTCATCATTTGTCCAGAAAACGTCTGCAAAGCGGGTTCGCGCGAATACTATGAGGATTACATTTACCATAGAACTTTTGAGCAGCAATGGAGATTAGAACATTGGTAACCACTCCAATGACACTGTAGTATTGATACGAAATCGCAAAGATCCTGTCCAATCCAAACATTCTGAATTTACAAATCATATTCTAAAATTTCTCAATTAAGCACTTTTCACATTTTTTCATGAATACATATTTTTAGAATTAGAGTTTATCAGAAATCGAGCTGATTTTCATGAAAATCTTTCATTTTCGATTTAAATCTGCAGAATCGTTTCAAGCAGATTATCAGATTTATGAAAAATTCAGATTTATGGCATTCATTCAGCCGTCAAAATAATCTTCATCGGAATTACAATAACACATTAAGTTATAAAATGTCGTTTTTTTTTTTTCAAGAAACTAATAGAAATTATGACTCGACGTATAATCAACCGATTTGTACATGAGTGGAAATATTGTTCCAGCTCCTTAAGAAATATCAAAAAACAAATTCGTGTTTCTTTGCTCGTTTGAAATCGATTCTGATTTTAACTCAACCGCAGCTTCATACATTTTTTTAGAAATTCCAAAAAAGGCAATGTGGAATACAGCAAGAAACCCGCGAAATGTTACAGGCATATGAAATTTGGGAAATTTACTTACAATGGAGTAGACGTTATTCTTCCTAGATTATCAATGTTGAATGTCGAATTACTCGGGTCACCACAACTACCTAATTCCAACGGATATGGTTTAACCTATAATTTCTGTGAAGCTTCGTATTCGAGTAATCAATTTGCAAACTTTGAGAATGGCACTCCCAATAGAAACCGTGAAACATGCAATTACAGCGAAAACGAAGCCAATAAATGCCGCGCGACCTTTAACAACAGGGCAGAATAACCCGACCACAAATGAGCCAAGGACGGGTCCGCCGCCGGCACCAAATACGATGAAAGATAACTGAAACATGATCCATTTTTCCCAATTAATTGAAAAGAAAAACGTCTACTTGAAGGACAATGCTCTGCAATTGGCTGCATATCCCCGCTACGATAATTGAAGCAAAAGCCAAAATTATTGCTGAAATGCAAATTTTAAAAATATTCGTCCTAGAAAAAAGATTTCATTACGTGTAAATCTCATCGCTTTTTGTACATGTTCGTGGCTCATTTCTCCCATATTTTTTCGCAAACGAAAATGCTTCCATACATCGTTAATCAAGATTGAGGAAACTGCATTAAACGATGCAGACAGGGTACTGCAGAACAGTTAGATACGTAAAAAGAGAAACCTCTCAATTTTCCTCAACCTTATGCCTGCGCTATAAACGGCTGCCGCGAATAATCCAACTGCACCTGGATACTTTGAAAGAACATCTGTCACGTATTGCGGAAGAAGCTTAAATAAATTCTTTCGCTTGTAGAAAATAGGGGGGGGGATTTGGTTACCTCGTTCGCATTAGTAATATTAGGATGGCAGTCTTTGTAATACGAATAAATAAGAAAGCCCACGCTAACATAAGAAAACAAAATAAGCGTATTACAGACGATATTAAGAAGCGCAACTCTGAACAAAGATTACTTTAGTTTAGATAGCAAAAAAAAAAATTAACTTCTGTGCTGATTTTAATGAATCCATTCCCAAATACCTCTGCATGCTCAATTGATTTGCAGCAAACAGGCTTACAACATTTCCCATTCCTCCAATCATTAAAGACCAAACAGAATGGCGAATAGTGGGATTCACACGAAAACTACAAATACTGCGAAGTTAGCTTGAAAAATTCAATTGAAGTGTCGCCTACTCATTCAAAATGAGGCGGTTTCCTTGAACGACATTTTTGTACACTTCAAATGGTGTTGTTTCATTTAAAGATGCCATTATAATGAATGTCATTGTCACAAAAATGAGAGCCATTTGAAGGGCAGATGTATGAATTGCAGCTTTTGCACCACCCTGAATTTAAAAAAATGTGTTTTTTTTTTCTAACGGTGACATTTAAGACCAGTTTTCTTACCACACAAATATAAGTAGCGGACAGAAAAGCAGTAATAAAAATCGACAAAAGAATTGGAATTTTTGTTATTGAAGAAATAGCCAATGATGGAGCATAAAGAGCGACAGAATTGTATAAAATCATCTGAAATTCCAATTTTTCACATTAGCAGTTCAACCATTCTCATAATGGTTTGAACCTGAATGCAGAATAAAGTTGTCGTTGCGAATCGACAATTATAATTGAATCTTCTCTCAAAGTATTCGTACAGAGTTGTTAGCCTCAGATTGTAAATAACCGGTAGAAAGACGTATGCGACCAGTGGAAAGGCTATCACGTACATTGGTGCAAACCAAAGCATCATTCCACCTTGATAATACACCTGAATTGACGACAATTAGAGGGCAGATTACAATCTTGATGAGCAATTCATCATTTTATTTGCTCAATCCATTAAATATTCAACAGATGTGCGCAGATCATCATCTCGGTTGAATCTCATAAAACGCATTAATCCTCCTCAAAGCTCTCTTTTAATGTCCCCGCCTTCAATTAGCACCATTCTCCTTTGTTTAAATGCATTTCCTTCAATTGTTTACTTCCAAACGGGAAATGTAAAAATTCGTTATCGTATATTCCTATTTACTTAACGTTTATTCAACATATGAATTCATGCGCTAAAAAGTTTATTTATTTACTCATTTTTTTAAATCCAGAAATGTATTTAGAAAATCTAAATTTTATGTAATTTTTGCATTTTTATTTTTGTAAAAAATACATCTCATGAATACATCTCACAAAGAAATACGCTAGATATTTTCCTTTACTGCAAACCAAAAAGCCTACCATTAACATTCATATTAAAAACCACTTTGTAATACTATAATAACAATTTGCAAGCGATTAGCTTTATGACTTCACAATAAATTTTACCTCCGCAGGAAAACCAAGTAGTGATATCGATGAGATAAATCCTGAGCAAACGGAAAGTGTCACGGACCAGACCGACGCACTAAATTATTTTAATTTAAAAAAATCACGAGTCTCAACCTCTCACCCGGATCCAACCATTGCACTTCTTGCGGTCCTTTCTTCATTCACTGTTTGTTTTGATTTCAACAATCCATAAACGCTAATCGCCAAAAGACAAACTGATAAAGTAATAAAGTCAATGCCCTCCATTTTGATTTTGTTGTCTAAAATCGAAAAAGAAATTTCGTTTGTTTTTCTTTACCATTTCAAATAATAAATAGCTTGGCAAGAAAGTAGAAAAAGAAGGAAGCTTTTAGCAGAAGCGCGGGGATTAAAATGATTAAAACGTCAAATGCTGAACAAACTGAAGAACGGCTCAATGGTGGCTACTTTGTGCTCCGACAAAACATTACAACTATTTTGGTTTGGTTTAACGTCTAGTTTATTTTTTTTTACACTGATCAAGGTTTTGTTGCATTCAAACAACAACTCCAGCTCAACAGAATTCGCGTCAAAACATATGCATTGTTTTTCTTCGAAAACATGCATTTTTGATAATATAGAAAATTGCGCATCTAGTTTCTAATTAACGTAAAATTTAAAAGTCTTAAGATTAATTCTTTGACTTACATTTTTGTGATGAAATGTTGTCAACGATTTTTTGTGCTTTCCAAATATTCTTTTTAACTCAGAGGGAAAAGATTTAATGAAGATTGAGCAACAAAATGATTTGAAAGTAGAAAAAAAAATCAAAGGAACAGCAAACCACACAGAAGCGGTCAGCTTTTGCGAACTGAAAACGTTTGATTGGATTTTGATAAGAATCATGATGAGGATACAAGAAAAAATAATATTAGTCACCAAAGTTCACAAAAACAAGTGTATTACGAAATATTTTATAATGGCCTTTTCAAGAAAGTTTTTATTTTAATTCTTACGTAACTATTTTAGACTATTTTTCTAAATGAGCCTTAAATTAAATGTGTTTTTTTTTAAATCTTAGAATGTGGTCTGTTTAATATGTTAATACTGCCAATTTTTTTTGACAATACAAAAACAAAATTGCAGATTTTTCAAAATTTAGCTTACCTTTTTATCAATAAAAAACATCTTTATGGATAAAATTACTTTCACAAAACTGTGTGCAAAACGAAAAGTGTGATTCTCACATTCTCCCAAGCGCCTTATTTAATGACAAAATGTATCCATTTGAATAGTATTGCGTGAGAAATTGCATGTTGTCGCCGCACACAATTCGTTATTTTTTGCGCTTTTCGGGCGATTTTAACATGAAAATTGAAAAATCAAACATGAAACGCGATACTCTTGAAGTAGGGTGGTTGTTGTTTTCACTGCCTGAGTAAATTTTCACGTCTAGCTCTATGTTGACGAAAACACATGAAAATGAACAAAATTTTCTATTTTAATAACACATTTTTTGCTTATTCTTCTTCAAGCTCGTTTAATTCATTCATCATCTATTCTCTCTTCATACTCTCGAAATGTTAAACTCTCTGCTGTCCGCACTAGTGCTCATCGATTCCGTGAAGCAAATGGTTTGAACAACGGGGGCGAGTACGCTTGGGTCCGTGATGCGTGCTTTTTTCTGAGCTTTTCTAAATGACAATTTTTGCAACAAAACTCCAATTCAATTTTGTGCACGCAAATATTTAAACGCGCTTCTGAAACAAACATCTTTTTTTTTGTCATATTTATGTTTAAAAGAAAGCCCGAAGCGTTTTCACTGGTAAGTATTCGATCGCATCTGGTGAACGTATCGTCTTTCCGTCGCATAAAATCATATTATGACGGGTTTGGCGAGCAGTGCGCAACGCAGCTGCGTTTAGTATATTAGCCGCAATAAAATACGACGCCTGGCACTAACAGGTGCATTTTTTTCGCATTCAAACAATTGCCGTCGTTTTTCCTACTCACCTCGAATTCCGAAAGGCATCATATTGTCCAATTTGATATACGTCAGCCATATGGGAGCACAAGACATATTTATTTCATAAGTATTTGTCATCATATTTTTTGATCAGTTAGAGTTTGCTTTAAAAGATTTGTTTTCCACGAAAGTGCTCAACATAATGCAAATTTAGTCGTAATCTAACCTTGAGGGGTTGATTACATTATAAATTGTTTACTAAACTCAACTGTTTTGTAAGCAATGTTCAATATTTTTATGTCAATAACCCTTGTGCTATTACTAATACTTTATAAAGTAGTAGTAGGAATTTATCTAATATATGATTACATGAACAGAACAAATTTATCAAACGTTAAGAAACATTTTAGCAAAAAAAGTAAGCATCGATGTGGGTAATCAGTTAATAACCGTTTTAAGGCAAACGTAAATTTAAGTGGAGCAGATAATTGCTTTCCTATTTTTCATGTCATTTTTTAAGTTCTAGTAAACAATTTTTCACCAACAATATGGAAACCGTTATAAGTTATATAAAGAGATTCGTAGTATCATATGTTTTTATAGCGGTTAAAATTTTTTATATTTCTTCCAAAATCTTTTCTTCCAATGATCTTAATGAACTTTCGTGAAAACAATAAACATTATATTTTATTGTTTTTTCATTTTGCTATTCAACTTATTGCGATTTCTTCTGAATTAGATTGAATAATATACGTGCGTTGTACCTTGAAAAATCTTCACACAATTGATTTACATACATGTAAATTGGTTGTTTTTCTATGCATGCAGAGTGTGATGCTGAAGTTTTTTATTATGCAAATTGTTAATTTCCTGTCATCCTAGGTAGGAATACTACTAACATAAATGGATGTAATTAAATACGAATTGCGGATGAATTTTTTCGAGTCAAATGATTCACATTTTTCATTCACTTTGATGCGTAGAGTTTGGCAATGTTTACTCTCCAACCATATTATTATACACGAATAGCGAATACGATTTCATTGGTGATTATATACTAGATTGGCAGACAGGGTACAGTAATTCGCAGCCATCCATTCATATTATGACGTTTATTAATAATATAAATATATATTTTTTTAATACTTCCACAATATACACATTTTTGTTTTCCCAGTGCTCACAGCGCAAATTTTATCGATTTGATTTTTCGAAATAATATGAATAATTGAGCTTTTTCATATTTTCTCCGGTAAATCAACTCACCTTGAATTCGTATTGATAATTGTAGGTTTACAATCTCATTTAATGATTTTTGACTAGTTTCCGGCGCATTGAACACCAATGACGTGAACGAGTTCTTTGTGTTGAGGTGACCTCACAAGATCTTTATAGTTGCCATAAATAATACTAAAACACATTTTCAGGCTATAGAGTGGAAGGCTTCAAGCAATAACTTTGTATATATATATATATATATATATATATATATATTTATATTTATATTTATATATATATATATATATATATATATATATATATATATATATATATATATGTGTTTGTTCCTTTTTTTGGCAAACGAATTAAACAAGTTTTGATGAACTTTGGAAAGGCCATTTGTCTTCAAAAATTTGAATATCTCAAGACGATTATAAGTGGATCAACGGTGCCATGAAAGAGAGGGTTCATACTTTTGTGGGAACCTCAAGCAGCCGCCCGAGTAGCCAATGATGTTGGCATAGGCTCATTTGACCTTAGTGCTGTGTCCTCATTCGTTGCCAGCCATTCGTTCGTTGTTGCACACATCCGGCAATCGCCGACTCTCTTCAGGTTGCGTTCTATCTGTCGACTCTGTCATTTTTCTTTTGCCTGTTGTTCACTAATGCCATTAGAATTCCGATTTTCTTTATAATATTTTGGCAACAATATTTTTTCACATTCTATTAAAATATTTAGATCAACATGAGCGCGAAAGGGAAAGCGGATCAAACTCAACCACTAAAGGATGACAATGACGCTGTATGTATACATTCAAAAAAACATCTTAGGATAATTACTTTTTAGGATGCGGATAATGAAGGAAAAGGACTCGAAAGGTCGATGACTCTGTTCAACGGAGTGTCAATTATTGTTGGATGTATTATAGGATCTGGAATATTCATTAGTCCTACAGGAATCCAAGCGCGTATGTATTTCAAAAATATTTTTTTATATATAGCAGAATCTTTGCGAAACATTAATTTTCAGAGGCTGGATCTGTTGGGCTTTCTCTTATTGTTTGGGTTTTGTCTGGTCTGTTTGCCACGCTTGGAGCCTATTGTTACGCTGAATTGGGAACATTGATTAGAAGATCTGGAGGAGATTATGCCTACATTATGGATGCTTTTGGTCCTTTCCTTGCTTTCATTCGTCTGTGGATTGAAGCTATTGTTGTCAGGTTCTCAAATAATTTTTTGTTGATTAAAACAATAAGCATTTCTTCAGACCATGCACTGCCACAATTGTTGCTCTTACATTTGCTCTCTACATGTTGAAACCTATCTTCCCACATTGCGACCCGCCAGCCGGATCAACCGAACTTCTCGCCGCTATTTTATTAAGTATGATTTTGTTATAAATTATTTAATACAGATCGTGAGTTTTCAGTTCTTCTCACCGCAATCAACTGCATTTCGGTCAAATGGTCTACTAAGGTGCAAGATTTCTTCTTTGTTGCTAAAGTTGCCGCTCTCATCTTGATTATTGGAACAGGAATTTTGCACTTGCTTAGTGGTATAAACCTTTCTGGGTAATTATTGAAATTTTTACTTTTTTCATCAGGAAAACCGCAATACTTCGATTCGTTCGAGAATATATTTGAGAATACGGCGAATGATTTCCAAACAGCATCGCTTGCATTCTATTCGGGGTTGTTTGCTTACCAAGGATGGAACTATCTCAATTTCATAGTTGAAGAACTCGAAAATCCAAAGAGGTTAATAGAAAAAAATATTTTAAATATACAAAAATACACTTTAGAAATCTGCCCTTGGCGATTGGAATATCTTGCTCTCTTTGCACAATTATTTACACTTTAACTAATGTTGCCCTGTACACCTCAATTTCTCCAGATGAAATGTTGGCGAGTCCCGCTGTTGCAGTTGTAAGCATTTTGCCAATATCCAGTTCTGTCCTTGCTAAAGAAAAAATTTTATTTTAGCTTTTCGCTGAGAAGAACTATGGATACTTTGCCATCTGCATGCCCTTCTTCGTTGCCTGCTCTACTATTGGTTCAGCTAATGGAGTAATCCTCACCAGTTCAAGGTACTGCGCAATTATGTTTATTTCGGGAAAAATTATTTTGCAGATTGTTCTACTGCGGTGCTAGAGAAGGTCAGATGCCAAACGTCTTAACAATGATCAACAAAAGCACTAAGACACCGATTCCAGCCGTTGTCCTGACGGTGAATACGATTTATTGTAATCTATAATTTTATTGTAATCTATAATCATATTTAGGGAGTTTTGTCGCTATTTTATCTTCTTCTCTCGAACAACATTTATTCTTTGATCAACTACATTCAAGTCAGTTACTGGCTCGCCATTGGAGGTGCGATTGCGGCTCTTTTCTACTTCCGACGCACAATGCCAGATGCACCAAGAGCAATTAAGGTAGATAGTAAGAAAATGTATTTTACTTTACAAACTCGGTTCATAGGTCCCGCTGTTTATGCCGATTGTCTTCTTTATTGGATGCATTGCACTCGTTTTGGTTCCCGTTCTTGGAGCACCTACTGACACTGCCATTGGGTTGCTCATTATGCTTTCTGGTGTCCCAGTATATCTCATCTTCATTGCTTGGAAAGGAAAACCAAAGTTCTTCGACAGCATAATTAGTATGAATTTTAAAATCTATATTAGTCGAACAAGAAACAAAAATCTTCAGAATCGATCACGCTCTTCACTCAAAAGTTATTTATGGTTGTTGACGATACCAAGGAAGCTTAACTGAAAAAAAAATCGACAAAATAATATTCCGGTTCTGCTTCTTTGTCGGCTTATGATCAATTGAATCAACACTTGTCTCAATTTAGAATAATTTTCAGAGCAATGATCTCACTATATTTTTAGCATTCGCATATTTGTTGTTCCGTTTTGATCAGTGAGTATTTCCAATAAATAAATTTATTCCCAAATATATATATCTATAATTCAATAAAAATATTAATTACATAAACAGTAAATGGTTTGAATTAATTATTTCGATTGATAATGTCGGCGTCGCGATAGTGCGGAAAATCGGCTTACTTTACTTATTTAGTACACTAGAATCAATTTGTGAGTACGTATCTAATTTTTGATGAGAGCTGATAAAGCTTAAACAAATAACAAAAAAGGCGGGGGTGGGGGGGGGGAGGATGACATTCTGCGAAATAAAAAAAACACAAAACAAAATTCAAAGTCCCAATTGAAAACGGTGAAACTGTTTGACTGGTCCCATACGGCAGATGATAATAATGAAATCCCATGCTGGTGGAAGTTGACATGTTGTCGTAAAAACACAGATATTCGGATGAAGGAAAAATTGTTCCTTCACGATATCAACTCTATAAAAGAAACAAAATCAAAACGTTAAATACGTAGAAACCATACTCATGGCGAAAAATAATTGCGACAATTGGTTCGGTGCTTGTAATCAGCACGTTTCCTGTCTCAAGCTTAATATTTCGTTATGATTGCACTTGATATTTTAACGATACTTTTTGGAAATAAACAGCGACGTTCGAGTTGGAATTCACAAGAAGCGAATTGTAAACAATGATCCAGTTGGTATTGCCTAGAATTGATCCTAGTTTCAATTGGTTGAAATATGTGCATTTCCTTAAATGATTGGTTTCAAACAAGTTCAATTGATTAAATATACTTAATGAGAGTCTTGTACACGAAACCTCTGAAGCGTTGTCCAGCACCAAGCTGAAAATTGTATTTTTCATGAATAAATAAATAGCTAATTACATCGTTAATTGTTTTCGAAATTTTTTTAAATAATGTTGGCATCATTTGTTAACCCTAAAACAGCAATAGCAAACAGCGCATATAATGTGACGTGGCATTGCCGAAGATTGATTTTTCTTGTAAACGAAAGAAGCGTTTTCAAAAAAAATCTTATACAAATTTCGTTTTTGAGTAGAATGTTGCACTTACCACGCGGAATAATTCATGAGTGAGTTTTCCCAATAGCCCAACAAATGATGTGATTTGCTTTTGAGTGAAGTCTGATATTTTATCGTTTACGTTAATTCTTGTCGGAAGGTCTTCCACGTTGGCTTTCGACAGCTGCACCAAGCCACCATTTGAATCGAATTTCATGTAACCAACAAAAAATTGTATGTTGATTTTGCCGGATTCGCGTCTAAATCAATAAATGGCATCATATTTAAATGAAAATAACTAACAATTCGGTTTTGGATCCGTCTGGATTTTGCCCAGCTACTTTAACATCAATTGCAAAATCGCGAGTACAATCCGCAATTTCGTGACGAAGTTTCTCAAAAACGAAATCACCTGCAGAGTTGTGGTAATACAGACTAAAACGGTTTCTTAAAATGAACGGCGTTTACCTACAGCTGTTATCTTAGCTGTTACATCATTCACGTTCTCGATATCCTTTATGTAAAATATGAAGTTTACCCGTTCAGTCATTTTAAGGGAGCTTAAAATCGTTCTCAAATATTATTGAACGCGTTGCAAGCAGAAAGGAATGACAAAGAATGAGAAGTGTGGCAGCCGAATGGTAAAATATCGACCGTATGGTAGCACGAGAAAAATATAAATTATTTTTTGCCGACCGGCGCTTTATGATTCGATTAAACGATTGCATTCGCTAAATAAAACGCGCTAGATTTTTTTATGGAAAAAATCAATTTTGTACGAAAATATGTAATCAATTATTAGATTCTAATAATTGTTGTTATCGAAGTATTCAAATAAAAAGCCAAACATACTTTCCTGAGTCCTTTAGACGTTTAAATTAAAAAAAAAAAGCATTTTTAAATCATAAAACAGGAAAGTATTGTTGACCAAAAAATACTAATACATACTTACCTCTATGAAGAAAATACTATTGCATATTGTATTTTATTCATTGTTTCGTAGTAGTAACATCCGATTACATGCAAACGTTCATTTCACCATCGGAAACATAATTAGAAAAAAGTAATCATCGATTTCAAGTAAAACAATAAATAAGGCAATTTCACAATTAAGCACTGCTATGAATATGCACAAATGTTGAAACGCTTAATTGAGTATAAAGTGAATATCATAATAATCTTACCTAGAAATATTCCTCAAATCCGAGGGATAAAACCAAATTGAACAGTCTTTTCAAAATATCAATACAACAATAAAAGAATAATTACGACAAAAAGTGAATTACAGAAGCAAATAAGTAATCAAAACTATGACTTTACAAATATCTAAATAACCAACAATAGAACAAATAATATAAATGAATAAGTCCTCCCCCCCCCCTAAGAACATTACTTACCAATTTTCTGAACAAACAAACCTTACATTTCTCACACAAAAACTTACGCTTCTTAATAAATACTAATAAGACACAGAAAAATTATACATGACAGACAGTAAAAAAAAATGAAAATTGTCTTTTAGACTAGAAAATAATTAACTGAATTTAACAAGCCGTCCAATATCCTCGTATGTTAGAAAGCATGCCGGCCCGTCATTTACAAATATTAAAAATCCTTTAGCGGTAGAGGGTACATCGAATGGGCAGGAATAATAGTCAGCTGCTCTAATGCCGTTGGTTTTCGATTGTTGTTGGATTACATCAATTATAACATCATATTTGAAACTTAAAGAAACAATTTTCACATGTAATTAATGTGAAAGCCTACTTAGCTATTGTAACAATTTTTGTGCACCGCCGGTTAGAAACTAATTGTAGTGGCATATCGTCTGCGGATGTTCGTTTTAATATCAATTCGACGCTTTGATTTATGTTCATCGAGCATTTCAATACAAGTTGAGAAATATCATCAATGAAAAATCCTAGGTACAAGTCTTTTAGAGATTCAAAATGTCTAAATATGGAAGTCTGAATTTTTTTTTGTAATTTGAGAAGCTAACCTAGTCGTCTGGACCAATCCACTCATTAACCCTATTGATGAATGGAATGCGCCGATCTGTAAAACTTATTATTTTGTATAAAGAAAATGAGAGCACGAACCGAATGCAAATATTCGTGCATCATTTGAGATACAAGATGCCAAATCTCCTCCATTTCACTTTTATTACTAATGTTCAGATAATTTTCAAAATTATCTGGAATGGGTGGAAGGGTTAAAAGTTTCTGAGCCGTTACGTTGACTACGGCGTGTCCGTTGGAGCAAAATCCTAGCGTTGTACATTGCGAAAGAGCAATGTACAAAAGATGGCGTTTTTCAGATCTTTAAAAAAGCACATTCAGTAACATATAATTAATATTTGGTGCGCAATATACCTTGACTCAAATACATCTTGCACATTTAGGTTTTTTTCAATCACAACCGTCTTGAACGTCAATACGGCTTGAAAACTCATAGTTGTGTCAGCCTCACAAGCGGCGGCATATCTTTCAATCATAAAGGCCAATAACTTAGCTAAAAAAAGAATAAATCATTATTACTAAGCTTAAGCTTTATGACAAAAATTCTATAATTTTCTTTTTTTTTTAATTCAAAGTTCAAGTTATCATTTTATTTACCTGCATAGAATACCTTCGGCGAACAATTGAACAATAATTCATGGTCGTGTCCAACAAACATCACTTCTAACATATGCTTATTCGGTTGAGGAGAACTTCTTGCGAAAGACATCGTCATTTTCTTCTAATATGTGTTGGTTGGTTCTACAAAATATAACATAAATTTAAACTTTCAGTGAAAATTGTATGTATGTAGATATGACATGGTATAAACCGTGATTAATACGCAAATGAAAATATTTAAAACAAAAACAATTGTTTTATTTGAAGCAAAGATGAATGTCATTGCGAATACACATGATACAACCTAGTCTAGATTAAAGAAATAAAAGAGTTACTGAATACGGAATCCAGAATATCACAAAAATAGCTGAAAAAATATCACTAAATTAATATCGAACTTTTCGACAAATCATATCATAAACATCCGGGAAGGCTTTTCGACAGTTATATTTTGCCCGAAGCCAATCGTATATTGATGAATCAAACATCTCCCAGAATTCGGCACGAGTCATATACGTATCAGCATAAAGCATTTGAAATCCTTTAACAGAACGAACGAAAGCTTCAATACGTCGTGTTGTTTCAACAGCGTCATATGACTTCTTTTTCGTAATTCCTGTATACATCGAAATGGTAAATCAGTTTTTCAGTTAACAACGCACCGTAAGCTCCAACGTCCACGTACATTACACTCGATCCGGATCGTTGTCGCAACATTCCCGGGCACGAAGGTAGCTTGAACGGACAAATCCACAATGGGTATATCTAAATATTTTGACAAGATCATTTTTTTAAATTAGTTTTATTTATACTTCAACTTCATTGTGAAAAACTTCAACTGTGTTTGTGAGCTCTTTAAGTGGAACAAGCATATCTTGAAGAACATGTTGCCGATCGTAAAGCTTTCGAAGGGTACTTGTAGTTGTAACCTGTAAATATTTATTTGAAAAATGAACATATTAAAAAAATTACTTTCAATAACGAAATTTTTGGTGGGCACATCCATCCCATTAAGAAACGGAAGATTATATTGTTTCCGAATGGAACAATTTCTTTGAGCTCCCAGAAAATACTTTTCGAGTGTCGATGATAATAATCTCTCAGTGGAATGAACTCCGTTTTCACTTTTTGAGTTTTCATTATGTCTTCCACATGGGTATAAAACCATTTTTTATACCACAGTCCAATGGCGTTAACTGTTCCTTTTTCATCAATTGGTCCATCAGAGAATCTGAAACAAATATATTGATATCATATTATAGGTTATCTATTTTAGACCTTCCTCTCATTACTACCCCTTCATTCTTACTAAAGATGAGACCTTCAACAAATTCGTTTTCTCGATTATCAGCTTCTGCGGTGATTTTGGCGGAGAACTCCTAAAAATCGTGTTCTCAAAAAATCGTTGACCAAAATGCACACCTCCAAAGAGTTAGTCGGATAATAAACAAGTTTTACAAACGGTCGACACTTAATTATGCGAATTGTTGCAGCCGTCAAAAAACCAATAGTTCCATGGCTCCATGGAATTCCAAAGAACAACGTGTGCATATCAGCTTCCTCTTGGTTTGCTGGTTTCTCCTTAAATTATTGATTCTCGACAATACCTACATAATATGCATGGACTTCGAAATGCCGTTTACCTCAATTTTTTTTGCGGTTAAAATCGATCCGTCAGACATTACAAGCTCATAAGATAGGCAAATGTGCTGGAACATTCCATATTTCTTTCCCGATGCTTCAACGCCACATCCATTGATCATTCCACCGACAGTAAGATCATCCAGTTCTGGTACAATTGGTAATGTGTAACCCAATGGAATTAAGTAGCGAGTGATTTGACCCATCGTAACCATTGGTTCCACTTTAATGCACATTTTTTCAGTGTCAAGCTGAAAAAAAAACGATTTTTACAATCACATATACATTTTCATTTTCGTGATTCCTATCGAGTACGTGTGCACAACTATTCCTCAAATGCCTGGTCTTGTTTTATGTTACTCATTTTTTGCTTTATTTTCACATCGTTTTATATTTAATTACTGCAATTTTTTGCTGAAAGATTATGGTGGAATATAAATTTCATTTCATTTTTTGCCTAATCTTACATTGAAACACATTTTTGAAAATATGTACTTCGAGAATATCAATGAGAGTGTCAGTGCGGATTTGCTTTAGGCTTTTCTTGTATAAAGGAATCCTGAAGCTCATTGTCATCCATCCCGATCTTGCAGTGCACATTTTCGTTTTTTGCCCGCTTTCATTCCATTCACGAATCTGAAAGAATAAATTATATGTATGTAAATAAGTATTTTTCTATGAATATACGTATATATATATTCACATGTAATAAGCTTTGGCCTATAAAAATTTTTAATTTCTCCAAAAAATTGGAATGAGTACATGTTTGAAGCTCATTCAATGCCACATTTTATTGCCTTGTTTCACGAAATCCGAAACGATGTTTTCTATTCCATCGTTTTCCTACTATTACGTATAGTTAATTTCACAACAAGAACTCAATTCAGACCCATGTATTCTTTAATGTATTCTAATGAAATATTCGGCGTATTTATTAGAATCACGGCACTGTAAAATAACGAAAATAATTCCTTTAAAAATAATTAAAAAAATAATAATACAAATAACCTTTTTTAGTTCTTTTCTCTTGTAACTCTTTTTTAACAATTTTTTCTGAAACTTTTTTTTTTGAAAATGGCTGAGGGCTTCATAATCATATTTCTGGAATTGTTCGTTCAATTTATGTGCATAATTAATGAATCTGGTCAAAAGTTTTATGGAGGTTTTTTCCCAAACTCTTTTTTATGTTAATCAATACCAACCACCCAACCAACCACATTTTTTTCATCTTTGTTTGTTTGCGTTATTTTTTACGGGAAACGAATTAAAAGAAAATTAGTTGCAATTAAAACCTGTTTCTGGATGAGAGCAACTTTGCGATCGTGTGCCTTGGGTGCCGAGTTCACGCGGATGACAATCCAATTACGAATCGCGAAAAACAAGTTGTATAGAACACTGAGCGGCAGCAAGATTGGGACCACAAATAAGAAGCGGAAACGGTGCATAATGAATTCGATGCATTTTTCATAAAAGGAGAGGCTTTGCGTTGATACACTCCGTATTTCCTCATCCATTTGAGTCCTGCAAGAAACGTAGTTTATTGATTGCCTTTGTTACGAAGAATGCAAATTATTCAGTACGAATAGCACGTAATCAACTAACAAAAATACTTAGAATATCTAGTTGCTTTTTCAGTTGTTGTAGATGTTATATTTTCAATTCCTTTTTAAAACTCCCCCGTTCGAATATCGTTATTTTGCATCACACTTAAAAGTCATAAAAGCATAGTTCTCTAATTTTTTTTTACATAATGCGCCAACAAATTGAAACCTATCAAACAAAGTAAGCAGCGAATTAATTTTTCTACTCTGTCCCATGCTTGAAAAATCACTTATCGTGAGAAAGTTTGAGCGCGTGCGTATGTTTTAAAGAAAATCGCAAAGAATATGTTGTATATAGAGCATTATTACTTTAAGACGCCAATATGCCATATAATGGACCAGTCACAAGCGGAAGAAAAGGAAATGAAAGAACAGTCCTCAACTCTACTCAACAGGTGAATATAACTAACAACATGACAGTGAATAGTTTTTGTTTACTATCTTATTAGTATCTCAAGGCCGTCATTATCTCATCATATCAGCGGTTAACACACTGTATGAAGTTCGAATAATCTGGCAGTCAAAAAAGAATATGCCCAAATTTAAAAAATAAGAATTCCTGAATTATATTAATTAATTGCAGAAGCAATATCTCACTGTCCCATCTGAAAATGAAATTCATCGCGCTGGTCTACCGACTCAAACGGATAACGACGACAAAAACACTGCATGGTAAAAACTACAAATTTCATTGTTGGGAAATATGAATAAGATTTAATGAAACACACAAACGCTTGCAGATAGTTAGCGATAATAGAATATTTTATCAGTCATTCGACTCTTTTTGAAGCAAATTACCGGACGCTTTGATAATTTGAAACGAAGTAAAATCATACGTTCATTAGATTGATTGGAAGTGAATGAATAACAATATCGTCAAGACGATCTCTGATTTTAATGAAGATTGCAAGTTAATAAAGCACTCATTATATGCGCGCACGTAGTAGCGGAACAAAAAAACAAAAATGAGTAAAGTGGCCAGTAATGAGAAAGGGAACGCTGAGTGGGACGCGCGGAAAAACATGTTCGGTCAAGCGAGCACATACGCTCTAATGTACAATAGACGCCGGCGTTCTTTTTGATGATTGGTTATCAACAAACAAATCATAACACACGGCAATTTGGAAATACGATCGATAAATTGTTTTCCTTGAATAGATTTAATGATAATAGAGAAAGCCAAATTGAATCATTAGTTATTATCACATGCGGAGTATAAGCATAGAATATAAAAGTAAAGTTACTTAATATAGTTGCCACATGCCGACTGTTATCTTTGTTTTCAAATAGTTCTCTCCCAAAAAATCCAAATTCGACAAAATTTTACAGCTTCCGTGCTTGCACCTGCATCGCCATCGCTTTCATTGTTTGTGTGCTCATGATTTTTGTGTATGTGATTCTTATCACCAAATTCAGCGCAGAGCCATCAATCAACAACGACAGTCTCCTTGCAGCGCTCATCGAGCCACGACATTCCTAATTCCATTTTATTTGGCACAAACCCCTTTTTTATGACTGTATTTAAAAGTCAATGTGCCGATGACTAAATAAAGTGTTAATTCGAATCAGTTCAAACTTACAGAGAAATTTAAAAAGAAATGATGGAAAACGAGAAGTGAAACCTGTTGAAAAAATTCATTTAAAGTCAAACTTCTAACGTTGGATACAAAGGTTTGAAACCGTTCAAATCTTGCTCGATATATTGATAGACCAGATGTTTATTATTAAAGTATAAAGATAAAATGAGATCGTATAAAGTATAAAGATAGAATGAGATAGTAATTGCACATACATCGATAACAATAAACTAACAATAACAAATCAACAATATTTTGACAGCTATGGCATGTTGTATAGATCGAAGCTAACTAGAATTATGATATGAGCATGTTCTTTTAAAACATTGAATTGAGGGCACTGAAGACGCATATTCGCGACAACAGAATTTGCTCCGCACAAACTCATCACTGATTTGATGCTTGTTATCCTTTCTTCCAGTGCATTCGTTACAAATCCGTCAACAGAAGTGGAATCTTTCACAGCAGTTGTCAAATCCTCTCTGCAGGAAATATATAAAAGTAAGAGAAACGACATTTATTATTTATACCTCACGTAAACATCGGAAAATCTTGCAACGGCTACACAGTTTTCAATGGAATCCTTGTTCACAAAATGAGGATAAAGATTTGATGATAAATGCACTCCGGCGATCTAAAATATTGATTTGCATCTTTTTATCTTGGCATATTTTATTACAGATGATGCGTTTCCTGCACATTGATTTTCGTGAATTCCGATAGACAAGCTCAAATGCCTTTCAAACACCACGTGGGAGACATATTCTCGTTGCTGTTTTCGTCGAACCTGTTTAAATAAATTTTAATTTTATTGATTAATTTTAAATTAGGTACTTTATCCACAATTGTATTTAAACGTAAACGTCCTTTTGCTGATGTTGCTATTCCTTCATCGGCTTGTGTTTGCCTTAACACGAAATAATAGATTGAAGCTTAATTAAGATGTATACTTCAAGTTCAGGATTTTCAGCGTCAAATTGGATTGAACACTGGGTTTAAATCGAATTGCATCTCTTACAGTACCCCAAGAGAATCGGCGAGCATCGTGTTGGCGTTGCAAAGAAGAAAACGAGAGGACATTCGTTATAGATGGAGAGGACAAATCTGATTTCTGAAATTTAAACCATAATGTATATGTATACATATATATGTACTTATAAAACAAAAATTTAATGAAATTAAATATATATTGTTAACTATATGCATGAATATAGCATTGCATAAAAAATAAACCTGGACAACAAGTAGTCTGACTAATATTCCAGTGGCAACGCAGATAAGTGTGTCATCGCATATGGCGTTTGTCATTTGAATGTTGAAAATTGCGTTGCTTGTAGGATAAATCGCTTTCGCTTCATTCATCAAGTTTCCAATAAGTTCATGATCCGAGAAAGGCAAAGCCTAAAAAGTAATTTAGCAAAAAAAAGTTCATCCATTTTTTACGTTTCCTATATCTGTCGCATAATCCGTTGTTTCATGAGGATCACTCGTCAATTTTTTACATACGGATACCTGAAAAAATAATTTCAGATATGATGTGATGTCAAAATAACTTGAATAAAGTTCCTTGGGCCAATGTAATATTGTGGTGAAGGACAAGGTATTGTTGCCAGGAGAAATTCCGCAACTAAGCCGTTTCTGTAGAATAACGATTGAAAACAAACAAATTAATTTTTTGGCAATGATTTTATTTTTAAGACCAACATTATTTTGGAATTATTCTTAAAATAAACCGTAATAAAATTGATTTGTATTAAGTAGTGACCATATTTTTCGAATAAGTTTCAACAATTTATTACTGTAAATTAATTACTGAAGATCGGTCTTTCGTAGAGTTATCTTGATGACAGGCCGACATTTTTTTTCAGTTTAATTCGTGTGTTTTGTTATTTTTACCTAATTGAATGATTGGAACTTTCACATACTTGCAATATGCACATGGAAAGCATTTAGTCATTCTCGATGGCGCATTTTCTTGTGGATAATGAAATTGATTGCAGCGAAATTCTCTTGGCGTTGAATCAGCTCGTTTCTCTCTTGATTCAGGCGTTTGAAATTGAAGCTGCAAACCTTTGTGTTATGTTTTACACATTCAATAATATGCTGGCGAAATGTATTAAAAATGTGAAAATTGTCATACTTTGAATAAAGGTTTCTTCTCTTTTATTTCCTTCTCTTGAGAATCTCTGAATACAACTGGGCTATTCCGTAAACTGTTGTCAAAGCTATTTTGATGTGGAATCTCAGATCCATCGGAAAGCACAACAGCGGTTCCCGTACATGTCAATAAGGCAACACCTTTAAAATATGTAATATAGATTAGATTTTTCGTATATTTTGCGTATTATTAAGTTGCTTTATTGGAATTATTTTGATCTGTTCGTTCTGGTATTAAATATTATTAAAAGTTTTCGTACTCAATGAAGTATAGATAACCTTACGGATAAATAAATAAGTAGTTACCTTCGTTCACAGTGAAACTTTCGGAGTATGCAATTATCAAGTTTGCTCCAATGCTTCTTCCTTGTTGATAAATTTCTGTTCTCAGCGAATCCCAATAGGTTTTTCGAACAGCCTCTGGATCTTCATCCTCATCCAAAACTTGAATACTCCTTGCTGTTACTAAAGCGCCAAGTCCTACTTGCCGATCATGCGGAACTTTTTCTATTGTGAGTATTGGCTTCAGAGGTTTCGGATATGGAAGAGGAACGACATCTCGGCCAACAACTTTGACTGCTGTTCCTAACACTCGACAAGTTAAAAGATCCGATGATGATCCTTCCATGTCAACGTATTCAATATACCTGAAACAGCAAGGAAGTCGGTTGAGAAAATAAGTATGAAAAAACCCCAAAATAATGTTGGCCCCTAATTTGGATGCCTTAAATGCTAAGCTGATTGCAGCTTCTCTCAATGTTGCTCGAATTGCGTTTTGTCTCGCTTCATTTGTTGCTCGAGGTGTTCGTATACTGTAAAAAAATGGAGAGTTATATTTTTGATAAGGGAAATCATAGTTTACCGATCAAGCCACTCATAATCTGGATCTTTTTCACATCTTATGTTGTCAACTAGGCCAATTATTTCAGCAATTCGCAAATGTCCAGGAATATTTGCCCCTTAAAACAAAATTTGAAATTACTTGAATAAGTAATATCAAAACCTGTAAAAATTTGGACATAGTTTGAATAATTTGTCTCCATCAGCAGTTGAATTTGTATCTTAACCGTTAAGTCACCGCGAATTCCATATATTGTATCATAGATCTTCAGGGTAACAGTTTCCTCGAGATTTTCCACTCTTGTTGCTCGCATTCGTTGAATAAATATATTTCCATCGATTATAACTCGTCCAATAGCGTCATTTGCGGAATATGTATCGTGATCCATGACTCTAAATTTAATATTTCCATAAATATGAATCGAAATGTTATTAAACCTGAACTGAATACATTCTTCTGCTATTTCCTTTTCATCGGTATCAAACACATATGGTTCACTGTTCCAAACAGGATCTAAACTCGTTACAACTTCAGTTTTTTCGACAGTCTCAAGATATCGTATTTCCACAAAAGCATCCGTTGAATTAATTCCCTAAAATTTGTTTCAATTACTTAAAAATTGATCTAAATACTTACTCTGTTCATCACAGGAAGATATTTCGCATTGATGACATTTATTTGAAGTCGAACAGGAAGCCTCTCGTTACATATTGGTATAAGCATTTATTAGGAGCAAAATGTGCCTGAACTGAATCAAAATGAGTAAGCTTTTGAAAATTTTAAACGAAACATGAGTATTTTGCAGATGAATATGTTTTTTGTTGCGGTGGAGCGCAATTGCGACATCTTTTCGTATACTCTGCACACCTTAGAATATCATAAATGTATTTTTCTACATAAGAATCTCTATTATTCAAAGTTATTTTTTTTCAATATTTTTGCTTGAACGCTACGCGTAGTAAAAGCTTCTTCGAATTGCTGATTTTTGTTAAATTCTTTTAGTAACTTGTTTTCACCCGAATATCAGATAGTTTTATGTACAATTCCAACAGTTTTTTTCGGCATGTTCTGAAATATGAAGTCTGACTAATTCCGATTCACGTTCCGTCGAATCAGTTAAAATGTTGATGAAAAAAAAATTGTTTTTTTTTTTGGGATGACGTTCGGAAACATTTGAATGAACACATTTGAGAGTCATCTTTGACTTCTTATAAACATGTCAGATTCATTTCTGTATTCTCAATACGCCATGAACAAAATTATTTTAGTATGCTTGTTGCCTTTATTAACAAATTCGACAGCAATCACAGTTTCGTTGTATTTGAAATGCAACACACCTTATGCAGCTAAAGCTGAGGTGTTTCTCATGGAAAAAGATTCCAGTGATAGTATGTTTTAATTATGATTCATATTTTCGAATTTTATCGCAGCATTTTTCGATTGGGCTGATGAAGATGATATTCTCGATCGACAAACAGTGCATGTTCCACTGAACTCGAAAATTCCAACGATTCTTTTTGGAAAAGAAACCGAACTAACCGGTATCGATCCTTACTTGTATGTTTGGTTTAACTGTTCTGTGGTAAGAAATTCCAATTTTCCATCCTTTTATTCCATTTTTCAGGATCAGCATGGATGGAAAGCCTATATTGTACCAATTGGTGAATCCATTTATATTGATAAGAAATGCAGCGTTGTGCTGAACTTGGACACTGGAGAAGCACAAATTAGCATGAAACATGCAATATTTTAGTAATATTTATAATAAATAATGAACAGATGCAATTTAAGCAATAAACTATTATGTATTCTCGAAATATTATGAGCCACTAAGTACAACGGAAGGATAGTCGGAAAAAAATCACAATTAGGAAATAACAGAAAAAAGAGACATCGCGCTAATATTAACTAAATTAATCTTCGAAAATAGGGCTAAATAGGCTATTTATTGATTTGATTAGTTCTCAAATAAAAGAACACAGAATATACTTAAATGAATGAAGTCTTCAACATTTTTGGATCCTTTCTAATTGAGACTTCATTCGATGTTTGAAGTATTTATCAAGGTTTTGTAAGATAGCAACCGATTATCTGGCAATATCTGTCGACTTTACGACACTTGTTCCCCATTAAGAAGATGTGGCTTTATCTTTGTCTAGATCTGTAGAAAAATTTGCGATGAAACAAAGAATATCGCAATTTATCTCCTCACCGTCCACATTGTCATCAATGAAAGGAATTTGTAGAACCTTGAACGGTGGGCTTGGAATTCCATGTTGGAATCTGAACAACCACAACTATAGTCGGTATGATGTTTTAGAATTCATACGGAGTATCAGTTGGCAATCCTAGACATTGCAAGACTTCAGCAAGCGCCTCCATGTTAACAACAGAGAATCCAGTGCGCATAGTTAATCCTTCATCAATCACGACCTTAGTAAAAAGATTTCCCTTTTCATTCCTAAAAATTCCATTTGAATGCTTCAAATAATTTTACATGTACTACCGATTCAAGTGACTTGCCCACCAGACATCGTTTCGGCTAATTCCCCAAGTTTTGCAAACTTGTTCATCTTGAGATTCGTGACCCGATGCGTAAAAAATGATTTCAATTTGACTAATTTCAACGCTTCTCGCATACTGTCTCTGAAAATTGATTGATGAATTGTCAAAACATTCGTGAAAATTCATGAAATACGTACAACAAGTGGAGTATGAATAGGGTTCATATGGAACTCCGCCTTTGGATTGAAGACCATGTAATATTTAATATGCAAGAAGCCATCGGCTGTGACAGCAACAAAAGGATCTTCGTAGACTGACGGTGCGACAAGCGGAAAACAATCATCAGAAGTTGACGCAACATCACTATCTAAAAATTATTTAAAAAACAAAAAAAAATATATATATATATATATATATATATATATATATATATATATATATAGATTAAAAATATCTATATCATACCGGTAGAAGATTCCGGTTGTTTCACTTCGTGCATTTCGATAAACCCTTGCGTTGGTTCTTCTGCTGAAAATTGGCATTAAAAGAATCAATAATCATGAAACGGAGATTGTATCGAATAATTATCTATTCGAATTGACAAAGTATTTTAGTGAATGACTTACGTGTTCTTCTGCGGAAGCTCAGAGCGCGTTTTAAAAAATTCATTATAGATTTTCCAGGTGTTTCCCCGTTAGCTGACGGTTCGGAATTTTTTTCCATTAAAGTCTGAAAACTCATTTTCTAACAGAAGGAAAGGTTTTCCCCGCGAACAAAGCCAAGATTACATCAATTTTTCACAAGAAGAATATAAGATATTGTTCAATGAGAGAAGATATGTCATTCGGTTTTTGATAAAAACCAGATCAATCGGATTTAGTTCACTAACATATCGCTTGATGATTATAACAAGAATTTGGTTCCATAGTGCACACAATAATTTCTGATTTCAACAATGAATCGAGGCTTGTTTTTTTAAGAATTGTAGAACGCAAGCGAGAAAGGGTAAAATGTCAGAAAAAAATAAATAAACCTTGTGTGCAATTGCAAACAAATTCCCGCTCGCAAGCAGCTCCAACTTTTTTTTTCGAAAAAAATCAAAACGGACATTTTCGGAAAGTGCAAAAGGATCAACGAGTGCACTTTAATCACGAGGTTTACTTATGTGCGAATCAATTTGACCAGCAATTTGCGAGTTGACGAAAACGTTCAGAAGACGGAGAACTGGTGTTTATGGGAGAATGGGATATTCGCAGAATATCACAACCTCCAAAAGAAACTGCATCAGATCAAAACCAAACACAACAAATACAAACGATTTAAAGTTGTTTGAGTGCGCGAGACGAAACCAGTGCGTAGATAGTGATCACATGGCAATATTGATCGATCAATTTGGTGGCCACGGAGGTTCGCCCAACACCTTTCTACACTGTCTTCTTGAAGGACTTTATGCTTGCACGAGCGTCTTACGCTATACAACATACCAGTTAACCTATTCGCCTAATAAAATAGTGCGCAAGTCACATAGTCGCAGATGTTAGACAGATGAAGGACGAGGCACAGTCGAGAGAGATGCAGATGGTTCGAAAAATATCTGAGACCGTCCACAGCATAAGGCTAATAACGAAAGAAGATTGAGTGTTGAGCTAACGAATGCCGATTTTATTTGTTTTCAACTTCCAAAAGAATAAAAAAGTTTGATTTTTTTTGCTATAAGCATTTCGTACGCATCACTAGTATAATTTGAGCTAATCAACAATTTCCGATTGCCAATTACGAAATTTTTCGATAAATGAATATATATATATATATATATATATTTATATTTATATTTATTTATTTATTTTCTTAATGTTCACTAAACAACTTTCTCATATTTCTCATTGAAATATGGAAAAAATGAAAATGATTTGAATTAATATTCGAACTAGAGGAACCGCATAAAGTTGGTTGAAACATACTTAATGGAAGTTGTTTGGAAGAAATTCAAAAAGATATTATAACATAAGATAAAGTAATTTCTAGAAGATATCAATGATAATGTATAAAAGCGTAGATTGTTTGTTGACGAAAATTGTATTGATATTGGGAAATAACACGCATTTCACCTACGAATTCACGGCTCTTAGACGTCTTATGTTTATTACGCACATAATAAAAAAGAGAGGGGCTTATAAAAAAGATTGAAATGGGATCGTTCTTCTTTTTCTTGAGAGTTCAGTAGCGATAAATACATTTTTATTAACTGCAGTTGATGCAATTTTGATAATGAGTAATGTTCTTAAGACTTAAAAAATCTTTATGTAATTATATACATAATTTGTAAAGCATTCTAATAACGGAACGTAAATTTTAAAAAAATATGAATTCGTTCGGAATGATTCCACGTTTGAAAAATAAATTAAAACTGTAAATATGAAATAAAGTATTTATTTTGCGATTTCACGATGTGCGGCTCAAATCAATTTCGACATGAGTGTTAACCAAAATATATGTGATTATAAATAATAGGCAAAATAGAAAAAGTATATAAAAGTATACCATATTTAGCGAATTAATATTGTTAAGCAGTTTGGCTAATCTTGCTGCTTCAAGATATGCAAAAATTTTCGAGCAGAAAGAAAGTCGATTATCTGAAAAAAAAATTGTAAAAATTAAAGTCGGAAAACATACCTTTTGTCTTAATTTTCCTGCAGTGGTTGAAGAAATAGGAGAGAATGTTTGGAATTTGATTTTCAGCTGGAAAACAACATTGAAGTAAAATAAAATATATCTTACCGGTATTGAAAAACTGCTAACTATTCCTGGATTTTTGTTGTTTATTTTAAATGGAATAGTTTTTCCACTTATTCGGTATCGATTTCCACTGAGATCAAAATATGGCCCAAAATCCTCCACTAAGACAGATTCCGGATAATACTGAAATTAAAAATTGAGGCTTGAAAAACAAAAAATTGCGCATAAATAGACAACCAATTCGAGAAAATGTTCTATTCTTGGACGATAAAACTTGACATCACGAGGAAATTGAAAAGTTTGGAATCGAAACTCAAAATAGGATATTGCTTTTGCGACGAATGCTATAAAAAAAATAAAAAATTAAATGAGACCTCGATGGTTGCAGATTTCGTACTGCACTTGATGTTGAGATGAGAGCAAGAAACGGATATCTGTGAATAAACACAAAATGAGCTCAATTATTTTTGACTTACAGCCTCGATTACATCATCCCGAGCGATTTCTTTGGCGTTTTCCGCATCAACCGCTTGATCACCAACTCCACAAATGGGCTCGCAAAATGTCCAATGAACTGGAGGAGAAAATGTAATGTTAATTTGAACATCATTTGACAACGTTGAGCCCGATTTCAAATTTTCTGGAGCATGTGTTGGCATTGCAAGTGGACGGAATAAATCAAACAAAGAAAAACGGAGTTTCGATGGCTCCGAATGAAACGCTACTGAATCCCTGAAATGTTTCGTAAACTGCCCATTTTTTTTCTGAAACAAATATTTGTACTTTTTGATTTCGATTTGATTTTCATAGTCTTCCACTGTTGGGGATTCGTCGGATTGCATTGCTAATTGCGGAAGTTGAAAATGGTTTGTTATTGGAGGAGGGGAATTGATTGAAGGTGTTATTCTTGCAACTGGTGCTCCTAAATAGGAACAAAATAAAATCTAAAATTTTTGTTCATTTTTGATGATCATTGTAGCATATGAATAATTTGTATAAAACAGGTTTAGTTCCTTACGTTTTTATACGTTTATTCAGATATGCACATTCGTTCTTACTAGTTTGTGCTGTCTAGAACGCAATTCTTGTCGAATATTCATACAAATGTTCATGAATTTCTATAAAGGTCAATTCGAATTTCAATGAAGGTCTATTCCATTTTTTGTTGCTATGCATCAAAGATTTTATGTTTCTTTCCTATGCAAATTTGGCTGGAATTCTCTCTTCAATAATTTGTGCCTAATATTGGAAATTATTTGTAATTCATGCAATAAACGATATTTTTAGAATTGTGATTTTTATACTATATTTTTTTATGCAAAACCAAAAGTGTTATTTTCTAACAAAGGCTTTTTATTGAAAAATAAACACGTCATAGCTCATCTCAAAGTCGTCAATTTGTTATGGATGCAGCATGAATTTTTCGATATTTTTCGTTATGAATAAATTTTCCGATATATATTTCGTCATGAAACTTCAAAAACATGATTTCTAGCTTTATAAGTAAACTAAACTTACTGAAATTTGGTAGACATGCATGGCATATAACAACTTGAAGTAAAATGGCGAGTACCAACATGGGGTATCAAATCAGAATTTTGATTTCTTGTTTGAGAAATACGTAATGTATATATTTGTTTTGAGCCAATGTTTTATAACCATTACTTTCAAACAATTCAGTAATAAATTGCAAGCAAACATTCCCGCCAAAATCAATATCTTCATTGAGTTATATATATATATATATATATATATATATATATATATATATATATATGCGCTCGTTTGAGTGTATTTGTAAAATCATACAAGTGCAAATTCTTGGATTTAGGAGTTCAATAGAAAATGTGTACAATCACAAATTCCATACAATGAAAATGATATATAGTTTTCGAACGCATTTCACATTTTTTGTAGATTTCTGATCACTTATATGTCCGAGACACATCGATTTCTAATTGACTGTCATTTATCAAACGATGAAATTGAAAAAAAATGACAGTCCCATTTTTTTTCACTTATCGAATGAACGGTTTATCTCTCTTATAGAGAAGCGAACACCCTTCAATTAATATGTATAATCCGTAGACTTTCCAGTATCAATGTAATTATGACAGAAAGAATCTTGACAATAAAAGCTCAGTTAAATCCATACATTATTTTTCGGTCGTCGGAAGGATAATTCAGATTTTTGATGTCGCGTAATTGTGAAAATTCGGCCAAATCAAACAATTATTTAAAGAGAGATCCTGATTTGTTGTTACCTAGTATTATGTTTAGCCCTGTTAATCTTCACTTATATTTTTGAGTAATTCTAGAAGAAGAAATTCATGTATTCAGATAAATCGCAATACTAGCTTATAGCAGTATGCCGATTGTTGATGTTCTCTGAACACGAGAAAAACATTTTTGTAGAGAGTTCATGACAGTTTCTGCAATACATTTGTCAATCTATAATATCAGCTGTACACAATTGGAGATCATCACATCATAAGATGCATTTACAAAGTTGTCTCACATTTTACTATTTTTTCTAAAGATTTTCAACATTCCGCTTCGGAGGTCTCTGTGTTCCATCTGTTTTGTATCTTCATTTTCATCTAGTTTCAGATGCAAGAATGCGGAAGTTGTTAACTGATTAAACAGACATATTCAATTAAATCGATTTTAAGAATTATTCGATACGCCAAATGCATGTTGACCTTTTGACACACTTTTGATTTCTTGAACAGTTTGAATGGCGGAATTCACGATCCATATAACAAAACTACCTCCCAGAATCATTAAATTAAGAATGTACGTCTTGTACATGGAGGGCCCAAGATCACATGAGCTTTTGCATCGTAGTAGTTTATGACGGCTCCAATTGATTCAGATTCACTGCACGAGTTGATCACCCAGGTTAAACTGAAATTCATTTTTTCATGATTCAATTTATTTTTTTCCAATACTTCATCGATTCATAACTAGGAAGAATCTGTAAATCTTTAATTCGGTCCCATGACACACCGAGTCCTCCGGCAACTTCAGACCATCCCAAATACTGCAATTGTCCATTTAGTTAATGAGACTTCAGCGACAGATACCATATTTAATTCAGAATTATCATCCGGTGCCGCGATGAGTCCAACTTGAAGAATTTCGCAAAATGATGGCAAAAATAAAAGAAGTAGTAACAACATGATGGTGTTGATTGACGAAATGAAATGTGTGGGAAGCCAATTTCGAATTTCAATTTTTCATAAAAAGGATTCAACGAAGACCCACATTTTTCGAAATTTCTTAATTTCTTGCCATGCTTTTTTGGATTAAATGTTGAATCATTCGTATACACATTTCAGAACTGATAGAAATATTTTTGGTTCGCGAGATATACGAAATATTCCCTGCAATTTCAACATTCATGACCTCGGAAACGACTAATATAATCTTGAAAAAATTGGCAATGAGATAAGGGTCTTGAAGCTAAGAGAGATGCATTTCAACGTGCCTAGAATTAATTTCCAGATTAAATTTGCCGGCACATAAATCAACACTCGAAAAAAGAAAGATTCCGTCAACCTCTAGTCGTTTGATTAGATTTTAAGCGTCGAGCGATTAAGGAAAATAGGCTAAAAACCAATTATTTTTTCTATTAAACAAGGGTTGATAAATAAAGATAGGTTAACACATCAAAACCTCTCATTAAATGCTTTGGCATTTTGCCAATTTTCAGCAATCGACTCCGACAAAAACAACATTTTCCATTATTTCCTTGTCTATTGGACTATAGTTGATATTCAGAAACTAGGAATTTGATTTTCGGCCAAAGCGTTACTTGTTCTAAATAAAACAAGTCAAAGAACACATCCAAGAATATTCATTGGCCTTTGACGGATATTTTTGACTTCAAATTTTACTACCAATTTTTTCTTCCATTTTTCTGCCAATTAAGGTATTTATCCTGGCCGGCCAACAGGCACCTCAGAGAGCGCCACTGAATGTTGGAAAACGAATGAAAAGGTTTCCTGTTTCGAGAATTTTCCAACGTGCAGTGCTGGTTGGGGGCATGACGTGTCAGCATTATTGGCTACCTCAAAATGTTCAATTCCCAATGATATCAGAACCCGAAATTCCAGACAAAACCCAAGATTACTATTTTTTGGAAGGGGAAGTGTGGATTATTTTTCATATTCCCAATTAGTTGCCCATTTTCAAGAAAAGGCTTACAAGTCAAATAATTTTACCTAGGGGTTTGGAATTTTTTCTAATTTTTCGCACAATTATTTCGCAAAATTGGCTATCGTGTGTTCTATGCCATGCAGAGATTTCAAAAAGGCTAAAAACATCGAGTCCAAAATTTCAGATTTGCCACTTGATTGTACCATTGCTTTTTTACTCCATCTGCTTATACATACTTACTCTTGCTTATATATTCACTTATATGGAGCGGAAAATTTATAGAAATTTCAAGTTAAACGTTTAGAATAGAAAGAAAATCAACAATTGATATCATTTTTGAAAATCAATTGTTGGAAACAATGATGATTGTTGCAATAAATACGTTTAATGAATGATGTGTTCTGGCATTCTTATATGTAGCGGATATGTGAATTTGATGGACCACTTACTACTCGAAACAGGGAATCCACAGATACCTTTTCATTCGTTTTCCAACATTCAGTGACGCTCTCTGAAGTGCCCGTTGGCCGACCAGAATAAATACCATCATCATTTATTAAACATATTTATTGCAACAAACATCTTTGTTTCCAGCATATGATTATCACAAATCATATCAATTATTGATTTTCTTTCTATTCTAAACGTTTAACTTGAAATTTCTATAAATTAAAGTAACATATGATTTATTTTTTGTTATTTTCACGTGAACGATTTATTTTTTCTTGATGAGTTTGGCCGGACGCCAACTATATCTATATGAAAAATAATTTAGTTAATTAAATTTTTGATTTTTTAAGATTAGAGGTTGTTTTTTTCCATGCGAGCATTTTTACAATTTTTGCCGTCCGGGTGAAAACGCTATACCATATGAGCTGTGAAGCAAACTCGAAGCATTTGATTTGTCGATTTCTGTCGAATGGAAAAAATGTTTGGAGCCATTTTGTTAATGAAAGTGTATTTTTGTGAATTATAAGTACTTTGGTTTTTAGCGAAAGTGTCGAATTGGCACAGTATGAGCACTTTTTTTATTTTGGCATCGACATCGCTTCTTTGAAAACCAAGAGATCATCAAAATCAAAAGTTTAGGATCTTTGAGACTTCACAATTAGGAAATCGCACACACGAATTGCATATATGTTCAATAATCAATCTCTGAATTTTAAGAAACATTTTTTGTCGACACAAAATTAAATAGCAGACCACAATTGGAAGGCGTACGAAATTGCTTTCCAGAATCCAATTATTGCCTGTTCGCCGTGCTGTTTGGTGCTCTCACAGATCGCATTTTCAGTGTTTCGTCGATGAACGCTTCTGATCATACATCAACAATAACCGACTATTTTCGGACCAACTATACGAAATGCCCAAAATCAACATTTTTCGACAGTCCGACCTTCCATACATGGTCTTGTCATATCATATCGCTGTTCACACTTCCGATGAATGTCTACGCGACTTATCTGATAATTGTAAAAACTCCGCGGAAACTTCAACAAATGAAATACTGTCTATTACATCTACATTCGTGGTGTTTTTTCACTGACCTACTCTCGGGAGTATTCGTGGTCCCTTATACATTGGTCCCATTATGCGCTGGTCACGGAGCCGGTTTGCTCTCGGACCTCAATGTTCCTCAGCCATTTCAAATCTATACATTCGTTGTGGCAGTAGCTGGTGTTGGTTTCGCAATCGCATTCATGTTCGAGAATCGTCAAAACAGCATGATCTCGGAAAGTTGGTTCCGAATTCAAAATAAATCCTCTCGCTTCTTATTCTACACTCTCAACTATGCCTTCATGATATCGTTTCCGATTCCCGCATTTCTCGACGTCCCGGACCAAGAAACTGCAAAAATGGAATTATTGCAAGTACGTGAATTTTGAAAATGTTAAGCGCGAATATTTTTTTCAGCTTATTCCTTGCCCTACTATTCATTTCTTCTCCGATAAAGTATTTGTGCTCATTGTCCAACAAACCATGTCTTTCATGCTTGTCTCTGCTGCATTATTCCTCGCTTTCGTTCAAATCCTGTTCTTCGCGATTCATTCGTTTTGGTGTTTGTCGAATACTATGAAAAATTCGAGAGTTTCTGAAAAGACGCGAAAATTACAACGCAAATTTCTTCTCGCAGTTTCGATTCAGGTTTTTCTTATTTTGAATCGACGAATTCAATTTTAAACCAAATTAATTGAAGGTGATCATCCCTTTGGCCGTCTGTGTTCTTCCGGTCGTCTATATCACATTCTCAATGTTCAAACAATTTCATTCGCAAGCACTTAACAACATTTGCTTCATGATAATGTCCCTTCACGGATTCCTTGATTCGATCGTAATGATCTACGTTATCACACCATATAGAGAATATACGAAGACCGTTTTATTTAGAACATATCAAAAACGCCAATCGATAATATCGGTTGTTGGTGCCGAATCAACTCGATATACCTCCTAGGCATTTTTTTTTTTGTCATAACTTCTTTAAGTCTAGGATTGTCGGCGACGAATCACTGAGTTCGCAAAAATCAGTATAGATCTATTGTCGACATCGCAACGGAAAACTTGTGAAATGAGCAAAATATAATGGCATTTGTCTTGGTGCAAAACAATAAGTGTAGATTTACGAGGTAAGGATAAGTTAAAGGCGCACCCCCGCGCACCGAGACCTCTTCTTAAATTTTTTGCCACCAGATCTAGAAAATACTGCGCGTATATTAAAATGCACACACGCGCATGTCTCTTTGCCTCGAGACACCGGGCAAAGTTTTTTTTTTTTTTAATTTTTTGTTCAATCGTTTAATTCTCATACTCATTCGCTGACAATACTCACTCTTATAAATATTTGTATTTATCATTTTTTTGAAATATGTTATATGTTATTATTATATTACACCTGACTTCTGATCGAAATTAATAAATATTTAATGAGTTTATTCATTTTCCAAAAATACACACACGCTGAATGCTCAGAATAAAAGTTGAAATGTCGCAATTCTAAATCGACCTCGTGGATGTTTTTGAAATATGTTGCATTGACGAAGAATTGTCAATGTTTTTCGTTGATTTCGAGCGTAAGCAGAATACTGTAAAATGCAATGATTAGTTTAACGAAACGTAGACAATTGGATTAGCGAGACTTTTCGATATTTGGCCTCTCATGATTTCGCGATACGGCTTATTTGAGAGTAGAAGGGCAATGGTGGATCCGACGCCATGGAATATGAGAATGATTAGTGAAATTGATGCAATCACTGAAATTTCAGATCATTCGAATTATTGGCTTACTGAATTGTTAAATTACTCGGATGATCGAGTCGATTTTTAATTGTTACCATGAAAATCACGCATGGTATAATGATGAAAGCAAACGATGTAAAAACCTATATGACTTCGTTAAAAAACACAAGAATTGGCTGGATTTCAAACGTCACCATTATTAACGTAGATTTAAAGAAGGCTCGATGTGCTTCAACGATCCTATCGGAAAGAGTATTTTTCGATTTTTCGAGCACTTTGAACGCAATTATAGGGAATGTAGCACATGCAATCGCATAATATACAAATGTGAGGGACGAAATAGTCATCGATATCGAGAATTCGCGGCTTCTTGCTGAGTTAAGTGCATAAGCATCTGTCCAGAAATTGATTGGAACGTCACGATAAGTCTAGAGAATCGGCTACCTTCGGGATGTCATTTGTTTATCCACTTACTGTCACATAATACATTTTTGCACTGTATTGATCTTCAATTAACAGGAGAGAAGTGAAGATTGGAAGTATTGCACATAGGTAGGAAATTGTCAAGAATACGGTGAACACTCGGCAAACAAAATCGCAATGCTTCCATGTCGGTGGAACGATCATTTTGAGGCGTTGAATGAATAAATGGTTCATCACAGCGGCATTCGCTGAAGAAAATGCCATTTGTGAGGCTAGCAAGTTGATTGATTACCGTGGAAAATCATATAAAACACAGTGAGCTGAATGAGCGGATTGACATGGAACATCGTCTGAAGGATCC